GCCGAATATAAAGTGGCCGCCGCGTCAGACAGAGTCCGAACTAAATGCACGACTTAAACTTGAAATCTCAGAAGCAAAGAAAAGATATTTTAATACTTCGCTCCGCTCTTTCATTAAAAGTGCGCCACAAAAGTTCTGGCGTTATATCTCACCTAAGGATAAGTCATCTGTCCAAAGTAATATTACCGCGACTGAGTTCAATTCTTTTTTTAAATCGGTATTTACTACTGACGACGGAGTTATTCCAAGCCTCGAAGTTAACTATGCGGACGTAATTAGTGACATTTTTATAACTCAGGAGGGAATTTTTAACTTACTTTTAAATAAATTAGACGCTAAGAAAAGTACTGGGCCGGATATGATACCAAACACTTTTTTAAAAGGGTATGCAGAATGGATGTCCAAATATTTACATGTTTTGTTTTGTTTTTCTCTTGAGCATGCAGTATTACCAAATGACTGGAAGACAGCAAAAATAATTCCGATACATAAAGAGGGTGACTGGAGTGCAGCATCAAACTTTAGGCCAATATCTTTAACTAGCACCACGTGTAAATTGCTAGAGCATATTATTTTTACACATATTTCATGTCACTTAGATAAGCATAACCTAATATATAGAAATCAGCATGGGTTTAGGAAATCACTTTCGACTACTTCTCAGCTCATAGAATTTACGCATGACTTGGCTGAAGCCATTAACGAGAGGGGCCAGACTGACGTAATATACTTAGATTTTTCTAGGGCGTTTGACACGGTGTCTCATCCAAAGCTGCTGGCAAAACTTTCCAACATAATCAAAAACTCACAAATTATAAATTGGATAACCGCGTATTTATCAAACCGAAGCCAATATGTTCATAGATTCGGACAAAGTGCTCGTTACTTCAGGAGTGCCCCAGGGTTCCGTACTTGGGCCACTTTTGTTTTTGATTTACATTAATGACATTCCAACCAATATTGATGTCCCGATTAGATTGTTCGCTGACGACTGTATTATATATAAAACAATAAAAGGCCATACCGACAATCTTACACTGCAGCAGGCTTTGGATGAGATACTGTGTTGGACTAAAAAATGGCAAATGAAGCTAAATCTTTTGAAAACAGCCGTCATGACAGTGTCGTGTAAAAAAAAAAAGCCAGTTCAATTTAGTTACCTACTGGAAGGACAACCAGTAAAGCGGGTCGAGGAGTACAAGTATTTAGGACTTCTTTTAAACAATAAACTGAACTGGAACCAGCATTTAGAATTAATGGTTAACAAAGCGAGGGGCACTTCGTTTGCGTGTCGTAGGAAATTAAAATTTGCTTATTTTGACACTAAACTTATTGCTTATAAAAGTGTTATTAGACCTGTGCTCGAATATGCTAGTTCAGTATGGTAAAACAGTATTAACAAGCTTGAAAGTATCCAAAAGTTAGCTGCTCGGTTTATTTTTAATGATTATCGTAGAGAAACATCCACCGAATTAGTTATTAGAGCGAAGCTTCAACCGTTGCAAATGAGAGCGAAAATTGATAGATTAAAATTGCTGTTCAATATTCTTAATGGCACTCTTCATGTTCAAAGCTCTAGCTATATACAACCATTATCGACCGGGTCCTCACGTCTAAACCACATGAGAGCGTTAAAACAATACAGGTTCAAAACGACTGTTTTAGATATTCTTTTTGCCCTCAAGCAATTCAAGAATGGAACGAATTACCAAATGATGTCGTCGTCAACACAACTGTTGCTAATTTTGTATCTGCTCTTGAATTTATATTTAATTGAGTTTTCATTTATAAATCTGCATCTTGTTTAGATGTTTTGTACCCACTCCTATTATGGCTCCTTGAGTGGAGCCAGTAGTATTCCTAAATAAATAATAATAAAATGTGTTTTTTTTCACCGTGGGTACAAGAAGCGGTGAGCGAGGGAATGCGGGACCACCGCTGGGAGAAACAACCGGAGCGGTCGGTTTGGGAGGAACCCACACTTGAGCGCCATCTGTCCCTGTGCCAGTGAAGCGCGCACGGTGCGCCGAATATGTGGCTGCCGCGTCAGACAGAGAGTCATCCCGTAAATGTGTTTTTTTCGCCATGGGTTGTAGTGAGGGTTGGAGTGGCGAATAGTGAAGTAGTGGCGTGCTGGTATACCAGTTGCTGAGTCTGTTCAGTGTGCTTGCTTCACAAGGTGTTATGTGCGCAACTGTTTCGAGTTTTGTGTTTGTGCTTTGTGCATCTTGTTCCCCCTCTCCAGGGATTATTCTCATTTTTGTCCAGCTCGCTTGCATCTTTGCCTTTAATTGCATTATCATCATAACCTTTTTATCCTGAAAACAAAAATAGTGTTTAGCGTAATAATTACGCCTGGAGGCACGTTTTAATTCAGGAACGAACCGAAACTAACTTCTAGATTGGATTTAATTTCTCGGTATAGGTGTTTATTATGGTCTCTCCTAACTCAAGATGTCCCACAGCGTAATTAGTGAGCTAAAAAAATGTTAGCGGACGCTTTTTTTTTTACATACGTGTCCGACTATTGTATTTGTTGAGAAACTCAATGCTGATATTTCGGTATTCTTGCTGTTTTTTCTCGCTCCAATAATTGCCTTGGGCATTTAGATGATTTATTGCTTTAGCTTTATTCCCAAAACAAGAGTGACAAAATCAATCGAAATTTTACAAAATATTGCCACAGGTGAGGAGTTTAGACTATGTTCACATAACATATAAAGTATGCTGTTCTCACTAAAAGAAATCCCCAAAACAAAATCCGAGTCACAGAAGTGTGTGTGTGTGCGACGCTTGATGCACAAGATCTTATATTAGACCCAGTGTTTATGTCTATCTTGATAACGATGTAAATTTTTCTTATAGAAAGGTCTATGAAGGAGAAAAATAGAGGTTAATCGGAACGTAGGTTCTAGTTTGCTACTCTGTAGGGGTCAGGGCGACGGGGAAGGAAAGATGGAGATGAGAAGGAAGGATGGGGTGAAATTGTCAATGATGGTGGTTCACTGTTCACGCACATATCTCCAGGCAGTTTTTTTTTTTTTTTCTTTATTTGTTTTGCGGATTTGTTTCCGCAGTTTAAAGAGTGGATGACAAATTCGTGTTTGTAAGGAATGTTACTAAGGCCTTCGTGGCCCTTATGAAGTGGTCCACTGTGTCGCAAGCTCCTAAAACTTTGAACACGCTGAAAGGCCTCGGGTCCATCGTCCTTAAACTTTGTCGTAGCACTTGACGTTCCTCGTTGAACTGACGGCATTCACATAGGATGTATTCAATCGAACTTTCGACATCACAGTTGGTGCAGTCCGCGATGTCTCTCTTTTTAATCCGGCAAAAGAACTGCGGGAATAATGTACGCCAAGTCGCAGTCGGTGCAGAATTGTCTCCATTGTCTTGGAAGTCCAGGTAGAACGCAGAATTTAGACCGATGTCACCTAGCTAACTGCGCAGGCGTGCGCATTCCGGAAGTGGTGCCGCCGCTCCATGCTGCTCGTAGTCATCTTTTTCCGGCTTCCCGGCTACATAGGGCTGCGCGTACATCATCGTAGATTATCATTTGGAACACCCCGGTATCCGCTTGGATTCTCCCGCATGCCTGTACTGCATAAAATTGTGTCGTTTGTGATGCCTTAGTTTGTCACCAAGCACAGAAAAGCAGTTCCAGCCGTCTTATCGCTTTAGAATCGCTTTGTTTGCTTATAGTCGTCGTCTGCTTCTTCGTTTTCGTGAAGCAGTTGACGACGCGTGAGCACACTGCCATTCACGTAGTAATCCCACTGCGGCCGCGAGAAAAAAAAAAAAAAAAAAAAAAACGACACAACTTATGTATTCCAGCTGCTCGGATGTCTTAACTAACTTGCAAACTGAACATCTAGTTGAATAGCAAAGAACAAGCAAATTCTAGCGACCATCGGCTTGAAGTCTGACCTAAACGCTACATCTATCCCAAATTTCTTTGCGCATGCTGTTGTGAGAAATTGTGCACAGAGCGTAACAACACTAAGAGGCTCATAAGAAAGAGAGTTCGTATCATCCATCGGTAACCGTATCAGCCATGCTTCGATGCAACTCGGAAGTAGTTACAAAAAGTTTAAAATGTAATGTGCATGCCATTTTTTTTTTTTTTTTTAATGAGTGTGCAATGAGTCATTTTGCAAGAGGGCTTCAGTTGGAGGACATATCAGTTCTCATTTAGATAAAGCACAGCCTTTTCAGACTCCGGCTGGAAGGGAAGTGGGTCGGTGTGATTGTTTTTGTTCAAGGTCCAAAGTTTCCATCACCAGGCAGTGTTGGAAAACGCGAGGATAACCTGGCTTCTGGTAAGTCATGCTTCTTAGTCACTCAGAGTGGGGGGTTTGAACAGAACGGAACCTGTCTGCACAACCTACACGAAGCCTGTTGCAAGACCAGTGGTTCCATCCACTTCACTCGCCTTCTTTCCAGCACCTGATACATCAAAATGGAAAGAGTGAAATGCTTTTATTAAAAAACAACCCTTTTTTTTCATTTTGTTTTTAAGGCGAAGCCTTTTTTTATTATAGAAAGCCTATGAATTCCATGACAAAGCCAATGAGTGCCCGGCCGCCAAAAAAAAAGCAAGGAGGAGCGCTAAACGGTTACCGATATGGTAGTGCAGAGCCACCTTTGGGATCGTCCTTCAGTTAGCGCCAAAAATGTGCGCGGTGGGCTCTCCGCAAAACAAACCGCAATGGAGAAAAAAGAAAGGAGACTACTAGCGTGCAAGGGAATAGGAGAGGGCAGAAGCAAAATTTTGTCCTTTCTCGAGAAAAACAAAACAAAAGGGAGCATGTCCATGTTTCCGGATTTTACCGCTGGGGCATTGTTTAGCGCTACTAAGAGACCCCCTGTGCACGCCTTCTTTCCCGATTTCCTTTTCCCTTCACAGCGGCCATGTTCTTACAAGATTTGACAGGTTTTCTAGAGCAAAGAAGGCTGCGGCTCAGGTTTTTGAAGTAATACAGCCAAAAATAGCCACAAAGTTGCTGAAATAATTATCTTTATTATAAATCCTACACATACAAATACAGCAACTAACAACGTGAGAAAAAGGGGACTTGGACACAGCGTTGAGCTGTGATTAATATGTAACGCTTCCAAGCACCGCGAGAGTCGCCACCTGTACAGTCTACTCGTCTGCCCTCAGACGATCTCGCACGTCCCGCCGGCGGCCTCGATGGCCGCCTTAAGTTTCTCCGCTTCCTCTTTCGGCAGGTCTGCCTTCACCACTTGGGGAGTGCTCTCCACAAACTTCTTTGCCTGTTAGAGGAAAAACATCGGCATCACCAACCAGAAATCGTCGCAAGAAAAGCACAAAGTGGAGCTTCTAACATAGGAAGTGTAATGTACCGGCCGGTGGCCAGGACAGGGCGTGAGCGGACTCCTGCGCTTTCAAGAGCACGGGACTGGTGCACGGGTTTCTGGGCCTCGAGACGGGAATTCTAGGCGCCATTAAAGTAACGTCCGGACGCTTGTCTACGCCGAGCTTGAGTCCTTGCCTGGGATACATAACAATTGGCGACGAGGTAGGTCAACAGTCAAGAACTTCAGCGGGCAGCATGGCTTCTCAAGGCAAGCTGGAGGAGTTCAACGGAACAGCTTGGACATCTTGGGCCGAACGCCTAAGCTTTTACTGCGAGGCCAACGCAGTTGAAGAGCCGTCAAAGAAACGAGCACTACTGCTTACACTTTGCAGACCCAAGACCTATGAGGTCGTACGAGCACTCGTGGCACCAAGAACCCCGGCAAACGTCAGTTTTGACGAGCTCATGGCACAACTCCAGAAACAGTTCGACCCGCGGCCGTCAGAGCTGTTCAGCCAAGCGAAGTTTCAAAGAAGAGACCAACAACCCGGGGAATCCATATCCAGCTACGCGGCGTCTTTGAAGAAGTTAGCCGCAGACTGCAACTTCGGGATCCCTGTGACACCGGGGACTGCGACAACTTCCGGTACAACAAGCGTCGGCTTGGCTTCAACTGCTACCGGCGCCACCGGCGAAGGAACACCTGTGATTTCGGCAACCACAGGACACACACCGGCTAATCCGACCATGCTACCCCTTGAGGTAATGCTCAGAGATCGTTTCGTTTGTGGCATAACTGATGAGCATCTCCAGGAACGTTTGTTTGCCGAAACGAATCTAACTTTTCAAAAGGCATATGACATGGCCGTGCGAACAGAAAGTGCCGCACAACATCAACGCGATTTGAAAACACACAAAGAGGAGGTTCATGCGGTTAAGAAAGAACAGCTACCACCTAAGCAGTTGAGTACGAGTGGCAGCAGACAGAGGGATCTACACACATGCTACCGATGCCAAGAACAACATTCGGCTTACTCCTGCCAGTCCCGAAACGCACGGTGCAGCTTCTGCCACAAGAAGGAACATATCGAAAAGGCCCGTTTCAAAAAGTCAAGAACGCAGCACCTATCGCGGACGACACACAGCCTCGATCAGCCAGATGAGCTACCCGAATTTGACGATGATCATGCGGATACGCCATGGAGCCTGCACGAGCTGAATATGGTTAGAGCATCGAAGACGCTGCCAAAGTTTATAGTGACACTGAGCATTGAAAATAAAGAGCTCGAATTCGAAGTCGACTCCGGAGCTGCTTGCTCAATCATCAGCGAAGATACATATCGCCACCTCTGGCCGAAGAAGGCCCCTAAGCTAAACCAGGAGGGCCTGGCCCTCCATACATGGTCAGGAGAGGGCTTACAAGAGCTTGGGACGGCAAGTGTACATGTCCGACATAAATCGAAGGATTACATCTTGCCTTTGGTCGTGACAAAAGGCTCAGGATGCAGCCTTCTAGGACGGAACTGGTTTCGAGACCTAAAGATCCGGGTGAGTGGAATCCATCACCTCGGCAACCATGGCAGCGTCGCCGAAGTCTTGAAGACACATGAGGATGTTTTTGACGCCAAGATCTCGGGACACAAAGGGCCACTAATAAAAACTGGAATTAAAAGAAGGCGCGACTCCCCACTTCCTCAAAGCACGACCCGTGCCGTTTGCACTGCGCACCGCGGTGGAGGCCGAGCTGCGGAGTCTCGAGAATCAAGGAATTTTGGAAGCGACGCAACACTCCGAGTGGGCCACACCGGTGGTTGTAGTACGAAAGAAAGATGGCACCATCCGGCTATGCGGAGATTACCGAAGCACGGTAAACAAGGAAGCAAAGCTCGCAGTGTACCCCATGCCGACGGTTCCAGAAATCCTGGCAAATTTGCAAGGAGGTTTGGTATTTTCGACGCTAGACCTCACCCAAGCGTATCAACAGCTACAACTGACAACTGAGACGGCTGACGTGTTGACCATCAGCACTATAAAAGGCCTCTATCGAGTCAAGAGGATGCCATTTGGCATCGCAGCTGCTCCAGCAATTTTTCAGCGATTCATGGAAACTGTTTTAGCAGGAATCCCGGGTATAGGGATATACCTCGATGATGTGATTATCAGTGGGGCCAACAATGCCGAGCACATGACTAGACTGGACACAGTATTGGCGAGACTTGCTCAAGCTGGTCTACGACTAAAAAGATCTAAGTGCCGCTTCGCAGTGGAACAAGTACAATACCTCGGACACACCATCGATGCTGCCGGGATACACCCGACTGAGGAAAAACTCAAAGCTATCCACGAGATGCCAGAGCCGACCTGTCGAACAACGCTACAGTCGTTTCTCGGACTTCTAGCTTTTTACGACCGATTTTTGGCAAATCGGGCAACAATAGCAAAAGATCTCTACGCACTGCTAGAGAAAGACAGACCTTGGGAATGGAAAGAAAATCATCGACGAGCCTTTCTGCAGCTGAAACAGGCCATCGCAAAACGTACGGTCCTCGCGCACTACGACGAGAACAAAACCATGATCGTGTCATGTGACGCTTCCCCCTACGGCGTCGGCGCAGTATTAGCACAGTTAGATGCAGACGGAAATGAGGCTCCGATTGAGTTCGCATCAAGAACGCTCGGCAAGGCTGAAAAAAACTACTCGCAATTGGACCGTGAAGGGCTGGCTATCATTTTCGCAATGGACCGTTCTCATCGCTATGTCGCGGGACGTCCCGTGAAAATAACGACGGACCATCAACCATTGTTGGGCATCATGGGCCCGAAATCACCAGTACCGAATGTGCTTTCGCCACGCATGACACGCTGGTGTATCAAGCTCGCGGCCTATAACTATGACCTAATCTACAGAGCGGGAAAACGCAATCAAAATGCCGACGCTCTGAGCCGACTACCGGTGCCGGAAACGAAGGACGAACAGGATCCCCCCAGCGATGTCCTGATGTTGGAGGCACTGACGAAGCCTCCCATGACTGCAAAAGAACTGGAAGACGAAACGGCAATTGATTCCACTCTGGCTGAGGTCTTTAGAGCAGCCAAGAATGGCGAGGTAAAGAGACTGGTGGGCGATCGGTTCAACGCGTTCAAGCTCAAGGCAACTGAGTTGTCCATCCATCGTGGTTGTCTCACCTGGGGTGCGCGCGTGGTAATCCCAGCGTCAATGAGACCCGAGGCTATGAGACTTCTACATGCAGGACACCGAGGCATCGTAGCCATGAAGGCCTACGCCCGAAGCTACGTGTGGTGGCCCGGTATAGACAAAGAGATTGAATTATGTGTAGCTCAATGTGAGAAGTGCCAGCTACACCAGAAAGCACCACCAAAAGCCACCAGTCCCACCTGGGACAGACCTACAGTACCTTGGGACACCATCCATTTGGATTTTGCAGGGCCTGTAGATGGACAAGTCTATCTTGTCGTGGTAGATGCATACTCTAAATGGTTAGAGGTTCGTGCAGTTTGAAACATGACGTCATCAACTGTGATTTGTGAATTACGGAACATTTTTGCAATGTTCGGCATACCACGTAAAGTAATGTCGGACAACGGAACCGCTTTTATATCGCAAGAGATAAAAAGCTTTTACCACTCCAATGGAATCACAGCGGTAACAAGCGCACTTTATCACCCGGCAACGAACGGCCAAGCCGAAAGAATGGTACAGCAATTAAAGAAGGCTCTGGCGAAGGGAGAAAAAGACACGGTGAAACGTACACTGGCACGGTTTTTATACAAGCAGCATACCACGGTACACACTGCAACGGGCAAGACGCCGGCGTGGATGTTTCTTGGTCGAGAGTTGCCATCACCGCTACAGAGACTGCTGCAGCGGCCTACTTATGACCCTCCAACCACGTTGATAACCTCAGATTCGACACACTCGCAGGACTTTTCCGTTGGTCAGGCCGTGTGGATCAGGAACTTCCCAAGCGGAAGGACTTGGACAGCTGGAGTTATTACACGCCGTCTAGGTCCCCGGTCGTGGATGATCGACACCGAGGAGGGCCAGGAAAGACGGCACATGGATCATATTCGTCCAAGGAATTGCACCTCGCAGTACAGAAACAGCAGTACACCCGCTCCAGTGTGGGACTTGATCCTGGAGCCCGACGAGCCGTCATCCGCACCTCCAAAGCCAGAGACATCACGTACGCCTCCGAGGCCGGAGCCCGCGCGTAGTGAAACACACCAACGCACCAGCAACCGTGTGCGAAGACCACCGGAAAGATTAGGAGTCGCAACTAAGTGAGGGGGAAGTGTAATGTACCGGCCGGTGGCCAGGACAGGGCGTGAGCGGACTCCCGCGCTTTCAAGAGCACGGGACTGGTGCACGGGTTTCTGGGCCTCGAGACGGGAATTCTAGGCGCCATTAAAGTAACGTCCGGACGCTTGTCTATGCCGAGCTTGAGTCCTTGCCTGGGATACATTACAGGAAGGTAGATTCTTCTTGCAAAAAATGCATCGACGAGCAGGCATCCCACTTGGCAGAATCCTTATATTTACTTATTTATAATTATTACCCTCAACAAAGGCCTTATTCAGTGCCAATCAGGTGATATCCAACTTTAGTCTGTGCTTGATCTGAAGCATCCAACTTTTAGCCCTTTTCCCTTGCAAATAAGGAAGTGTTAGGCACAAGCTTCCCGAGCAGATTCCAGTGCCCCTTGCAAATCTGGAGCAAACTCTGTGCGCCGCACGTGAAAGGGTTGTTCAAGGTAGACCGGGACTGTCATCCCACAAAGGAAATAGAAAAACCGACAACCACGAAGCAATGCAGCTTTTCGAAGTTTTCTCTATACACGTCCAAGTACCGCGCCATCGTTTTGGCAATTTCCTTTGGAGTAGAAAGAACTAGGCTGCGTGCCTGCAGTCAAACGAACCTGTCCTTCCTGTTTCCTTGTCACCGGCTGTCTTCCTTCCCCAAACAGTTTACACTAAACAATCAACCTTGTCCGCAACAATGTTCTTTTCCCATACTGTGCTTGCAATCTGAAAATTTCAGCAGGTTCGTCAAGCTTCTCCTTTACCGAAAACGTGTTTACGCGCCGACGCTCTACGGCTACAGGCACACTGCTTGCCACCACAATAGCTGGAACTGCTGTGCAAGTCTTAAATACGCCATAGACCCTTTTAAAAATTACACCCTCTCAGGGTCGATCTGAAGATGCCGCAAAGTGGCGTGGACAAAAATCACCAACCTGGCAAGTCTATAACTGATATTCGCGGCGAGAAGTTTGGGTATCGCCTCCTGGTGTAATTTTTTCACAACCCAGAGTGAGGATACTTCAACTTCCCCTGGCGGTGCAACCACGTGCAATGCCAAGCTTCTACAGACTATGGAAATTAACACGCAACTGAGTGGGTAGCCTGTGCACTACCCAGAGTGAGGAAAACACAAGCATCCCTCGCGTGCTTCTCACCGCGAATAATACTCACTTGCAAGAGACCGTATAGACCTTTTCTGCAAGTGTGCCACCATCTTGAATTGACGTCACTTCCAGTATGGGCGAAAACATTGTTTTGCCACGCCAATAGAAGGCATTTAGGAAATAATCGTAACCGTCACACTTTCTCTTTTTGCCTCCCCTTTATTTTTTTACTATTTGCAGGTTGAAACGTTGGACTATTTTTCGTCGCCCATACCGGATACGCCTATTAGGTGGCTGGGGACGAGAGTACAGAGAAAAGGTCTATACAACCAACAGACTGGCAATTCTTATGGTTTTTTTTTGTTTGTTTTCACACCCCATTTTGCAGCATTTTTAGATCAACCGTAAGAGGGCATAAAGTTTGAAGGGATCTATACCGGCCATGGGATATTCAAGAATTATCACGTTAACATCCTCTGCAAATTTTATCATGCTTCATTTGCACAGCATTTCTGACGAACACGAGTCTCCCGTCAACGTTAGGGTCTAGGGATTTATTACCTTGGAACAAGGCTCATAAAGCTGGACCAAAACGCACAACGATGTTATGTACCACATGGTGCACAACTCTCTCCTTCCATGCAACGCCCCATTTGGGCCGCCTATGCACGTTCCCGCGTTCGTGGGCACGTTTCTTCGCGTGGCTGTCGCACGGCCAGCCAGCAGCCTCACTCCCTAAACGACCCTTGTAGATCCGGAGTCGGCAGAGCAGAATTATGGTGCTTGGGACATGTATCCGACCAGTGCATTTACCAAGTCGTCAAATGCGGTCTTTCGATTTAAGCTCAATGACGTCATAGAAGTGTCGTGCCATTGCCTGCCTCGACCCTGGCAATGGTGCAGTAGCAGAGGTGGATCTGGCAGATCTACCGCCGCTGCTGCTCCACAGTCCACGGAAGCCTCGGCAGCCTGAAGTTGAGACGCCACAACAACAGCGACACTCGCGTTCGCTCCTCCCTCTTGCCGCGGCTCCTGCGATTGACCTCCAAGATATTGACATCCGACGACATGACAGGCCGCCTTCTGCGACGTCACCTGTTTCTTCTTCGGGACCGATGCACGGGTGATACGAGATGCTGAAGGGGAGATGAGAGTCGAAAAACGCTGATTTTGTCGGAAAAAAAGGGGATTTTGCGTTTTTTTAGTGGTCTATTATCTTTAAACCTTCCCCTTTTGCGTATAAAAAAATCAAGACTGGATATCATCGCAAAATTAGTCAGATATGAGTTTGAAGCCTTTCGAGCGATGGAAAAATGAACCGTTTTCGAGCAAGCGATTCTTTGGATTGCGGCGTCGCCTGCTCATAAAACCAGAACCAACAATTTGTTCTATCGCTCTGCTTTCTTCGCAATGAACGTCGATTGAAAACGCGACTTTCGAGCTCGGAAGTTTGGGACGACACACAAGTTCGAAAGAAGTCGCCAAAAAGGCCAAGCGGAAAGCTTCAAAGAAGAAAAGTTCACCCGCAGCAGCTAACCCTAACCTCAATCGGGGCGAGGCGGAGTACAAGACTTTTGACCGACATATAGATCTTTATCATCTTTTTTAACCCTCACACTTTTACTGCGGGCTTGAACTAATTCTGACAACACTATAAGCAACTATTTCTCTTACATAGGGTACTTAAAGGGACCATGAAATGATTTTAAAATCGAATTTCATCCACCGCACGTCGTAAAAGGTGTGAAAAGAAACACAAATACACAAAAATAGGGAGCCAAAAAAAATTATTTGCATTAGAACTTTTAAAAGAAAACTGGACTCTTTTGCGCCTTCTTTCCTTCGCCTTTTCACTACGATGCATCCGCGGAAACGGAGCACGTCAGCCGAATCCACGTCGCCTATTGGGTAAGAGCCTACCTCACCAGCACCGCGATCGTAAACAATAAATAGCCGACGAATGTTTCCTAAAAGTTTTGTTAAATCATATTCAGATCCACATTTTGTAGCATAATTAGAGATGTGTGGCGAAAATTGTCAAATTTGATATGCTGAGAGCCAAGCGCCATCTATCGTGTGGTAAACGAAGCAACTACTGGGCAGGGCCGACAGTTACTTGGGTGGCGGCGACCGACGAATGTTTGTTTCCTTTGATTTCCTTCCTCTCAAAACTCTGACTGACTGAACGTTTATTTTTCTACGTGTTCTTCTCGCGCGTGCCGACTTCAAGCAGCAAGAAAAAAAGTACTTAAAACAGACCACGACGAACGAGAACGCTGGATCCACAAACACCCGAGAAAAGATTGCGACTCCGACGAAGCGAGCTGCTCAGAATATAGGCCTAGCAGGCACTCCGACTCGGCGCAGCGTTGCTTCATCGCAAGACCGTCTGCCTACGACGACCGGCTGGCGTGCTGAATGGAATATGCCCGCGCGACCCTTGTGGACCCTTCCCGTATTATAGTTTGATCGCTGACCTCAATTTTAGATTAAGAGGTGAGGTCAATCTCTTCCCCTTGTTTTCCGAGGCAGCGTTGACGAACACTCGTTGAAAAGGGACTCTCGTCGATTCTATCTTCTTGTTTTGTGTGATATAGAGCTGAAATAAACGCTGTATGGATTACCTTCGTAACACGGTATGTACACTTTGTTATTGGTATGCCATTTTTATTCTGACAGACTGTATGTCACTGTCGAGCTATAATAGTTCGTGGGAGGTATACGTGCAATGCCGGTCCAACCTTTCTTTGCCGAGTGTAGCGTCAGTATCGAGTTGCAATCGTAAAAGAACGGACCCGAAGCGCTTACCAACAGCGCGAATACAGCACTTCCATCAAACGCTCGCGTCCGCTCTGAGTGTGAACAGGTATTTACGTGACTCTTGCTGACACTCGTAGTTCAAACCTATCTTTTGCAATGTCGGCTCGCTCCTGCATCGCGGCAATTTGTTTCCATCTACGTCGCTTTGCAAACGACTGACACGGGCCGCCTTTTACCAACAATGACAGTTGGGTTGACTTCTGGAGTCTTCACCGGAAGACTCGCTGCACTTCCCAACAGGCATACCGGCGTACGGGACTAGACCCATGCTGTCGCTGTAGCGCAACGTATCTCATTGAATTTCGCTCAGCTGCGATGCGGCGACGAGAGGCGCCGATTCAGAAAATACGTCGGTGACATCAGCGCAGTAAAACCTACCGGCGCACCCCAACTCGTCTCCGCTAACGCTCCCATTCTCCTACTGCCGAGAGAACTTCCGGTTCCGGAAACAGCAGACGTCACGGCTTGTTTTGCGGTCAGTTGGAGAGAAAGAAAAAGTTGATATTTCAATAATTTTTTGTGTAGAAGTTAATAAACCGAGACGAAAACGGATGCCTGTTCGGCATTCAGTGAACATTGACGGTTTAATGTAGAAGTTATCTGGAAAAAGTAAAAAGGTCATTTCATGGTCCCTTTAATGTGTAAATTTGACCTTTGGCCAAGTTGGGTATATGCAGTTCCAGGGCAGACTGATAGATCGCAACAGTGTCAACCGGCCTTCAAGCGTAGCTCATCTAGTGCCTCTAAGTTTGAATCGTTTGGCCCGAAGTTTTGTCGTACGGCCTGCGGGAGAGGGAGAGTCACCTGAACGAGGTTGATGCCCTCCATGAGGTTCTTGAGCTCCTTGATGAGCTGGATCTTCTTGGAATCTTCAAACTTGACCAGCTTCACCGTGAACGCTGTCTTCACCTGGGCCACTCCACTGCCTTCTTCCTCCTGCACAGCCAAGTTGGGATTAATTGATTGATGTCTCATGGTGCTTAATTGTTTTCTAGTTAGAATTTTTTCAGTTCAATTGCACGCATTAATGAATGCTCATATTTCATAATGCGAAACGCATTAAACGCATTACGTAAAGCGAAACAGAGTGTGGTAGCACGTGAAAGAATGAAACTATAGAGACGAGTTGCAGTCGAATTTGGGGTTTCTTTGTGCCAAACCGACGAAGGGCATCTGGCGCGCCCCAGTGGAGGACTCAAGATTAATTGGGACCGTACGGGGATCTATCGACGTGCAACCGAAATCTCAGTTGCACGGCGCCTTTTCTGCAGTGAGCCTCGGTCAGAGTGCGGGCACCTTGGCCGGGATTCGAAACCACCACCCGGTGATCTGTAGGCCGGCGTTTTCCCTCGAAGCCGCCAAGGCGGCCCCAATTGCAAGTTGCGTATAAAGGCCCGGTAACATACGGCGGAAAGCTGACATTAAGGAAATGCTGAAAATAGTGGACCTAAGGATTCATGCGACACCGTCTTTGCGCTACACAGTGATGTGATTGGCCTAAGCCGTTTTGGAGCACCTTTCGGAGCAACCAAAACAGTGTTTTGGAGCAGCAAAAGTGGCTTTTGGAGCAGCCAAAACAGTGTTCTGGAGCACCAAAAATGGCTTTCGAAGCAGATATTCTTAGAAAAATAAAAATATGCGTTTTACGTGCTGGACAAACGAAGGGCACTTTGCTCGCTGAAATAAACGAATTATAGTCAAGTTGGACCACCTAGGAGTCTTTCAAGATGCAACTGAAATGTCAATGACATGACAGATTTTGCAATGCTTCAGTTAAATGATACCTACATATGTACCCACAATAGATATATAAGAACCAAACTTCACATATTCAAATTTATTTTAAAACTAAACTTCAGATATTAAAACTTATTTGAAAATGACCAGCTTAGTAGTAAATATCGCAGCATTAGGTTGACTAGTGATATAATATAATAAATGGAAGCAGTCCCCGACTGATGAAACACATAGCTACTGCAGTGCAATGCGAAATTGCACACAAGAAAAAAGGTGCTGTACGACTAGCGGGTACTTTTTGCTTTTCAAAACTTTCTGCAAAGCCGCTGCAAGCTTCGCTTTGGCTTAGGCTAGTAATGAATGTCCACTTTTAATGTCTCCAAAGAAACATTGAGACACTCCACAAGTGTACAGTGCTCTAGGCGTTGCCGAAAAATTTTGAACAACCGCTTCCCACCGTTTTACTGATTCCCGACGTGCCAGACTTTCGTCAAAAGTAAACGTAAAACAGTGGATTGCAAGCGTCCCGGCTGGTGCCTCTGTCGTGCAATCATGTTTGCATGCACGTCAGGGCAACTTCGGCAGGCTTGCAGCTGCACATGCTTCGTCGCGCGAGTGGAGACGGCTGTTCGATCGAAACCGAAACCATGCAGCTCCGTCGCCAACTGGTCTCCAAAAATGTATGTAAAATGTAACTGCCCAGCATGCGACAAAAAATAGTTCAGCGGCTCGTGCTTGCAAGGCCGGCAGGCAAGGTACAAGCTAAACATACAAAAAAAAAAAAAAAAAGAACCTGAGCGCATCGATGCAGGACATCGCGAGTCAGGGTCAAAACGTTCTTGGAGCGCTTTGTGCAACGACTGAACTCGAGACAAACAAGCGCGCTGTGCGGGTTCAGCGTGCAGACATTGCCTTATTTGCTTTAGCTCACTTCTCTTCACCAACTTTCTTTTGCGACAGATTTTTCATGTACCGGGGTCCCTCTCGAAAGAAAGCCAACCAAAAGAAACCTAGGTAATCAATACTTAGACACAGCAGTCTCCGAACTAATGGGGGATTTTTTGTAGTAGCGTATGTTTTAAACAAGAACAGGAATGTTGATGAACATGCGGCGGTCCTTATGTTTCAGTTTAGGAAGCTCCATATCTGTAGCGACGTGCGGACTGGTAGGCAGGACCAAATATAGTTTTCCCACGGCCGTTGCTTGCAGAAGCGAGGGCTTCAGCTCAAAAAGTAACTCCCGCCGCGCAAAAACTTAATTTCGTTTCAGTGCGACGGCATGGCTGGTACCCAGCACGTTAGCGTCGGAGCGTCCGCACACGCCCGCATCTATCGCAAAAATTAAAAAAATGCGAGACGACATTCACGAGACGACCAGAGCGCGAAAGAAGAGACGGCAGGAAAAACCATGCGAGACCGGATAGGCGATTGATGTAACTAAAGCAAGGGTGCAGGCAAGCTGGTTCAATACTGAGATTGGAGTTTTTTGCCTGTCCTACGTCCCTACTTTTCCCCGGCTCCAGGGTTACAATGTCACGATTGATGCAGAGTACATTGTGTCGGGTGGCCGCTTGCGCCACCTAGCTCACGCATGCTCAGTTACGGTACTCAGTTTAGTTTCGGTTTTGAAAGGCGACCAAAATTGGTCCTTTGGCGCAGGCTTGGCACAGATTACCCATATTTTGGCGAAATGTAGCAGGATGTAGCAGGGTTAGCCCCTTGGCGCAGTTTGGCGCAATTGGCGCAGCAATCACATCACTGGCTACATCACTGCTGATTGGGGTCATGTCAGCGCGGCACCAGTGCTTTGGATACATTAAAAGCAAATGTGTGTGTTGCCGAGCAAAATCACGAGGTGTAAAGGTGTACGTCTTTTGGGTAGCTGCGGAAAGTAAGTACAGCAGTCTAGGCCATACACAGGGCATTCAAGTAAGGTATGAAGTATGTTTAGCGAGCTACGGCAACGAGTGCATGCTGGCAAGTTCTTCACCGCTCAAAAAGTGCCCACATGAAAGCCGTGTGCGGCCAATCGAAAACTGCAGGGCGTCACCTCATAGAAACGTCCACAATGCCCCGATTTCAGATCACCGTCGCCTCAAATTACCCGGCTAACTTGGAGCAACACGAGAGAACCTCCCCGTCGCAAGAATGCCATGTCCCTTTCTGAAGTGGATACCATTTATCGCAGCATAATTTTCATAAAATACGAGGAGGGAGCCTGCATTCGGGAAGTTTCGAGGACCTTTTAAGAATGTACCATATTTTCTGGACTATACACATTTAAAAGTTTAAATTTTACACGATGCAGACTATCTACAGTCACGGGCTATAGACCTTTTTCACCAGGACACCGCCATCTTGAAATATTGTCACTTCCAGGATGGGCAAAAACAATGTTTCGCAAGAATACATTTAGGATGTAAGCGTAACTATCACCCATTCTAGGTTTGTCTCCCCTCTATTAGTTTTTACTATTTGGAGGCTGAAATGTTTCATTATTTTTTCATTCTCCACATCTGATATGCCTAGCAGGTGGCTGGGGACAAGAGTAAGCGAAAAACATCCATACAAGGACTTGATTTTTGTCAGTATGACACAAGCTTTTTTGTGAGCTACTAAAGTGGGCATTAGTCGAGGACTGCGTTGTGTATTAGAATTTTTGCCAAGCATAAAAAACAAGGAAATACTTTTTGTCTTCAACCAATATCTGACATGGAAAATAGCTGAATGCATAAATGCATCTTAATCGCACAGATAAAGTCAGGAGATGCAGAATGCGTCAGATGTTTCGAGGTGCACTGGGTGTCTAGTTAAGAGCTTTTCCGAACTTGGGACTAGCACTAAAATTGACAAGCATGCGGTCCTTGAACTTAACAGGAAGCGTTTCACCGCTAAATTTAGTGTTTGAAATACACCCTTTTCAAAAGTCGGAGCCACCTAGTGGCACTCTCATAAGCTCCAATGTTTTTGCACTAATAGCACTTATAAGAGAACAACAGGCCCAACTTTGAGCACCCTCGAATTTGTGAATCAAAGGAGGTGTACAATAGCCGGCCAGTTCAAATTCCCCGCTTTTAGCCTATGCTTTTGAAGACGTTCGCGTTCCCAGTTGTGGAGAAGCTGTGCAGTGCCAACATTGGAGCATAAAGTTTGGCTTTGGCCGCGATAAAGTCACTGGATCCTGAACGAGTACAGTGTAGACTGCATATAACGTATGTCGCGGGAGTCGCGAAAATCCGCACTATAAGCGGTACCGCGCTATAACCAAAACATCAATTTTTCAGGCCAAAATGCATGCCATCAGACAACTTACCTTTGTAAAAGAATTTATTTTACTTTAGATGAAAAATAAAGCTTAGTTTGAGGAAAGTCTTTATTTCACCAGACTAGTACACTTCTCTCTCAAGTGTGTCACACATTTTGAAAGAAATGAGCAACTTTCGCCTGGCGCAGCCTTTTAACAGCGCCGCGGGTTGCGGATGGACGTTGCGAGCGTTCAGGATTGCTAACCCTAATCACTTTTCTCCGGTGATGAAAACGTGTGAAAATTCGCATCCTTTATACGGTACGAGCCAGTAATACCTTCAACTTCAGCACAGGCATGAAATGCCCCAAATAAGAAATCCGTGCATTGTTCGAGGACACAAATGCTTAGAAAGGTCCACTGCAGTCGAAGTAAACAAACACGGGCGCTTCTGCCGTCTTGAAAGTGCCGCCACGACATCGCCGCACGAGTAGGTGGATCTTCCCTTCTAGTACGTGCTGGGTTATCATAGCGACACACAACTAAAATTCACAGTCAAAGATAGCGCTTTTACGCGGAACGATGAGCTTCCACTGCTTCCACCACGCTACGTCGATGATCACAACCGACTCCATGCTTGCCGATAGAAGAAGCCGGCCCGCGACCGGCATGCAACGCGCGCGAACACTTCTCTTCGACCTGCGATTGGTCTGTCGTTGCGGTTGTTTCCAACGCAGCGGAGGGATGCACGCACGTGAACAACCCTCCGTCGCTATGGTAACTGAAGCCTCTCTCTTCGCTTCTCCCCGCTTCTTCGAGCAAACTCCTTGCCCCGTGAGTGCCGCTTGCGGCTAGCGCCGTTATCTAGTGTCGCACAGGGAAGCATGCTCGCTGCGCCGGTCGGTCGGCGCGGTCGGCGGGCTGTTCCAGAAACCGCACTATAACCGGTATTTCCCTTTGCGCGCCTGCATTTTAAACGGTATGTAATTACATGGAGTTCTATGGGAGGCGAACCTTTAAAAAAGCCACGTTATACCTGGTCCTGCACTAAAAGCGGTTACGTTGTAAGTGGTCTATACTGTAGTGCCAAGCTCCCTCTATGGTCGCCATTCTGGTCCATGAAATGAGCAGTTTCTCATCCACCTCTTCTTTCTTAGCCGATCCAAATCCCTGGTGACAAAGTTCTTTATAAAGACGTTTCTCATATAGAGAGACTTTGTCATTTGCACACCGGCTAAACAAGCGCACATCTTTGCACTGCCAAAAACAGGCGGCGTCGGCACTCGACGGCATCGAAAAATAATTTCCCTGTCTTAAATATGCAACAACAATATCCCTATAAGAGATCTGTGGAGATAAGCCCAATCGACAAGTTCATTAGATACTCAGTGCCAAAAACGCCTATGTGTGCGGGGAATGCTCTTAGTATGATGACGCTCCATACCAATCTTGGCGCAACTGGTTCAGGCAATGACTTCTTCGAAGCATTAAAAGGACCAAAATGGTGATTGCCATGGAAACAGAGGCTGATCAGCCAATATCCTTGCAAGGTTTCAGTTGTCTGTATGTTACTATCTGTTTGTGTCCAGCTAGCAAGGGGGGAAGGCAATGGCACAACTTTCCCGCAATCTATAGTGACTATAGACCGACACACTGCTTCCAAACAAGCCTGTGTTTGCCCACACCAGGTGTGGGCACTGCACAAAAACAGAAACCAGATTCGCATGAGGTGAAGCTTCTGCGCATGCCCCGTTGCAACAACAGCGCCACCGGAGAGGCACGACGTCGGAGCCACGTGATGGTCTATAGGTAGACTGACTTTTGAAGAGGGTTTATTGAACTGGTGTTTAACATAGACCCATTCAGTTCCCCTGAAAAACATTGCAGCTGTATGTTGCTCGCTACATTTAGCGCATTATGCTTTCACATCACACTTGCACATTGCAATTCTATGTTACAGTTTCTTGGGATATCTTTTTCGCAAAGCATTAGCTCCATACATGTTCCGCGTAAACGCCTTTTCTCGAAATCGAGGCTATTCAATGTTCACGGGGGGTCGTGCCCAACCCTGAAATGCCTTACTTTCACACAATGCTTCTAGGGCAGTGGTTCTCAACCACTAATGTTTCGGGGATCCCTTCAGGATTGGCAGAATTGATGGAGGTCCCCATCCAAAATAGTGGGAAAGGGGGTATTAGACCATTACAATGACATAAGTCAACTTTGAGGAAACTTTGAAGCTCTGAAAGAAATAATAATCAGCCCAACTCGCTCGGCACACATGGTTTGGCGGTCTATTTAATTCGTGCAATAGCGCGCACGGATAAAAAAAGAAAAAGTTATTGCTTCGCTCGATTGACATTTGAGGGCTTCGGGGACCCTAAAAAGACCTTTTGGGACCCTAAAGAGTCCGCGGACCCCCATTTGAAACCACTGTTCTAGAGTGTACGTCACAAAGAACTCTTTTGCCGCTCTCGAAGAGAGCACCCCTATGTCGACGAAACTCGCTTTAGCTCTTCTCTTTGGCCGACAGTTCTACAACCAGCTGCCAGGATCGCGGCATCTGACAGCGCGACGTCCGACAAAGGAGCGTGCTGGTGCCTGGGGTGTCGTACGTTGCCGCTTCAGGTCCGCTTTGTACATACGAGCGACACAGGACGCCAAAGCGCATTGGTTGAGGATGCATTCCAGGCGCGGTCAACCCACCTCCTGGCCTGCAGACGCCGGCGCCGGTGCGGCCCACCCTCCGGCCATCATGGGAGTCTCCTGGATCTTCAGCGTTTTCTGCGAGAACGCGTCGGCAGCTCAAGCATTCGTCGACTCGTCCATTCCACCAGGCATCTCACCATATTAATAGTAACAATAAAATCTTTTGAGCAGTAAACAAATGAAGATTTAACTACAGGCAAGCAAAATAACGGTGATGCTCGTGTGCGGGGCATGACAACCAGCAGAGATACTATGTAGTTATACAAGCTCTTCTTTTTACAGCTTAAAGAGTCAAGTATAAAAAGACCATACTCTATTTCTATAATCTCAAAAAAAATTTCAGTTTCTTTTAAAGGGAAGCTGAGGCACTTTTAAAGAAAACTGAGTTTCGAGCAGGCTTCTGTAGCCTTTTGTCCCGTGAATTTGATTTATTGCGCTTTAATTGGGCCATTGGAAACATACTAAACTGCTTTTATTTTGGAAAAACAGGCCGGGATTGTTGCGGGGCGTGCGGCAAGCCGCTCTGCTGCTTGTCGTCTCTTTAAGCTGTCGCGACGTCGTCGCTGACATCTCCAAGCAAGCTAAGTGGCGAGTATGGGTCATCCAACCCCGCCAACAACGTCATATTTGCCGATTTTACCTTTTGCTCTCGCGCCCTCCTGCGCTCGGCGTGCAACAGCAGGTGGGGCTGCGGCCAAATTTTAACTGGCGTTCACGTTGCTCCCACCGACAAAATTTAATGAAAACCTTAAACACACAATTTTTAAGGTGTCTACGTTCACACTTTCACAGTTCTTTCCCAACTCAAAAACCCCTTCAGCTCCCCTTTAAGATTGTTTGCAGTTTATATGTGCTGCGGAAATAATTCTTTACTAGTATTACGTAAATGTATGCCTAAATATTGGAGCACCTCACCCCCCTTTCTGCTGTAGACTCTGGAAACGCTACACTCTTTCGTAAATTACTGGCCTCATTGTTTTATGAAGTTTTGCTTCTTTTTTTATACTAGGATTTACTACACTTGCTGTAGCATCGAGATAAAAGAAACTCTGGCACATTATACAGGCACCGCGCAAAGTATTTCTCACAAGCTTTGGTTGTCAAAGGAAGAGACAATGCTTTTGACCTTTGAAGCGTGTACATCTTGATCAAATAGCCTAGAGCTGATCTACAATGCACCTACATGTATCTTAATTCGACGCATGAAAGGCGAAATTAGTATGGTGAATACGAATGGGGCTGGTTCATAGATTGGTACTTGCTATGACCGACTGCATCGTGACCTCTCGCAAGCTCTTACAACAAGAACGCCCTGAAGATCAGTGGAACGCAATGGCACGCTGGCGCCACCTGTCGGGTAGCCCTACAACTGCACACAACCAAGTTTTTTCATTATTTGCGACACCAAACCTATGCGCTATCCGTAAGAAATGGTCGGTTATGACTAGGATTTTGTGTTTTTGGAGTTTACTATTTTGTTAAAATCGGAGGGCATTTTTCTGAGTTATTTTATGCTGGAAATTCTGTGTTTATCACAGTTTATTTTTGCAAGATTCCCAATTCCCCAAAATTCGGAGTTTCATACTACTCGGTTCTTTTTCTTTTTTTTTTAATAAAAACAAGTTATGTTTAGACAAAAACATACCCTATATTCAGGGTATGTTTTCAAGGTATGTCAGGGTAGACAAAAACATACCCTACTTGCCAAAAAAATCACTGGTATTGGAAGATATTTTTGTAGCTGCATTTGGCACTGGTGCCCTTGCGATTGGCTCTGCTAACTGTCCTGCGACTAATCTTAAAAACAACTATTACTCCGATGATTGTCGGTACCTTGAAATTTCCAAACTCCTGGATGCATAAAACAATCAGCTTCTCCTCCCCATCCTAGAAAATCTACAGGTTCACAGTTTTCCCCACAATAAAAACATAACCCCTCCTTTCTCTAACAAGCACAAAGGCTATGGTCGAAACTTGAAACCGGAATGGCAGTTTTGGTCATGGTCAGAAGTACATTGGCCCATTGTACTGAACAAACCTTGACGAAATAAACAGAAACTCCCTTTTGTTAGCTGTCTAAGATGACAAAAAAAAAAACTGAAATGGCTTTTTTTTTAGGGCCACCAGAGCTGTGCTCTGACAAACTCTATTTGTAAACTATTGTCTTTTTATTTTGCCATTGTGACCAGGAAATTCAGAGTTTTTCGAATAAATCCAAATTATTGGAAATTTTACCGGCAAGTGTTTTCCGGAGTTCATTGAATTTATTCAAAAACACGGAAGCCAACAATAATGCAGTAAGAAAGTATTTCTAGCTCAGAGTAAAATAATTATACAAAAAAATAAATCAGTAAATAAAGGCACACTCAGAGTGTTCCTGGGCTAGTGGACAGATGGCGCCAGTGCCGTCTCTTGTAAGCGGTTCACAAGAGACCACAACGCACTCGGCCAGAGTCACACGCAGATATGTGAACCAGCATTCAGCGTGCACGTGCATAAGCTGTACGTACCGGGTGGTTTCTTTTTCAGGTTTTACACATTTGTTGAAAATAAATGCCGTTAAAACCACCCTAATCCGGTGTGTTCCGGTGGGCTAACTACGATCTGTTCATCAACTTTTTAATCAGTGAAAATAAACATGCGGTTCTGACCAGAAACTCAGTAAGGATCATCGAAAACCGCTCGATCACTGAATGTACACAAAATACGGAGCGGCACGGTAGTTCGTTAACGCTAGCACTGAGCGCTCGTCATCTGGGCCTTCATACCGCCAGCCTTGCACCTGTTGCACGAGTGTTCATTTTAGCGCATTACTGCGCTCAAAGTATCTCTAAAACCAACCGATTTATAGTCAGTGACAAGTTAAGAGTTCGGGGGAAGCTCGTCCCATCTCTTTGAACTGTAGCAGAGCGAACGCCGGAGAGGAGGTCGCAATCCTCTCTAGCGTTCACCCTGCTAAAGTAGAAAGAGGTGGGAGGAGCTTCCCTCGAACTCTTAATTCGTTACCAGTTTGTTTTACGACAAGCCGGCCCGGGACGACAGACGCGAGCCCCACCTTGAGCAGGTCGTTGAGGTCCGCCACCTCCATGAGCGTCAGCCGGGAGATGTCGTCCACTATCCGCGAGATCTTCTCGGGGTAGCTGCGGTCCTCGGCGTGCGGCGACGGCTGGGCCAGGGCCTCCGTGCTGTACCTCGCCGGGCCATGGGCTGCCGGCACAGTGGGAGACCTGCAAGTGTCGCAACGTTCTCAAACAAGAAAAACACTTAGAAAAAGTGGTCCCACGATTTCCGCCTGGTGGACACTGTATTAATGTTACGCTGTTGCCGGTAGCGATCCTAGCGGTGTCGCATCGGCGGGTATGAATGTGGCAGACGCCCGTTCGGCTGCAGGTCGCCCTCTAGCGTGGCAGTCCACGGCAGCTTCGGCAGTCGGAAGTTGGGACAACAGCGTCACTCGCGTTCGCTTGTGCTCTTCGCCGGCACTTCTACGATCAACCGCCAGGATCGCGACATCCGACGTCGTGACACTCCGGCTTCTGTGAAGTCATTTGTTGCCGCTTCGGTACCACGTTGATGAACAGGCGGGATAGGGCGTTAAATACAACAGTCATAGACGCACTCCCGGCATAGTGCCGACATTACTGGATTAGGTCGGTTGGAGAACTCCCGTGGAGGGGGGTACACCCCCTCACTCACTTCGACCCACCTCCCGTCGTTTTGAGGGACCATCGAGACTGTTGTTGCACAGACACGGGTTCCATAGAGTATGATGACACACCATCTATATGCTGTGCAACAAAACATGCATATTTGATAGAATACACCGCGGTTACTATAGCAGCCATCCTCAAACCGGTGGCGTGTCGAACGACGGGAGGCGAGCCGCGGGGGGAGAAGGGAAGCACCGCTCGTGCGAGCGGCGTCTATGGGCAGTTCCGTACCCTCTATACCCTCAAACTAGTTGGGCGTTGCCTAAGATGGAGGGTAAGAACGTAACCCGAGCAGATGAAAAGGAGGGCAAGAAAGAAATCCCCTCTTCCTCTTTTGTGAGCCCCACATCGCTTTGCTCTACCTTCGAGAGTAGCCTGTCACTCAAAATTCGTACAAAAGAGGCTTTCGTGTCTCTCTCTCACCCGTAGCTTCTGCACTACAGCACCCAACTAGCGAGGTAGAGTAGAGTAATATTGCACCTAGTGCCACTAATGGCGAATTCGGGTGGTCAATCATCGGCACCTTATTTTGCCCGAAAACCGGCAATAGTATTTGCGTGGGCAGTTTCCGGCCGGCGCGCACTGTTCGGGTGGTGGTTTTCCGGCAAGCACCGGCAACTTTCCGGCGCTTTTTCCGCTCGAGCTCCAAACAGCCGGACGAGCAGGCGCCCGACTGTATCCGGCGTTGTCGCTTCCAAAATAGGAGAGGTCAGTGAGAAAGAAATTAAGAAAAGGATGAAACTGTTCTGAAGTCATTTCAGCAGCCACTACCCGAGTCAATCCGAGCCGTTGGGACATGGGTGATGGCGGCGACAGCCTCTCGCTAGCGGTGTTGCGCGGGCAAGAGGCGAAGTAAACTGCCACCGTCTGGCATTTCGTCTTCGGGTGCTGAGGGTCACGTGGTGTGCCGCCGGCGCATTTCTGGTTGCCGGTTCCGCCGGCTCAGTCTTGCCAGTGATTGACCACCCAAATTTGCCAAAAATAAGTTAGGCTTCAGAGTAACGACACTAACCCACCTCGTGGCTTAATATCATGGTTGCCAGTTATCTGAAGCTTTATGTGAAATCATAGAAAACGCTTTTCAGTCTTCCCCACATGTTTTAACAGTTCGCGACAAAGCAAGGACATTACACGAGCTTCCCAACACCGAATCTAATGCTGAGGAAGTCGCACTTCTGAATCATGACGCTCGGCAGTTGCGTCTGGTCTGCACAAGCCTAGGGAGGCTCTAGTGAGGGTGGGTGCAATTCAAAACCTGGAGAGCGTTTGCAATTTAATGGTGGCACCTGGGAGAGAGGATTCGGGAAAGGATATGCAACAATGTTGCCTGCAGGAGAGTAGACGCCCGCTCCGTTGCAACTCTGTTGCTCCATGCGCTTTTCCTCCTCTCGCCTCCCATTGCAAGCAACGAACGCCCTGGAGCAGTCTTTCTCGCTCCGAGTATTGCAAACGTCAAGAGGAGAAAGCAGAGTTGACAGATAAGCAGCAACATCCAAGATGGTGGAATTTACAATTTTTCATGTTAAAAAAATACTTAACCTATTGCAACAAAACTGGTGGCTATGGAAAAGTAATCATTTATACCTTGTGTAAATTATCCAAGTACCTTAATGGGTTCTTATGACCCGAGTTAGGAAAAAAAACGACCCGTTGCCCCATAGACTCCCAGCAAAATTTAGCAATTAAATGGCGTCCATGTCCCGTGATCCCCGATCTAGCAGTTGCACCCACCCTCACTTGAGCCTCCCTACACAAGCCCAAAGATGGTGGCGCCCTCAACAACATCGGGGAACAGAGTGCCGATACTCGTTACAGTGCTCTAAGCGTAGCTCATTTAGTGGCTCGAGTTGCACCATACCCCAACGCAAATATGTGAACCATTCGCGACGCTTGCTAGGATTGCCGGCAGTTGGGCTAGCTCGGGCAACGAAAAAGCCACGCCGGAAAAATTCGCTCCGTTTATCGAAGATGTCTGGTGCGCGATGGTGCGCTCCCGGTCTTTCCGCAGCGGGTGATCGAAGATGCCATAAGAAAAATGACTAAACGCGTGCAACCTCAGATACATCTCCGGATACGTCCGACGTATCTTTAGTCACGGCGCTACCGACATTGAGTCGTACTCATTCATTTCGCATGGTTGGGCCCACGCGGCACACTCCAAGAGAGAGACGAGCACACGCTCTCCACAAGACACCGTTTGCCTCACCTCCGGTGGATGCCTCGTGTGCAGCGTTTTCCCGCCCATATGATGAGCCTGGACCTCCGAGCGAACGTGAGCGAAAACGACATGCTTGCTCGAAGGTATCCCTATAAAAACTAGCCAATTAGCCCTGAAAATGCTCACAACGTGAAGGACGAGAAGCACATGCGATGCTCGCGCACGCCCGAAGCCGATGATGATGATGATGATGGCAACGTTCTCCTCGATAGGATGAAATATTTTTGGGTAGTTATTCAGTATTACTGGTTTTAATACTGCAGCAATGCCTCCTAAACTAAGGTTATGCTAAACACAAGGAGCACCGCCTGGCGCCTGCAACGACACCGACGTCCCCGCCGTTCTCTTTTTGACGCTTTTTGACCAGTGGCTGCGGCGGCGTTGCAGCAGTTGCAGTCGCTAAAGTCGCCGTGGGAACCAGTGGGAACAGCCTGCCTCGGCGTCGCCGGCGTGCGACAGACGCGAAAACCGAAACCTTACTAGTGAAAATATAAATAAGATTTTTAACCTTTTGCGAATCCTAATTATACTGAAGCAAATAAATCAAAGATCACATCGGCAGTTCAAGAGAGAGAATCACCTCGCTATGGTAAACGCCTTTGTTAGACGTTTCTGGTCCAGATAACTTCGTTTCTAACTCCCTCAAACACGCACGCGCAGTATGCAAGCGAGTTGGTTGAGAATCATCATAATAATATGCAATAAAACAAAGAACAAGTTTTTGTGACGCCTTGTCCGTTATTTTATTTCTTTTTTTATGTGTGTGTCTCAGGGTTAATATTTTCATAAATTCAACACACAACGGTAAATGAGGGGTTACATTTTTCCCTTACGCTCATTCTGCCCACATTAATTACTATTTTATTATTATTATTGTATAACAAAAGCCTTATGTGTCCCACTACTCGAAAAGGCGTCAGCGTTGTGCCCGAAAAATGGCCATAAAAAGATGTCATCAAGCACGCGCCGCTCAAGGTCAAAGCCAACGTTGGTCAAAGCGGATGCGCCTCAGAAAAAAAAACACAAAGAAAAGCGCAGGAACGCAGATGCTTCGTCAAAGCCGTGAAGCCGGCGGGGGTGTCGCACCTGCGCAGTGATGTCACCGCCGGAGCAAAACATTTCACCCGCGGGACTATGCTTTCGAATTCCTTCACGTAAGCCAGCTTTAAATAATACCTTTTATAATTAAAGACTTGAGCGTGTTGGTGATCTAAATTGACTTCAAACGAAAGAAATACCTGTTTCGACCTCTTGTTTGTTTCTTTCGTTTTAAGTCAACCTTTTATACCATTCTGATTTTTCTGTTTTAGTATATTATACATGGCTTTCGCCAGATTTTTTCACTGCAAAATACTTTACCTTGTTTTGTCTCTTTTTTGTTCCGATTCTCATCGAGAGGTACACGATCAGTATGATGCTAATAAATAATAATGTCAAACTACTGGGCTTTTAGAAATCTCTGGTATGTTATATTCCTGGGGGCGAAACATAGCAAAAATACCCGATGATCAATTAACTCTACCGGTTAATATTAAAGGATGGCGATTTGTCGGTTTAAATTTTCTATTTAACGCCATCTCCCAATGCACATTGCAGAGAATTTATCGTTTTATCATCTGGTTTTATCATTAACTTTAGAATGGCGTATTTATTGTTTCTGCTTTCGACCTGCTGAAAGCGCTGCGCAAGCTCTTGTAGCTTCTTTTTCGCTCGCACTCATGACCCTCAGTGTGTCGCGGCGTCGCGAATGCCCGAGCTAGTGTTCTAGAGAGGGTACCCAAGTCGCGGTTATGTATCGTTCTAAAGATAGCTCGGTCGCATCGGTTGTGCTGAATTGCCACATATTTGTTGAGATCTCGCGACTTCTCGAACTTTCAAACGATTCAGAGATAAAATTTAGTCTACCGTTTGCCTGCATTTCGGCGAGATACTACAAATATTACTGGTAGAGCATATTAATTGTACTGATGGCTGGCGCGCGTTTTGCGCGGGCCAGCATGCACTTGAATGTTGTTCTATCGCTCGTAATAACATTGAGAAGACCGTTAAGCAAAATGCGCGTGGTATTATATAAAACATGCAAATTTATACAGACACCTTGTTTCATAGATGTTATATCGAACAAGGTTCTAGGTATTGATATGCGTAACGGTGTACTCAATGTTAGTACATTCAAGTGCATGCTGCCCGCGCAAAATGCGCGCCAACCTTCAGTTCAACTAATATCCTCTAGCAGTAATATTTTTAGTATTTCGGCGAAATGCATGCAAATGGTAGATTAATTCTTATCCCCGAATCGGTTGAAAGTTCGAGAAGTTGCGATATCTTAATAAATATGCGGCAACATCACGACAATTACACTATGAGCGACGTCGGAACTCCAGAAAACCGTCGAATGTGAACCTGATTTCGATAGTTCTGGAAGACCGGAGGGCGTAGCTGGTAGCGCAGCGATTCTGAAAGTTCACTGTACTCGGGCCAACCGAGCACCACGCGAACCCTCCGCTCTCGCGCATTTACCGCACACAGCGAGGGAGACTCCATTTCGCGCCAGCTGGAAATGCCATCAGCTGGCCGATCGAGGAGCCATCGGTAGGGCCGGAAGCAAGCGAAGCTACTGCGCACAGGCCGTCCTTCGATCAGTTTGGCCCCGTGTTACCCTCGCAGACACTGTATTGCCGCTTCGAATCGTCGCTGTCAGGATGGGAATCCACGCACATATACCCCAAACGCCCATAACCGAACGCCAAACCCCGCTACCCAACCTCACGAAAAAAGATGAGAGACGCCATGAGAGAGAAAAAAAGAAGGAAACGAGAGTCACGTGACAGGAACCAGCCAACCGGAAAGGGTCCGCCGTCAACGTCACATGCGCAGCGCGAGTGCGCGGGCTAGAGGAGGCATCCAAAATGCCGTCGACTGCTGACGCCAAGGCTTCGTTGGCGACCCAAACAGAGAAACCGAACCATTACAAGTAAGTGGGGAGCCGTGTCAGGGCCGGCACGGGCTCCGGGCCCCCCGCCCGCGAACCCCGGAGCTCAACGCCGGGCACCAACTCCCTCGCAGCTACCTGAAGGAGTTCCGGGTGGACCAGTGCCCGCTCTTCGTGCAGCACAAGTGCACCCAGCACAAGCCGTTCACATGCTTCCACTGGCACTTCAAGAACCAGCGGCGCAGGAGGCCCGTGCGAGCGGCCAGGGACGGCACTTTCAACTACAGCCCGGACGTGTACTGTACGAGCTACGACGAGACGACGGGTATCTGTCCCGAGGGCGACGGGTGAGTCGGGCGCTGCTGGCTGACACTCGCCATGTTATGAGCAGCGCGTTTGTTTTGACGGACGCTCGGCGGGCCCCCGTGGCGACGCGCCGTCGCCGACGAGCTGGTGCGCGCGTCATCGGCGGGTTTCACGCGACCGCCTCGTCGACCTCCCCGTCGCCCGAGACGGACCCGGGGTTTCTCGAACGAGGCCGTCCAAAGTCGCGACATGTGCGTACCAAAAGCACTTGTAAACAGTGTCCGCCATATTGTTTGCCTACGCCATGTTGGCGCGAACAATGACGTAATCAACGGGCGAGCCAATCGGAGGCCGCTCCAGTCTGTCCTGTATGTTTTTGTTTCTGTTCTCGAAAAAGATACAGAAAAGCGGATGGTGGGGCCAATACGGACTGCCGTAGCAAAAAGAAAAGGCGAGAGGCAGCGGAAGCGAGTGCAGTGTCGGTGGTCGTGGCGCGCGCGCGCCTTTCTGGAGTTCATATCGACAGCGTTGGCTACTCAGCCGAGGCGTAGCTTGGAAGCGCGCAGCTGGGGCTCGTGTACAAGCGATGTAACTTCAATACAAAATTGATTTCCCCCTCTCCCCCCCCACCAAAAAAAAGATTGGGGGGGGGGGGGGGGTAGATATTGACATTAACATGAATTTGTGCTTGCGATGTCGGAATCGGGAATTAACCTTTTGCCCCCAAAAGATTCACATAACCAAACAATGTGTTGACCGCAGGTGCAAAGTGCCATTTGTTTTAGATCTTTGCTTATAAGAGTTGCTGCTGGAGAAACCAGCACGAAAAGTGCCTGTAACCACTCCTGGAATGCTATAGGTGGTTGTGCAAAAGTACCGGGTGTTTGGGAGAAAAGGGAGCAGTGTTTTTTTCACTACATAAATAAGTTACGTATTGCCAGACTCAGTTTGGACCACATACCAGAGTTTGGGAACTTACCGTTAACCAATGAGAAAGTCGGAAATGATTTTGGGAAATTTTCAGTTAGGTAATGATGGCTAAAGCAGCCTGCAAATTCATGGAAAAGAATCGTGTCTGATACCAGTAACGGGCCTCCTTATCCTCATTAAAAATTTAAGGTCGCTGCTGACTTTTTATTTGGACAACAGTAGGTTCTGAAACTTTGGCATCTGGTCTCGTGCTACGTTTGGCCAGTGACTGAGCGTGCGGCGATGCATAGTTAATTCTTGCCTTAAGAAAAATGCTGTTCATTTTGCTTTTAGTTCTGAACAACCAGTATTTGCTCTGGTACATCCTGCTACGTTTTAACCTAAAAGTAAAGAATTTTCACCAGTCTTGAGCCAGTAGTTAATTTCCATCCCAACAAGGTAAGAGCGGAGTGCCCCTTACACGTTGGCTTCTTACTGTGGGCCTCTGCAAATTTTCTGAACTTTCGATTGTCCATACTTTCCGGCTCGGTCTTTATCGAGTGCTGGCAGTACTCGGAAATTTTGGTACATTGTTAGTGGTCTATTGAGCGGATATACGGACTATCGAAAGCTGCGATTCTGTGCTTTTTGTTTTGCTGCAACACAGCCCTGTGCTCGGGAGGAAAAGCACTCCTTTAGGGTTGGTATGTGCATGCACACTTATCAAAAAAGGAACTGTGACAACCCTTCTTTGAAGGTAAAATAAAATATAATGACTGCAGCCGGGGGTGGGCAGTATTTCAAATACAAGTATTTGAAATACGTATTTCAAATACTTTGTGTATTTTGCATTTGTATTTAATTACAAATTGGTTAATGTATTTGACGTGTGTATTTAAATACTAAGATGGTATTTCAAATACAATTGTAATTATATACAGTTTTGTGGGCGAAAATACATCCCTCAAATTTATTGTCACTGTCCAGAGAAGGAAGAAAACTGTTCTGCACCGAATGCAGTGTCTCTCAATCAAGCACAAGCGTTTAGTGACTTTGTGATTACGGTGCTAGTCTAGGGCAAGAATAGTGACGAAATCGACGTTCACAGGCAGAATGGCTAAATAAGTGCCTGTGACAACTTGTGATGCTTTTCAGCCTGATTTCCATCCATATTTTTGCCTGGAAAATTCTAAATGCCGGGTCGTCCAGATTTTTGCAATTGGTGCGAGTTAAAACAATGAAAAATTCTCTAGCTAGTGCTGCGCATCTTGGTCGTCTCGGTTCTTTGTTGGTCTATACCAAAATGTAATCGACAAAAAAGCTGCTTGAAGCTCTGTACTTTTTTCACCTTTTATGTCCAAGCTGATTGTATTTTTTTCTGAGTATATTTCTATTACGTTACTAGACCTCGCACACTAACTCCCGAGTGTGCGATGCAAAATTAAAATGAGATACCCAGAAACCCATTGCAGGTGACCTGAAGTTGCTGATGCACATTTTGAGGAATGTATTTGGAAAAGTATTTGGAGGAGAACAAATACATTTGGTTGTATTTGTATCTTGTAATTAAATGCTTTTTTGGAAATGTAATTATATTTGTAATTAAATACATGTTTGACGAAATATTTTGTATTTGTATTTCGATGCATATTTGCATGTATTTTGCCCATCCCTGACTGCAGCTAATGTGCATGCATACATGATCAACTGCTGTGTGCAGGCGAGTTGTGTGCATTACTGATGGTGATTTCGGGGTTCAGGTTTGTGCTTTAAAGAAGTATATTTGGATATGGCGAGAGGGATTTCTAAATCAGCCTTGATTAGCTATAATTGGGCTTCACTGGGTTTATTTTTTTATGTCGAATTCCTTAGTTAGTTACCCCCTCCACATAGGCCCTGCAACTGTTTGAGGGCAGAGTCAATAAACTTCAGATGAAAACTAAATGGGCTTTTGCAGTGGACAGATGGAAGCTTTGGAATAAGCTTAACATGTTCAGCTGGAATTTTTTTTTCTTAAAGCGTGTTTATCAATTGTGTGTTGCTTTCAGATCTTCATAGAACACTGATAGATCCTTTTTATAAATGCAGCCTGGCCACTTTAATGACTGTCATCAAAGAGGCCAGGCTGGCCAGGTAAAACTAACTAGCACAGCTGGGGGACAGGTTCGATCGAGGAAAATTAGGGCTCCCTCCTATCCAACCTTTCCACTCCGTCTCCCGGCAGGTATGGTGTTGGGATGATGCTGACAAAGTTTGACCAGAGGAAAATTGCCGATTCCCTCACCAGGGTGAAGAGGGGAGGGGGGGGGTGTGCATGTTTTTAGTTTTCTTGACTGATCCCCCAAAGGTCTTTCAGGTGATCACCCCCACAGCCTGGTGATGGTTACAGAAATGCATTGGCTTGGGAGGGGCAAAATCGTGTTATTTTTTAAGAATTCAGGCTAAGCGGCACGAGCTACTGCCGTCAAAAAAAGTTCAGCCGTTAATATCTATCCATCCATCCAGGCCATACTAATGGCTGCCTTCTTGTTACTGATGAAGGAAGAGGCGAGACCTATACGTCGGAGACGTTAGCATGATGCGATGCAGGAATCGAACACGAGCTACATAAGCATTCGTTTCTAACTCCGGTCGAGTCAGTCTGTTGGCAGCACGCGGTCGACTCTAAAAACACTCGAGACGTAAAATTTTATCCAGGCATCTATGTGGATCGGCGCTTTGTTCTGACTGGTTCCATCTTTGTCACATCGATATTGAAAGAGATTGAGAAGAAACTGCACGGCAAAGAACACTGTTGACTCGCAAAAGCGAGTGTCAGATGAGGGGATTATGCAATATCATCGCATATTCCCCTTTGGACAGCTTAATAAACGCAGGGCATGGCGAGTCATGAGCATGTCATTACCATTGCCTAGCCGATGAGTTTGCAGCGTTGGCCGACAGGAGTGCTGAAGAACGAATTGGAAGCGAGAATCGTGAACATACTAAGAGACGTCAGGTTCCCTCAATACACTATACTGGTCACGAAACTTGAGCGAACGTTTGGTACAGGGTCAAAGATTACGAGTATTTTCAAAAACAATTTCTCGTATACCGACATTTTTTTACGTCTGTAATTGATTTTGTGTGCAAGCACCAGTCATTCTTTAGTGATCTCTAATAACAGAACTTAAAAATAAGCTTACTTTGTTTTGTCTTTGCAAACGAAACTGTGTCTTTGCGAGCAAACATGAGCCAGACCATTGAGTGTACGGGTTCACGGTGTCTCTGCTCGATGGCGCCACTTGCGGCACCGAAGTTCGACGGCGATAGCGGTATTGAGGATTCATTTTGAGGCAAAACGAAGAATGCTGTTATTTTGGGAGAATGTGGCAGAAAAGGGAGTTTAACGGGTTGACCGAGTGCACAGAGCCAAAGACGCTTAATTCTACAGGAGATGCCATCGGTGCAACGACTCGTCGCCGCTTTCTATTAGCCGCTCATTCGGAGTGGGTTTTAAATTCTGATATCACCGTCTGACTGCCAGACTCCCAGCAGTACTGGCTAGATTGCTCTTAGCCCCCTCGTCGACGCTAGCGCCATGCGAGGTCGCATACCAAGCTCTCCCATCGCTCTATAAAGAATTTCTGTGATTGGTAGCGTTTTGACGCCCTGCGTTTCTTTGGCTGTCGGGGACTTTAGTTGCGGCAGTGCAGGCCTCCGTGGTACAGGCTGTTACCTGTGCAGTGCCGCGGCTCACCAATGAAACTACTATTACTAAACTACTACTGACTAGTCTCATTACCACCATTATTCGCAACTCCAGCCCGCCGCTCGCCGACTTGCGGACGAGCGGAGAACTGGAAAAACGGGGACGGCGGCGGCGGCGGCGGCGTGGAAAAGGGGTGTCGGACTTGATGCGTGAAGCTGTTTTAATGAAAAAAGTGAGCGCGTTAAAACAGGAATTTTTGTGCTCCGCCTCGCAACAGCGTGGCACGAAGGACCGGGATGTCTAATTTCATTAGGAACTTTTCGTATATCGTATACGCTGCGGATTTCCGGTCGTTTGTATGACCACCAGCTCGATCTGTGCTCAATGTGACGCAAACGCTCCCGCTAATAATGTAGAGCTCTAGCGTACGGTCTACGAAAAGTCTATTCTTTGCTCAAAGTAGGAGAAAACTGGTCGCGCAGCGATATGTCGAGCAATACACGTCGGGGATGGGTTTGCGTTTTGAAGGCTGTAGGAACATGACTATTTATTCCAAGCACTTTTAAAAAATAGAATGCGCATACTTGGTTTCAGGTAATTACAAACTAAATAAAGAAATGCCCGAAGCATTTTATGCGCGTCTGTGTTAGCCAGCCGTTCGTGTCGAAAGCCTAGAACGGTCAGTTTTGGCGAGAGGGGCCGCAACGTTCTAAATAACATGGTAAAAAAAAAAAAAAAAAAGGGTATATTAAAATATTGCAAACGAATAAATTTTCGCGAGGACCTAAATTTCGCGAATCGCCTACAATTCGCGAAAAATACGTCCCGCGAACGATTCGGGCAATATGTGAACGCTACGGGAGCTACACTCGATTCGCGAAAATTAGAACCCGCGAATTATTTCAAATTTTCAGCTTTGGCCCGACTCGCGTAAATTTGAGCCTGCGAACATTAAGTCGTTTGCAGTATGCATTTTTGGTACAGCAATAGATAAACCCCCTAAACCCCTAAACACGCCTATTATGGTAATAGGCAATATTAGCATAGCGTTACCGCAGGCTACCGTTGGCTACAGTGAGCACGGCAACGCTCCTGGCACGCGCTGAAAATCGTGCTTCAAAGGCGCAGCGCGAGCCTCCGGCTGTAATGCTACACCGCAGGGTAGCCTGCGGTAACTAACTTGCTATCAATAGCCATAGAGCCGTTTGATCACGTGTTGCAAAACACTAAAACCGATAGGGTGAGCAGCAGGTTGCAAGCCCCTGACACGAAGACGTCAATACTGTGAACGCTGCTCTTCCGGAGCTTGATGGTTACCTTGCGCAGCTCCCTTTTTAAAGCACTAACGGCCTGGCGAAGCGCAAATGCGATATATTCATCACCTTCGAAAATATTTTGCCACAAACAGTGACTTGGCCAATGCCTAAAACGCGCTCGTTCACCACAAAGCTTCGCAAGTTGAGGTTTCTGCAACTTTTAAATATCAGGATACTCGTTTACCTAACGTGCATCGGCATCTCCGTCACCTGTAATATGATCCCTCCCTAACCGCGTCGCATTTGTAGACAAATAAATCATTTTTAGCGCGCTGAACAGCGTCAGTGAGCAGGCGCACGGGATATCCTGGAGAATCTATCCCCATCTCTTCCGCCATCTTGGAACTACTGCCCCGCCACCTGTAGGGCGTTGGAGTTGCGAATAGCCTTTTCCAAGTTAATTGCGGGGAAGCCCCTCTCCCGAAGCTCTGTTTCGACGTGATTGATGGTTCGCCCCACCAACATTCACTCCGCTGATGTGGAGAGAGTGGAGGGCCTTGGGTGAATGAAGGTTTCCCTGCTATTACCTGTAACAGACTATAGTAGAGCGAAAGTTGGATGTTATTTGTGCCACCAGATAGAGCTGAAATTGGGAAAACCGATAACCGTTTGAATGGCGGGTTTTTCTTCCCCCGCACGCTAAACGCAAATATTGGCCACACTGTAGAGCGCTTTTTGAAGAATAGTTATTTATCAGACGCGCATAGTTCTACGGGCAAGAAGTCTGCATGGCCCAAAGCTAGGACAATTTTTCTAGTGTCATACTTACCGAGGCAGGGCACTGCACGGTGGTACCTCAAGCTCTCACACCGAGGTCGTTCTCAAGCAGCGTTACTATGCCTTTTCTTATTTTTTTTATTCGAGACTAATTTTCTTCTTTATGCAGTCGTCGAATACAGCGTTTATTAGTAATTCTTAGATCTCTGTGTTCGCCATGAAGCGCGAGGTTGAATGACGTAGATTCGCCGTCCCGTAGTGATGAAGAAGCATATTGAAGCAAAAGTCTCCTAAAGAAACGTTTTCACACGCCGTCAACAAGTGACACTGCCAGACGAAACATTGTTTTTGTCGCTTGCTCATACACGGTGCCAGACATAACAAAATTGATGGCCTAGTTGGGAGCAGCAGAGAGCAAACCAAAGCTTAAACCAGGTGGGAGCTCACCAGAGAATTTGCGACTCCAGCTAAGCGGACAGCACCTAGCGGGAAAATGGTGAACTGGCCGGAACGGCTCCTTTCGCAGTTCCTGCTCGTCTCGTCCGGCTTTGGCGATTGCACGTCGGCGGCGGCTGGTGCAACAGCCGCCAATGTAAAGTGAGGGAAGTTGCGTTGGTTGTGGCTGAAGCAAATTAAAAGGCAGCAACAGCACGGCCGCGGGGAAAACCATGACTCGTAATGGCCGAAGGAATTAGGTGCGACTTGCGTCGCTTCTGTCTTGTGCGGGGCAAACAGCCGTCCTAGCAACCGTCGTTGCTGTCATATCGGTGTGCTGCCTTGGTCGCTCAGAACGCAACCGTGCGAAACAGTACATGGAAGTTTGCCGACGATTAGTCGGCACGATAAAAGGACGGCAGGTAGGTAGTCCTTTCGTTGCTTTCCTGAAGAAGGCCAAGCCTCTGGAAGCTCGCTTACGCAAACACATAGACGCAGGTTTAGAACGTAGAGAATGAGAATCGCGGCAAGCCATTTTCAGTCTAATGTTTACCTGCCGAAAGCCAGGCGTTGCACATCTAACCACCACGTGTACGACACAACCTGATTATGACCACCACATATGCCCGAGAGTGGCGATGCAGATGCAGACGAGTTTGGCGGGCTTCGGCATGATTTAACGGCAGTGCCGCCCCCTCTGCATGTGCAGGTGCCGCTTTTTACACCGGACGGCGGGAGACACGGAGCGGCGCTACCACCTGCGTTACTACAAGACGGGCATCTGTGTGTACGACACGGACGCGAGGGGCAACTGCGTGAAGAACGGCCCCCACTGCGCCTTTGCCCACGGCCTGCACGACCTGCGCTCACCGGTGTATGACGCCAAGGAGCAGCAGGCGTGCCTGTCCGGGGACGCCCCCACAGCCAGCGGGCCCGAGGAGAACGGGGGCCCCAACAGCCTGGACAAGGAGCGCAACGCCCTCAATGAGGACCCCCACTGGCAGGGTGAGAAGGGGCGACCCCGGTTCAGCTTGGGGCAGACGGTGTGGGGCGATCCGCTTGTCGGCTCTGTTTTCGGGAAAGGGGAAAAGCGTTGGATGTAAGCAAACGCCTTCTAGGTGGCTCTTAGGCGCAGACCGCATTGCGCGTTTTTCTACTCGCAAAAACGCGACGCGCTATGAACGCTGACGCGGGGGCACTCGCATGCAGACAAAGCCAAGCACTGCTGGCCGCGCGTTATCAGAGTTGCCAGATATCAGAATTCCCAACACACATTGTAAATGTTGACGCAAATAGTACAAAATGAGAATTAAATTAACGAATAAGTAAATAAAACTGGTTTGTGTGTCAAAAGAAACACATTTTCAATTTTTATATGGAAAATAAAAATGCTTTTGAACACATTGAAATGTGCTGAATAAGAAAGCAGCGTACTGTCCAGGATTGCGTGATAGTTTGACCGACCCTCATTGCGTGAGAGCTGGTTCGATGCCTCGGCGCGCACATCTTGTTCTGGGCCGGCTAGAAACCAACGCTTCCGCGAAAATGCACGCTCGCGCACGAGGAAATGCCTCCACAGCGATGCCTCCACAGTCGCTGGAGAAAGGCTGTTTTCCATTGACGCTTTTTTTTCCACAGATGTACAAACTTTATGTTCACCAAAAAGCTGCAGTAGAATCCCTTTCTACCGTGGGCAATCTGCATCCGATGTTCCATCAGTTTTGCCGCTTCTGTCTTTGGGGCAGCTGATAGCGTGGCCAGTGCTACCGTGCGGATGCACTGCAACAAGGGCGCCAGACGTTCTAGGGAGCTTGTCAAGTGACTTTGATCTAGTAATGTTGAGGTAACCTAGATATCAGATATCAGACTTCCAGTGGCGGAAAGGGGGCAATCCCAGATCCTTCTGGAAGGGGCCCTTGGTCGCACTGCTAACGAATCCCTGTTGGCAGGGTCAGGGCAGCCCTTTTTCGCTCTGGGATGGACCAGCGCCTTCCAGGCCGCGTTCCAGAACTTGCTTGGATCTCATTCTGGAGTAAAGCTTCCATATATTACCATTCTGAAACCTAGTGATCTCCATCGTCACTCTACCTGCGTTATCACACGATAGTCCTCGTGGGAGTATCTCGGCCCTCAACGAGTACCTCCAATGGCAGGGATGTCCTTTAAGTTTCGGGGCTTGCAGCGCGTGTTGGCCCATCCTAGGACTGCCCCTTTTTCTGCCATGGAGTTAATATAATAATGTAGAAGGAAAGGTCCGATATTTCGGCTGCTTCACAGCGGTGGGGCATAGACGCTGATTTCAATGCCTACGTGGCTGGCGACGCTTTAAGACTTACAAAGAAGTGGCAAAACACCACTTGTAAGATCGGTACCTAGTCGTTTCCTAGCTATATTTTGCACGAAAGCACCGGCGTCGCCGGGCACTATACAAAAAGAAACAAAGTCGACAAGCGCTCGAACAACTCGACTCGTTGTGGCAAAAGGAGCACGCCTAAACTTTCGTCTGGTAACCTCTTCCTCTTCTTTTACGTTGCTCTCTTTTTCATTCATTCTATCGGGACCGCCGACATCAGAGCTTTCGATTTGCCGCGTTCTGCTCTCCTCTTTACCTCCCCCGTCCTTTGCAGACACCAAGTACGTGCTGACCAACTACAAGACGGAGCCGTGCAAGCGGCCCCCGCGACTGTGCCGGCAGGGCTACGCCTGCCCCCAGTACCACAACAGCCGGGACAAGCGGCGGTCGCCCAAGCGCCACAAGTACCGCTCGACGCCCTGCCCCAACGTGAAGCAGGGTGACGAGTGGGGGGACCCCGCCAACTGCGACAACGGCGACAACTGCTCCTACTGCCACACCCGCACTGAGCAGCAGTTCCACCCAGAGGTGCGCCTCCCCTTTCTTTCTCGGCGCGGGACACAACGCTTCCTACAAAGCCGAGACGCTCCTCGGATTGACCGCCCAAACGTCTTGTGTGCAGAACGCGTTATGGTCGGTGACGGGCTTGGAGGCGGTAGAAGTATGGTGCCGGTAACGCGTCTCCGACTGGTGTGTTTAGCATCCTATTCCGCCCATGCATCTAAAAGGGTCTCGAAGGGGTAACAAATGTCACAAAAGCCGGATTGTCACATCGTCAAATGTTGCGTTCCTGACGGTTTGTGCTAGAAGTCCGGCTAGAAAGAGTAGCGAAGAACATGACACTTCTTTGATGTCGTCTGGCAGAAATCGAGGTGTCACTTTTTGAGACTCAGTAAACATACCAGTCTGAGGTGCATTCTAGGCACTGAAGTAGAAGCTCTGCCTCCAACACGCGCCCTTTGCCTTTTGTCGGACTTTGACCGTGCGTGCGCCAAAGAGCCGAGGTCTCTGCAGCCTTGGCCACAGTCTTAAAACTTAACGGGGAATAGAGTATGGTGGAGGGCGGTTCTTTGTCTCGTTGGGGCCCATGCCCGGCTGGGGAATGTGCTCCGACCTGTGCCCGTCGTCTCTGCGCAGATCTACAAGTCGACCAAGTGCAACGACATGCAGCAGGCCAACTACTGCCCCCGGGGCCCCTTCTGCGCCTTTGCCCACGTGGAGAGTGAGTGCCCGGTGGGCGTGCCCCTCCTTGTGCGGCATCCCCACGCTCCTTCCTCTTTCTCCGCAGAGGAGATCTCGGCCGTGAGGGACATGGGGCCGGACTACTCCACCAACCTGGCGGCCATCTTGTCCAGCGCGCTGCCCTCTTCGAGCAATCACCAGGTGAGCGAAGCCCCGCGGACTGTCCGAGGGAAGGCTCGGCGGCGGCGTTGACGCACGTTTGTTGGCTGTCGTTTCCAGTGGGTACGGCGACGCGATGCGGAAAGCCGCAGTTATTTCTGAGCCTAGGTTTAGGCCCGGAACGTGTTGTGACTTGTGTAGTGCCACGTTGATAGTTTAGCCCCACGTTGCAATATGAAAAGCTAAGTCTATATTGCGAGCTAAAACAAAATTTTTTTGTGTAGGGCTCGTCAAAATATTAGTTGCTGGATAAAATCGGCCATCCTCGTTTCATCTCATTTCAATCTTTTTATGGCGATAGTTTTTATAGGCTCTTCTCTTACATGAAAATGACGTCCGTTGTAGTTGTTGGTGTAATAGGGCGTAGGGCATCTGTCGTGATATTTCCGACTGCTTGAAAAAAGATTGCTTCTGCTATTGAAAATCAAACCTGGGTCCGCTGCGTGTGAAGCTGTTGCTTTACTACGGAGCTACGCCACAGCATTGGCAGTCTGCTTTATTATACAGTTTCTGTGGAACAAACGTGACTGAGTCTCGAGTAGTGCCTGCTAGATGGCCATAGTTGCTGCGACGTCGCGATAGAAAATTCTACGTCGTTCTATGATCAATTCCAATTTTCATCGGAGTTACCGGCTGAAATCAAAAGGGCATCGGCTAGGTGGTGCGAGCTGCCCTCAAATTAAAAAGGTTCAGCAGTATCCCTTCATCCAGTACGACCTAAAAGAAAATCCTGCGCATTACGTCATCATTAGGAGATTCCTGACCAGTTCCAAGCGGCAGACGCTGGTGTTTTGGCATCGCTGCATGCTAGCGTTGCTCTTGTTGCGAGATGCCAAAAGAGGTGCTGGCGGCGACACAGACGCGTTTCACTGTTCGTTGCAGGGATAGCTGCGACGTGTATGCTCGTGAGAACTTGCAACGTGTCGCAGTTGTCGCTGTGACTACTGTTGAGTATCATGGGATTGCTCATTTGTTTTATTCGTGTTCCGCCCATTGAAAATCCCCGCGAAAGAGCCCATGTACGCACCTTACGTCGCCACCCTGCCTTCTCCGTCTGCGCAATAAGGTCTGTCGACTACGGTCGGCGTCACTGTGGCAGTGATGCATATTCTCTATGGAGGAATGCACGAACGCAGCGTTGGAAGCTAGCGACGGCAGACACCATCTTCCTGATGTTTTGCCAATGTGAATGCAACAATACAAGCCAAAGTTGGACGCGCCGCTCTGAAGGTCGATGTTGAGGGCGGAAAGCGGTCACCTGGCGAATTCGTGACTCTTCTGGTGCACTCTTGGGCTTCAGATTAATATGAAGGTTCCCCGAGGAAAGTGAGGGCTGACTGCTTGCTGCGCAGTCTGCGTGGAGGCCAAGCTAGCATGACGCGTTAATAGCAGATGGCATTCGCAAGATGGCGCGGCAGTAGCTGGCTTCAGATGTCTTGTTTGCGTGTGCGTCTATTGACGTTTGATGACCAGAGCAAACAAACATTACTCAAAAGGAGACGGTGGTGCGACGTGATCAGGTGGTACTCGGGCTCTTTCGCCGTGCTTTTCAGTGGGGTGGAACGTGAACAAAACACATTAGAATTAAGGACTCGACGGAGATGGCCAATTTTCCCCAGCGCCTAATATTTTAAGGAGTCCTACACGGAAAGCTTGTTTTTCTGGCCATCCAACAACTGTTTCTTTGCCCGTGCAACACGAGGTCAAAGTATCAAACTGCTGGGGCGTCTACTGCAACCTCGAATGTGGGGCCTCGATTTCTACGATTTCTGCCCAACGACGTTGCAGTCCTGGCGGCAACAGAGCGGCAGAGGTGGATGCAGCAGACGCCTCTTCCGCTCCGGGTCGCTCTCCGGCGCTGCACTCCGTGGAAGCTTTGGGAACCGTAAGTTGGGACGCCGCAACGACAGCAACCCTTGCGTTCGCTCTTACCTTTTGCCGGAACTTGCGATCACCGCCAGCAGGGCAATGTCCGACGGCACAACATGCCGAGTCCCTCAACATAATTTGTCGCCTCTTCAGAACCGCTTCCGGTGCAAGGGCGGTATAGGATGCTAAGCATGCCAGTCGGAGATGCGTTTAGCTGGTGTGTTCAGCATACTATTCTGTCCATGCGTCGAAAGGGGTCACAAAGTGGCTACGAATGACGTCGCAGAAGCCGGAGTGTCACGCTGTCGGATGCAGCGATCCCGGTGTTTGGTCAGAGAAGTTCTGGCAAAAAGAGCGAGCAAACGCTAGTGTCGCTGTCGTCGCGACGTCCCAACGGCTGGCTGCCGGAGTTTCCATGGGCCGTCGAGCCAAACGGCGACCTGCAGCTGGACAAGTGTCTGCCACACCCACCATTGCTGCTCTGATGCCGCCAAAAATGCAGCATCAGAAATGTTGCGGCTGAAATTGCGGCATCAGAAAAATGCGACTGAAATTGAAGGACTAGCTTTTGTGGACACGATAAACACACCTGGTGGAGACGCATTCCACGCGACGCTCGAACGTGTCCCGTTTAGGTGTCGCACGCTTCCAATAGGAACGATCGAAAATGTAACTTTTCGAATTTTAGACACGGTGACAGGAAGCTTGGGTCACATTGTTCTGCTGCGTTGTGGACTGCTTTTACATTTCTGGAGGATGGAAAAGCATTTCCTGGTATTTGTAATAAAGCTTCAAATAACCGGTAACAAGGACTCTAGGCAACGAGATGGCTGAAGTGTTGTCTTTCTGTTCGTGTCCTTAGCATGTGGCATCGATGGTGACTATGCGGTGGTCACGCGACGTCATTGACATTTTAGAGGGTTCATTGCGACGTCATCGCGGAAAAGTCACCATGGTGTCGCGGTGTCTGCATGATGTCGTCATGCGACACCATGCGACATCGTTGTGTCAGGTGTTGTGCGGCTCCGTTGGGCAACACCATGACACGTCTTTGTGACATCAGATCGTGTGACACTGATTTCGCTTGACGCTGCGACGTTGGGTGACACCGTGACCTCTCGGAGGGTCTTTAAATGCTTTCTGCGTCTCTTTGAGATATACGAAAAGAGATGGACAGTTCTTAGTTACTCTAGGAGACCTCCGTATCTGCCGCACTTCGTTGACGGAGCGAGTTGCTGTGCGATGGCGTGACAACTCCCTCGCTCGCAGCAGGGTGGCACAGGCTCCCCGGCCTGCAAGGGGGACAACCCGTTCTCGGATGCCCACCACCACATGGCAGAACCCCACCCGGTAAGTAGTGGGACCCTGGAGAAGCTTTCCCCATCCCTGTGAGCCACCCCTACCTAGAAGACGAGGCCTTGAAACGTCGTCACTTTTAAACCACTCGGCACCGCCGCCGGCCCGTCCCGCAATGTGCGCGACGCTAACGGACAGTGAAGCCGAGACGAATGCGTCTGCAACTTTGCAACGACTCTCGGGTCTGGGATCTGCTGACGACGACGCAGTACGCAGGCCTCGTCTTGTTGGCGGCGGCGGCGGCTGAGCCCGCCGGGCGATCTCCGAGCAATGTCTGTCGTCCCCGCAGGTGTGGTACGGCGTGGGCGACTGCGGTGGCCCCCTGCCCACCCCGATCGGGCGTCCCCGGTCCTACAGCTCGTCGACCAACCAGTCGTCAGAGTCCCTGCCGCTGCACCAGAAGGCCCCCGGGTCGGAAAGAGAAGACCGCGAGGTGGGTGGCCCCCAGAGGCTGACCGGCCTGTCCTTCACAGCGGTGTGGTGCCAGGGACGCATCTCCCGCCGGTGTAGTTAACGCGTCCGAAAAAGCGATCCCCTCTATTTTCACTCTACGACATTGTAGAGGTGTTGTGCCGTCGCTGGTGGCTCACGTGGCAGACGCCCATTCCGCCGCAGTTCGCTCTCCACGCGGCAGCTTCTGCGACCGGGGGTTGGGGCCCTCCGACGACGGTAACGCTCTCATTTGGTCGTACTTTTTGCCAAGACCTTTGTTACGGCCGAGATCGCCACAACGGACGGTGCGATGCTCCAGCTTTTTGCGGCATCGGTTGCCATTTTAAGACCGCTTTCGATGCACGGGTGGGACGGGTTACCGAACACGCCAGTCGGAGATGTGCTCCCGGTACCGTTCGGGAGTGAGGGATTTTAATCTCGTCCTCTGTTTCGTATTTCAACTTCGTTTACAAAGACGTTGACGTCGACAACAATGCCCACGGCGTGGTGAAGGGACGACTGCAACAAAATTAGCGGAAGCAACATTGTATCAATGCTAACGATGTTAATCCCTTTTAGATGGGCATCGCGAATTCGCGACGTACCGGTGATGAGCATTCTATGAAAAGTTGCCTCCGCCTAATGGGCCAATGCAGGCAGTCGAGAAATCTCGATGTACGCCCCCCTGTGCCGCAGGTGCCTTGCTCCATCTTTTTGTGGCATAGCACACTCGTGCTCCAGAATCGACTTTCACTGGCAGACGGCATTGTTGAGGACATGATCTCATTTTCGGTCGCCACATCAATAAAACCTCAAATACCTAAGATTTTTTTAAAATTTTTTTATAAGATGTTTGTAGTCTTAACCGTTAACCATTCCTTATTTTTGGCAATTTTTGACCTTAAACTACTTTCTTAATTTATCGTGCGTGAGGCCAGGGCTGTATGTGTCTTCAAAATTGGTTGCCATTAAAAAGAAAAATGTGTAGAGTAAAAAATTGCAGTGGCTTATCTTGGCTATGCCAGGATATAGACCTTTTTTGCAAGGGCACTGCCATCTTGAATTGTCGTCACTTCCAGTATGGGCGAAAACAATGTTTTGCCGTCGCTACGCCAATAGAAGGCATTTAGGACATAAACGTAACCGTCACACATTCTCGTTCTGCTTCCCCTTAATTTTTTTACTATTGGCAGGTTGAAACGTTTTGATATTTTTTCGTCGCCCTTACCGGATATGCCTACTTGGCGGTCGGGGGCGAGAGTAAGTGGAAAAGGTCGATACGTAGCGTGAGCTTAGGTTCAGCTGGTTATTCTTACTTTCCTGGTTGTCTAGGAGTAGCTTGATTATCATGCTTACAACTGCTTCAATGACACACGGTATACTCATTATGTGACTACTTCGGGATGTGAAGAGTTAAGCTATGCGCTGTGTTGTTATGTATCAAGCCACCAAGCTGCCGCCCAGAACAACCGGACAGTGCGAGCCATGATCCCGAGCGGGTGCATGCGCGCGGCGCGTGCATCGGGGACTGACCTAGGCGCCATACCAGTCCTGCCCGTTCCGTCACTGCTCCTCGCACACCCGCAGCACGGCTCTCCAGGAGCCACACAAAACTGCTCAACGTCGGCTAGCGTAGCTTACGCTACAAAATGTGTTGCGTGTGCTGCCGTCTCGCCAGCACCGAATCAAGCTCTGAAAGAGCCCATGTCGTCCAAAGAGCGCACGGACGAGCTACACTAGTCCTAAGTGGTTTGGGACGGCTCTAGGTGGACGAGCCTAGGTTAAAGTACTCATGCAAAGGAAAAAGTTGTTTTTTTTAAACAGCCTGAATGGGTAAGAAAATTTGGAAAGCTATATTTACGGCGCAAAACGAATTTCTGGTTTGCGGGCGCCTGCGCAAAAGTTGCCGCTTTTTATCACGTCACTGGCCGCTACTAATCACGTGATGCTCCCGCTCTTGCTGAAGCTTCCTATGGTCTCCAAAAGTTACTTATTCATCTTCGTTTGTAGAGCGACAAAAAAATGAAGTATAATAAGTAACATTCAGAGCCCAAAGTAAGCTCCTGAAAGGGCGCAAGCATCACGTGCTAGACCTGTGCGCTGGTCAAACATCTCCACATGGTGAATGATGTTGATTGGGGGGAAGCTCTGGTGGGTGCCGATACGCTGAGCCACAGCATGCCAAGCTTTTCGTTCGTTTTCATCTATGTCGGAAAGAGAATGTGGGGTATGGAACGTGGTTATATACGCATTTGAGCATTTGACCGCAGCACCCTCTCGTCTATAAATGTCAAGCCAATACGTGCAAAGTTTAATACGATTATATACGCATTTGACCGCAGTGCCCTCTCCTGTATAGATGTTGAGTGGCTGCATGCAACGTTTCATCCATGACATCCCCAGCTCTCGAGTTACTACACATCTCAGAGCCCCCTACTTGTCCCGCAGTCGTGGCCGAGTGGTTAAGGCGATGGACTAGAAATCCATTGGGGTCTCCCCGCACAGGTTAGAATCCTGTCGACTGCGCAAACATTTTTTTCTTTTTTTAAGAAGACACCTGGGATGGCAATCAATGTCAGCACGGACGCCGGACAAGGCTAGACCCTAAAGAGCTTCGCCCCTAAAATTGACGGCGGTGGTGCGACTGAGTGTTCCCTTCTGGTGACGGCGGGGTGAAGAAAAGCGTTGAACCAGTGGCGCAACATGCTTAGGGTGCGGCGGTGGAGTGGCTTTGTGGCGGCGCACAGGTCTATCACGTAGGCAGCGGCGGCTTTCGCAGGTGCCAACTACAAATTCGTTTTGCGCCGTCTTGGCTTGAAATGAAGAAATGACTGGGGCCCCCCAGAAAACATCTTGACGAAGATGTCCGCACAGACAGTACGGGACTTGCCAGTGGTGAACGGTGCAAGACAGTGGTGCAATAAATTGGGTTAGAAAGGACACTCTGTCATATTGTGCTTCAAACTTAGCGTTCATTTTTTCTCAAGCAAGCTTTGGAGCCATTCTCATGAGCCCCCCCCGACATGAAACTCGAGCCTAGATGCTTTCAGCACTCTACTACCGTATTTACACGAATGTAGGTCGACCCTTTTTTCGAATTTCGAAAATCTGAAGTGGGGGGGTCGATTAAGAATCGAAACAAAGCATGCCGCTGCCGATAAGGGCGAAACAAATGATATAAGGTCCGCCCCGACGTGCTTTTAATTTTCTGTTCACTGTAGTCGTAGCATTCGGCTATTCCGTGCGCTATTTGTATAGTTTATTTGTATTTGTCGCACGGTCATTACGTGGCGTGGCGCGTTATGACTGCGCTCTGCAAGCAGAGCAACGAGCGGCGCTCACGGGAGTGTCGATACTTGATGGAAGAGCCGATAACCGCCGACCACCCCCCCCGACACTTGGAAGAACAGCCCAGCGGCCCAGTTTTGGCTTTTTGGGCTATTTCGAGCTGTTCTCTTCCAACCCAGTCCAAGCAACTGCCAACTGCTGTTTGTCGCGCTTTCTCTTTGCTTTTCCCCTAAGTCATCATGAGTGCTCCGAGTGGCTTTCAGCGCTCGTTCCCAGCAACATTCAAAAGGACTGTTATTGTTTATGCCGAAGAAACCAACAACTCCGCAGCAGGCCGCAAGTTTGATGTTTCGGAACGGATTTGGGATGCTTTCCGAAGTTGGAGGCCAAGCTCGCTGTATATGTCTCAGAAGTATGTGATCACTCCCTGCCAGTGACGTGCGACGGGGTTACTGAACGAGCGCGGATCATCGCTTCGGAAGCTGGAATACCCAGGACGCAAGTCAAGGCCAGCAGGTCTTGGGCTTCCAAGTTCATGAAGAGGGCTGGATTCTCTCTCCATCGGCGGACTAGCCCATGCCAAAAGCTGCCTGCTGCATACGAGGAGGAAGTGCTCTTCTTTCATAGGTACTTCCTCAAGCTCCGCGACTCGTGACAATACTTGATTGGCCAAATCAGCAATTCTGATAAAACCCCAGTCTACTTCTATATCACAAGCAACACGACGGTGAACGTGAAAGGAGCTCGGGAAGTGAAGCTCCTGTCTACCGGTAATGAGAAACTTCGGTTGACAGTGATGCCGACATGCTTGGCGGACGGTACCAAGCTCCGTCCCTATCTTGTGTTCAAGAGGAAGACAGTGCCTTTGGAGACTTTCCCTAAAGGTATGGCTGTGCGCGTCAGACGGATGACATGGTGGTGAAATGGTACCGCCTGGCGTGGTTTCTGCAACCGGGAACATCCCTTGAAGACCACATCCCCAACCTCCTGGTGTTGGACCCCTTTCAAGGCCACCTGACAGACAAGGTCAAAGCGGAGTTGCGGAAGGAGCACACGGACATGCTTGTGATCCCCGGAGGTCTGACAGGGCAGCTGCAACCCCTCGATGTCGATGTCAACAAGCCTTTTAAGGACCTGCTCCGACAGGAATACAATGAGTGGTTGGCAGCAGAAGGCTGCAAACTTAACGCCGACCAGACGGGTGAAAAGGGCCTCCCTAACGGCCGTGTGCAATTGGGTGCTCTCGGCATGGGCGGCTGTGCCACGGGAAGTTGTGATGCGGTCGTTCGCGAAGTGCGGCATTTTGTTAAATGACGACATGCACTGGCACCGGAGCAGCGACGACAAGGACGACGACACCACTAGTGAGGACGACAGTAGTACTAGTGAGGACAAGCAAACCAGTGGCTGATAATTAGTCCCGAGACTAATAAATTTTCACTGCGGAATGCGCCCACGGGTACGATTATCTTTTTTTTAAAATTTTCTTGACATGAAATATGGGGGGATGACTTACATTCGAGTCGACTTACATTGGTGTGAATATGGTAGTTTGTTTTTCATCAAATAAAAGTGAGCGTAACTTGGAGTCTTTGTTTTTGTACATTTATTTTTGAGGAACAACAAAACTATGGAGGTGGCGTAGAAAAAAATCTGTTATGCTGCGACCTGTTGTTGCCAATTTGCGACATACCCCATTTTACGAAACAGCATTCTCGTCACAATCGCTGATGTCTTGGGGTACCTTGAGGTTCTGAAACTTTTAGCTGTCACGGACCTCTTGACCCACTTGGAAGTCATTCGGGGACGCTTAGCGGATTCTGCATCAAAGGTCTCTTGCAACAACATAGCAAAACTTATTTTTTTTAGATCAATTATTGATATGATGCGGACTTCTATGAACGCTCTCTGGGAACCCATGGACCGCAGTTTAAGAACTTTCCACTTTCCAGCAAAAATTAGTTTTTTCTTTTACAAAATTCCAGAATAGTTTTGGCATTCAAAGGGTATACGCCACGGTCAAAAGTCACGGGATAAACTTCACCAATGCCCCCAGGCGAGCATCCGCCAGCAGCTGAAGGCGATTGACAACGAGCCGATGGCAGACCCCTTGGAGAAGGCGCGACTGAAGCAAGACGTGTGGCTGGTGCACGGCCTGACCCCGCCCCCCATGTGCCTGGCCCCGTCCCAGCAGGCCTTCTTCCAGCAGCAGCAGTCCACCGTGGAGAGCGTGGTGGGCAGCGCCCTGGACGACCTGAGCCTGGACGACATCAGCGTGGAGGCCGCCCTGGACCTGGAGGGGGACTCGAACCCGGTCTCCTCCTCCATCACCCAGGGCCTGGCCAGCTCAGGTGGGTGCTGGCTCTTATTGTCCCAGTTGCGTGCGACGCAGAGTGTGCGTGTTTCGTGGGTTGTAGTGGCAGTTCGATGCTAGAGCCCCAGAGCTGTGAAAGGGAGGTGCCCCGGTCAGCTGTCGGCCTCGGACGGACCGCCGAACGACTGGACACGAGCACTACGTCAGAGTTTGGCAGGGCGCTCGGAGATTGTAGCTCAAGATAGGGGCAGTGACTGCGACCGACGGGCCGTCTCGGAGTTTCAAAGATTATCCGTAAGATGGCGCCACCTGCCAAACCAAACTTCGTTGCCCGGCGGGTGTAGCCGGTGAACTGTGAGCACGGCTGCTCTGGGAGTGTAAGCAAGTTTATTTGAATGGAAATGTGCCGGCGAGAGCAGCACATTTTAAGTGAAAATAAACATAAATTAATAAATAAAATAAAAATATATAATTCATCGAAATAATAAACAAAAGCGTTCAGCCTTTCAACTCTCGTGAAGAAAAAAGACCAGCAGAGCTGTACTCGATACACTGTCGCACAGCGCGCGTTTCCACTTCTCGTCCGACACGCCGCCGATCATAGATACGTCTCCAATGAAACAGAGTCAGTCACACTTGGCGCACGTGACGACAAACGGGTTTTCTATGAACTCCCTCCGAAACCTCGCCGTCGCACCCGGGAACTGTTCAGCCGGCGTGGAGTGCTGTCGTCGCCGGCCTCGCGCTTGTGCTTTGCCTCCGTGGCACGATCATCGTCCGTGGCGTTGGCCTGCAGGCGCCCTTTACATCGCTGGTAGTGTTCTTGGCGGCGACTTTCCGGGCGAGCGAGGTTCTCTTCTTTGGCAAGGGAATCTGAAGCGCTGGACGCAGTAAAAGTCGAGGCGACAGCGGCTTTGCGGCGGCTGCGGCCCCATTCGCACTGCTGCTTACATCGCCGCTCCTTCCGCAGCCTGTCTTTCTTTCCCGAAAGGGCACGCGGCCGACCCCTCCAAACCGAAACTGATAAGAGCGTAGGAAAGAGCGCACAAAACGGACGAAGACAAAGAAACTGTGACGAGTGCTGCGCTCGTTACTGTGCTTCTTCTTCGTCGTCGTCTATTTTTCGCGCTGTTTCCTATGATGAATTTTCACCAACGCGCCCAACTATCGATTCTTCCATGATAGCTGGAAAGGTTGCCGCCATCTGTGAGGGACGGCGGTAACCAGACTGGTTGTGTGCTTGCTGCCGTCGCTTATAGATGCCAGTAGCTGTCCAGGCAGGTTTGTGTTGACATACCGGACACGATCCTGAGGAACCTAGCCCTTAATAGCTCCGCTGTAAAATGGGCCAAAATCGCTGCACTGCCACACAGATTCTCAAGAAAATGCATAGGCATTTCGCGCAATGGTTATACAGGGTGTTATTTTTTATTCGAAACAGATTTTTAAAAAAGGCGTCTTTACTGCTACGTGAATGCCGTCTTCACTATGTGTTTCTTGAGCTCGGCGGGCATTCGAGAGGTGAGCAACCGTCACAGTCTGGTGAGTCATTAACTAAAATCTGTTCATTAACTTTTTAATTATTGGTTTTATGGACCACGTTGCAATTGTAATTTTGAAGCCAGCCGTCCTGGAAGGCTATACCAACTTACACATTTAAAAAAAATGCAACTGGTTTAGAGATATCCGTCGACAATTTCTCCCCTTTCTATCATCCGATTCCGAAACTGAAAGTTCCAAGTGCGCCGGAAGCGCTGATCACGTGACGCTTGAAGAAGTGACGGTTTCGTGACGTACAAATCGTCATGATCTCGTATCTGCACTGCGGCTGTCACGGTGCGGCTCGAGGTATGCAAACTCGCGGGGGCGGTCTTTAGCGCTCTCGCTTTTAATGCGTCATTGCCCTCGGAGCTTCATTCGCGATTGTTTCTCGGTGGGGGATTCGCTTCGCCAGATAGCGTGGGCGCACAAACGCCGGCTCTGCCAGTTGTAGCGTTAAAATGGCTGCACAAATTCAGTCGAGGTATTCAGTCGCCGAGAAGGTTCAAATGGTTATGGCGTATGCTAAAATGAATGGCAACGTTCGTCTTGCCACGAGGCTGTATGCCGCCGAACACCCTGGTCGCACTGTTGCTGCCCCATCCACCGTCTTCCAGGTTGCCAAGAAGTTTCTGTCCACTGGGTCTGTGCATCGTCAAAGAAGGAAAGCAGCTGTCTTGGACGAAGATTTTAAAATCGCTGTGCTAGCCTACGTGCGAGCGTACCCCGAAATCAGCATCCGAAATGTCGTCGAAGATTCCGGAGGCAGCATCTTTTCGGCATGGAAAGTCCTGAGAAAGCACAAGCTCCATCCGTATCACATATCTTTGCATCAGGACCTCAGCGATTGTGACTTTGAGAAGCGCTTGGAGTTTAGCAATTGGGCCCTTATTAAAACGGATGAAGACCCCGATTTTCTCACTAATGTACTCTGGACTGACGAAGCACAGTTTTGCCGAAATGGCAACGTGAACGTTCACAACACTCACTACTGGTCTGATTCCAACCCTCACTGGCTTCGCCAGCATAACCATCAGGTTCGGTGGTCAGGGAATGTGTGGTGCGGCATGTTTCGTGACAGAATAGTGGGACCATTTTTTTTCGAAGGCACACTGACAGCTCAGTCATACACAGCCAACATACTTGATGGTGCTGTCAGTGACTTCATCTGCGATCTCCCGTTAAGCGAGCTTAGGAGCACGGGGTTCCAGCATGACGGAGCGCCAGCTCACTTCTCGTCGCGTGCGCGGAGCTACCTCAACGCCTGTTTTTCCCAGCAGTGGATTGGGCGCGGTGGATCTATGTTCTGGCCGCCAAGATCGCCTGACCTGACCCCGCTAGACTTTTTCCTTTGGGGTCACATCAAAAGCGAAGTCTATTCAACTGAGCCCCAAGATGTCAACGACCTGAAGAAAAGAATTGTCTCAGCATGCGCCAACATTGAACCACACGTTCTGAAGCGGGTGGTTCAATCTATGAAGAAACGGTTCATGGCATGCGTAGCAGTGGGAGGTTGCCATTTCGAACATTACTTGTAGTAAGACATTACCTTAGGGTCTAAGCACACCAGAAACTTAAATTATCAGCAATTCTGATCTCTGAAGTTATTTCGCTGAAGATAATAAATAGCAAAGACTTCTTTCTTGTAGCGTTTCATTTTCTTTCGTTAAGTTGACTGGCAGATTCAGCGTTCGTGCGCCTACGCTATTTGGCGAAGCGCCTTCCCCGCCGACAAACAATCGCGAGTGAAGCTCCGAGGGCAATGACGCATTAAAAGCGAGAGCTGTAAAGACCGCCCCCGCGAGTTTGCATACCTCGAGCCGCACCGTGACAGCCGCAGTGCAGATATGAGATCATGACGATTTGCACGTCACGAAACCGTCACTTCTACAAGCGTCACGTGATCAGCGCTTCCGGCGCACTTGGAACTTTCAGTTTCGGAATCGGATGATAGAAAGGGGAGAAATTGTCGACGGATATCTCCAAACCAGTTGCATTTTTTTTTTAAATGTGTAAGTTGGTATAGCCTTCCAGGACGGCTGGCTTCAAAATTACAATCGCAACATGGTCCATAAAACCAATAATTAAAAAGTTAATTAACAGATTTTAGTTAATGACTCACCAGACTGTGACGGTTGTTCGCCTCTCGAATGTCCGCCGAGCTCAAGAAACACATACTGAAGACGGCATTCACGTAGCAGTAAAGACGCCTTTTTTAAAAATCTGTTTCGAATAAAAAATAACACCCTGTATATAACAAAGCATAGTGAATGCAGCCTCTCTGCACTTTTCTGCGGGGTAAACATTCCTGAACCCCCTCTACCCCTTGGAGCAAGTGGATCAGGTCACTTAGCATGTGCATGGAGCACGGCGGCCGCACATGATTGCATGCTTATAGAGAGCGACGGCATGATGCAACACCCAGTAATTGGGGTGCAGCGGGGGACCACGTGGCAAGGGCATACTTGGGCTGCCAGCGGGGCACCTCAGGTGGTGTGAACGAGAAGGCAGGTCGGGGTATGTTAACACGCGCCGACGACGTCCCCCACTTTGCGGCGCCTAAATTGGCGATGGAGGACGTCGCCGGTGATATTCGGTTGCTAGGTGTTGCGTCACAACGTCGCGTACAGATATAGCTCTGCGTCTTGTCGCCAAGCCTTTCAAAATGTGCGCCCCGCTGCTTTCCCTCGACGCTTGCAGAAGGTATCTTCTAGTCAGTTTCCATAGCCAGTGGGGTTGTAGCGCTGGGGCGACGTTGCACACTTTACATACCGTGCTCCAAACCAGATCACGGTCAGTGCATGTACCAGGGCACTGATAAAAAAAGACACCCTCTTCCATCCAGAATCTGTAAAGAAGTAAAAGTGATAGCTGCAGTTCATTTGCGCAATGCGGGCAAAATGGTTTTGTCACATACCTAAGGACGTAGGTGCGAAGTGGTTAATGCGCATTGCCGTCATGGTCGGATGGGTAAAGTAAGTGGGCAAGCCAAGACACTGGATGTGCACTCAGTGTTCTTTGTAAGCTCGAGTTGGATGGTGGACATGTTGTCGGTGCGCTGACATCAGGCACTATGCCCAACTCCACTGAAACGAGACTGCGAAGCCTCTCATTTTTGCGACGGCCAAGGTTGGATGTCGAAGCCGCCGGTTACGATGAGTGGTACGATGTCGCGGCACAAAGCACTGAATTGGCGAAGCTCGAAGTCGGTGAAACGTCCGTTGCGGGTTAGCCACGTCTAAGCTGTTGCCCACGGGGGCCGCGGAAGCCAACCGTTCCCTCCGTGCTCAGTCCTGGGACTGAGTGCGGCCTTGGCACGGTGGCGCCATTAGGGAGAGTCTGCGACAGTGACAAAGCGAGCGAAGGCGCATGTTTCCTCGCTGTTGTTACGCGGTAAAGGGAGGGTATAATGTTTGCATTTGGTAGTGAGTCGAGAGGGGGATGCACAGTCTTCCCCCTTTGCGCGTCGCGGCCACGGTGTGCGCAACCAAATGGAACGCCCGACTTCTCTCTCCTTGTGCCGCGAGGGGAGATGGAAGGTTTTTTTTCCTCTCCGCCGCGACGACGGACAGCAACAAATGCTGACACCGAAATCCCCGCAGAGCGTCGCCCATAAAGCAATCGCTTTAAAAGATGGGTAATAAAAAGAATCACAAAAATCTAGCACAAACCACCCGTAGTGCGGTGTGTGCAGGACACATTTAATGTTCCTTGGTCTTTGTCAGCACGCTCGAGCCCGTATAGTTTTACACCAACAACCGTTAGCGGGAGCCTCCCGGTGAATCGCAAGGTCGTCTGTCGAGAAACTTCCCGGTGGCGTCGTCACCTATGTTGGTCGCACGATCGATTCCAGCTGCCACCATCGCTGCCGAGTTTATAGAACAAATATTTTCCATCCATTGCACCAGATCTGAAAACCACCAATCTATGGATGTCAGCAATTGTTTCCTCTAAGCCAATTGCTCTACCTATTTAGCTGTCGAAGGCGCGAATTTCGGTAAATGAAATGGGGTGCACATTATATTTCGTTCCACCTTCGACGACGCTTCATTGTCTAGGAGCCCGGAGCTGCAAAAGGCAACAAACACGTGCCCGAGGCCGGGCATTTCGAAAGAGGCGTCCTGCTGTCGTCTCCCTGTCGGGGACTGCAAGGCGTCTGCTGCAGTCAACACTCCATTGTTGCCAGCGCATGCACATGATCCTCCGACCGGACTAACTTGCCCGCTGTACGGCTAGACCTCTGAAAGTTCTTATCAGGTTTGAAGAACACAAATATAAGCCAAGGAGCGCTGAGAAGGCTCGTTTTGGACGGAGCGCGGATCAGCGGTGGGAGTGCAATCGAAAGTAGAAGCGGGAAGGACGCAAAAATCTTCGGAATCATGCTTGGGGAGAGGCGCAGAAACGACAGCTACGCCACGACGACGGCGAACTGCTCAAGCTCTGAGCCGCTGTCGCCATGACATGCGTTGCGCGACAGCGTGAGTGCACTTCGGTTTTCTTTTGTCGCCAGTCGTGTGTTTTTGCCGGCTGTCGGCAAACTCGAACGAATGAGAGGACCCATTGCAGAATGTGCAGGGCCTCATGTGGTGGAGAAAGGAAAACCTCCTTCCTGACGTCCTTGGTCGCTTGAGTGGCTGTGAAGTAGAGGAGGGGAAGTGAGCTCAGCGAGCGTCACGGCTGCCGCACTCCGTGTCGACGGCTCGAGAGGGCGCCACTAAAGCATGTTCAGGACAGGCTGTATGGAGCGGCCAGCCAAGGAGGCTCGCATTGCATTTGCTACACGATTAAACACTAATTCGGCAAGACACTTCATTGGCCACAAACGACAGCAAACACGGGGTAAAGATCAGTTCAGAATGGGAGCCACTTCGCGCTGCCATGCTGCCAAAAGGTGAAACCGCAAGCCAAAGCTGCTCGCCGAAGGCCCTGGAAACGCTCGGAACCGGTCGGATCCTCCAGTCCGTACAACCGCAGGGCCGCCGCATAGACCCGGGGCCTTTCTACGCTTGCCGCTTGTTGGTGCCTGACCTCACTACTCTTTTCTAGTATGCGCCGCCTTTTTCACCTCTTGGTGGCAGGTATGTTGACGGGTCATTTCTTGTTTCCGCACTTTCTCAACTGTTTCTTTTCTGATCTAAAATAGGGAACAAAAACAACTTTTATAAATAATTGAAACGGTTCACACCACTTCTATTTTGTATTTCGAATACAAAATAGAAGTGGTGTGACAGCGGCTCTGACCTCTTGTGAGCCCAGGACCAAAGACGTCACATATGGTGCGCTTTCAGCACCGCGGTTTGCCCCCCTAGGTAGAGGAGGTTTCTGCGTCGTCTGGTTAAAATATGATGCACTGATATTTAGTTACTCTCTCCGTGCACGCTGGCTTGCCCGAACCTCGAGGAACGTGGGAATTGCAATAAAGGTAGACGCTTAGATATGATTGCAGGGCCCCTTTAAGTTACACATAATTTTTAGTATGGTTCGCCTGCTTCCAAACAGTGGGAATGTGAAATTTATTGTAATCATTTCTGCAGAGGCACCCCAGGGCATGACGGAGCCCTTTTTATTAATATTCTTTAAGAAAAACTTGTTTAACGTAGAATTTTATATTGTTGGTCATATCCTCGTCCATCAAATTTACTCTGAGTATTATAAACTTCTAATACAATTTTCTAAAAAAAAAGAACAGAATACAAAAAAAAAAAAAAGTGCTTTCAAATTTATTTAAGTGTTTCTGTGATCTCTCTGGGAGAAGTCCCAATGCGAGCGGAAAAATACATTTTGAGAAAATGGCAGTTGGTGCTCACACACTTTCAGCATTGAGCCCGTTTCATGTGACGCGATTCAGCTTGCGATTTTAATTCTTGTGCGGCGAAGAACTTGTGGACATGGTATGCATGCACGCAAGTCGACGTCTCTGGCTTTTTTTCATTTGTTTTCTCTCGAACAAGCAACATTGCAACTGAAAATCACAAAAATCACAAGCAGGACTGCGCCACGTGAAACGGCTTCAGCCACGGAATAGCTGGAAGTGTCCTTGCATACTTCCTTTTTATTTTGCTGTTTTCACTTAGCTTCGACAGCCAATGGCATAGATGGAAGAATCACAATCTGAAGTAGCGACGCAATGAGCATCGGTATCTCACTGCGCAGAGGCGGGCCGCCGATGCTGCTTGCTTGCATGCGTCAAATACATACACCGTCTCCTAAATCATTCCCTGCATCTCTCGTGGCCACGAAACACACGGGAAAAGTATGCGAAACTACTAAAACAAAGGACTGCAAACAATCATAAAGATTTTGAAAAGCGAAGTGGGGTTGACAAAGCGCAGGAGCAAGCAGATGATGCAAGGTGGCAAAACATGCCCTGGGCGGCATGGTAGCCATGGCAGCTGAAGGACAACAAAGGTTACAACCAATAGTAGTCGGGCACTTTTTTGGGCGGGCGCTCTGACCAATAACTGCTTGTCAATCGCGAGGCGAGAGAATGCTAATCACGCCAAACTTTTGTGGAGGAAGTTATTTTGAAGGGTGGCAAAAAGAGGAAAAAAATGCTCCGCTTCAAAACAAGACCAAGATTGCGGCCGTCCGCCAAGTTGAAACAGCAGGGACTCGCTTAAAGTTTGGCTCGAATTTGCATCTTTAGTGTGATTTGGAAGCCGCCGAGGCTTCGTAAATATTTTTCTAAACATATTTTCTCGGTGAATTAGGTGCTGATAATTACAAAGGAGGTAGTTTTTAGAATATACAATCCAAAAAAGTGATTTTCTAAAAATAAATTTTTTCGGAGATTTTTTGGTTTTCAATTTTTATGTTTCCCTTTAAGAGGGTAGTTTCTTCTTCCCCTCTTCTCCACCTGCTTGGGTTGCGCTCTCACCCCTGCAGCTTCTGTAAAAGCTGTCACGTGCGTCGCCTCCGTGGCCCAGATTGTCTCGAAGGTCCCATACAGTTTGCTCTTTGCCAAGCTACGGTGAAACAAAGTAAAGTTTGTTGAGGGCATGTCCGCTAGGTGTTTGTGCCTCGATCTGTGTGGTGGGTACTCATCGGACGGGCGTTCCTCCTCGCAGGCCTGCTGGGCAGCTCTGCACCCATGAACATCCCCGGTAGCGGCGGCATGCAGTGCAACCGGCGGGCCCAGCTTTCTCCCCCGTCACTGCCCCACAGCCTGTCTTCTGACCATGCCATGGACAAGGTGGGTCCCCGTGGTGCAGTCCGTAGCTTTTCCACTTTCGACTGGGCCATGCCGACAGCTTCCTCGAGTCGTTGTCTTAAGCCTACCTACAAAATCGTCTTTAAAACCAACAAGAAAATCACCTCCCAGATTTTTTTCCCTCCGCTCCCTCTCGCACTCTTATCTCCTCCTCTCCCCACAAAAAGAATCAGGGTCTCCATTTTTTTTTTTTTTTTTAAATAAGAGAAATTGAGGGAGAGTTTCCTTCTTTTGCTAGAGACCTCGTGCCAGTGGGCGTGAAATTAATGGTGCGTAGCGGCGGAGTGCGCGATTGTCTCTCACGTCTGCTTGCGCCGACATCCTTTTTGCCTTGGCAGAGCCTTGATCCCGTGTCGGTATGGGCCTTGCGCCATGTGGGCTCTTGTTTGGTACAGGCTCTGCCCGTGTTGGCACAGACTCGGCCACGTTTCCAAAAGGCTCGGCCCTGGGTTGGCACTAGACAGTTGCAAGTTACGGCATAACAGCGCAGGCTCGGCCCCGTATCGGCACATGCGTGCCTGGATATTGGCGCACAGCCTGCCCCATACCGGTACAAACTCGGTCCTGGATTGGCACAGGCTCAGCTTTGGGTCGGCACGAGCGCGGCCCTGGGTCGGATTCCGACTGAGAGCGGCTGCCCACTTGCGTTGCAGGCTGCGGCGGCCTTCTACAGCCAATCTGGGTCGTTCTCGGGTGGGGGCAAGTACCCCTTCCTGTACGAGTACCAGGGGGCGCCCTCGCTGTGGGAGGACCGGCTGGCCTGCCCGCCCAAGATGCCACCCCCGGGCATGGCCCCGCCCCCCGCATCCTGGGAGGAGGGCCTGGTCCAGGCACGTGCTGTAAGTGGCTCCACGTTTTGTGGCTCTGCCATTCAGCCGCCGGAGTGTAACACGGTCGCAACCGCGGCTAGAAGCTTCCCCTGGGGCAATAAATTTGTGGAGATGGCGAAATGAGCACGGCTTTTATTGACGAGCAAACTGTGAAAGGAGATCGTCAAAAGATTTTTCTCTGGTTGTTGATTTTATTGAATTTTCTGGAAACATTTGACTAAACTTTTTGTTGTCTAGCAAAGTTTGTAAAGCCAAATTCAACATCACTGTCATGAAAAAACAATATATAAAAAATGAAAAACATTTTGAACAAGAGCTGTGTGTCCCTGGTCGTTTACGATTATTTGAAATGAAGAAATAGTTTAGATTAACGGTAGGCTTTTATAGTGCGTCGGCGAGAATAGAAGGCCTCTGATGGATTTGTTTGTACATCTGGACAATCAAAGAACTCATCAACTCGCTGCAAGTCTATGCTGGTATTTGCCACAAAACGGTAGTGTGCTTCTTGGCCCTTGATGCTATGGCGAATCCCCTGTATTCCGACACACTGTGACATATGGCTCTTCACGTGCGACACAAGATACCGTATTCGCCAAACTATAGTCTGCTGACTATTCATATTTTTTAAGCAGGGCAGACTATGGTTGCAGTCTATGCGAGGATTTGTTTTTCTACTTGGTTACTTAGGACGAGACGTGGCGGATTTGGAGAATGACGAATTATGTTATTGACGATTTGTTTGATAGAAGCTTCTTTGTGAGCTAGTAAAGCGGGCATTTCTTAACGTGTGTCGCGATGAGAATTTTTTATGCGTGGACAGTACACCGGCTGTGGACTATTGTCCGGAAAATGCTGTAAATCATATGAGCCGTCGCAGTCGGGCGAACGACGACGCAAGCGTCGTCAGAAGCTCGGGGCACGAACTTCGTTGATGTTTTGCGGCTTTCAGGCTGTGTCATTCGTCCAGATTTTGTAGCTTACGGTTCTGTGTGGCGTGCAGGTGTACGAGGCCTGGAAGCGGGAGGTGGAGGACGCCAAGCACCGGGAGAAGTTGGCCGAATGCCAGAGGGACGAGGTGGGCTCCTTTTCTTCCTCTCGGCGGGCTGCTCTCGCACACGTTCTGGGTCACGCCAGTACGGCACACGGAACTGCACGCGCGCGTGGGCCACCTCATTCATATTTTGCCCGTAAAAGTAAACTGCTCACGCTGTCCAGCTAGATGTTCAGACTTCGGGGAATCGGTCCATGTCACCTACACAGGCGTTACACTTTACGTGAATCTGGTTTCTGTGCACGCGCGGTGCCCACACCTGGTGCAGACAAACGTCCACCGGTTTGTAGACAGTGCTTCGGTCAGTGGACTGAAGAACATAAAGTAACTTTTCTTGTGTGCATCTGTTCTTAATAAAAATAAAAACCAAGTTCGCCTTCCAAATGAGGTCTGCATTGACGTCACTGGAAGTACCACGTTGGGTTTTCTCTCCAGGGCCCTCCCTCCGCGACCGTCGACTTTTCGGAGTTTAATACGGCTACGACGGAGCGCCCGCTTAGCTTTGTTAACCCGTTGATGGCCGATATTTTTTCACCAAAGTAACGTTTTCCTAGTGGTCATGTGGAACAGGGTAATATAAAGAAAGGGTCCATCCGCTTTTTCTTTCCTAGTTATTTTGTGAGAGTGCTTTACAGTGGTTGCAGCCCCTCAGGCTTGGAAGCATTCAGTCGAAATAACGTAGTGGGAAAGCTTTCAGATTTTTATAGCGGAGCTGTTGAGAGCTAGGTTCCCGAGGATCATGTCCGGTACAAAAGGCTTGGCGACAAAAACGCCTCTGGACTGCTACCGCCATCGCTTATAGATGGCGGTAGCTGTCCAGAGGTCCGTAACCGCCGCCAGAGGGTTCGTAACTGCTGCAAAGCCGCTGTCGCTTCGACTTCCACTGCGTTGAGCGCTTCAGATTCTTTTGCCAAAGAGCTCATCACTTGCCTGGATAGCCGCCTCTGAGAACAGAACCAGCGATGTAAAGGGCACCAGTGGGCCAACGCCACGGACGACGATCGTGCCACGGAGGCCAAGTGCAAGCGCGAGGCCCGGCGACGACTGCACTCCACGCCGGCTGAACAGTTCCCGGGCCAGGGGCAGATCCAAGGGAGAAAGCGAAGGGCCCCCCCCCCCCAAACAAAGTTGACCCCCCTCCCTCCCCCCTTCCCGGAGGGCAATTTGACATGGGTGGACCCCCAGTGCACAAGAAAGAATGGGAGAATAGTATCCTTACAAATTTGCCACCCCACCCCCCAAAACGGAGGATCCGCCCCTGACCCGGACGCGACGGCGATGTCCCAACGAGAGTTTGTGAAGAACTCGTTTGGCGTCACGTGTGCGACCGACTCTGGTTCACCGGAGACGTATCCACAATCGGTGGCGTGTCAGACGAGAAGAATCGGGCGCGTGCGCGTTGCGGCAGTGTATCGAGTTCAGCTCCGCTGGTCTTCCTTCTTCACGAGAGTGGAAAGGTCGAACTTTTTTTTCTGATCGGTTTCGTTTTGGCACGTCCGCCTCTGCAATGTTCTGGCGGTTCCGGATTCTGAACGGAAAGTATTTTACGGAACTTCTTCGTCGGATGGTAAGCTCTCATCCTTCGAATTCAATTCTAATGAGCGTTAAAAGTCCCAAAGTGAATGAAAAGAACCGGCGCTCCAATTGCTTACACTGCGAGAACAGCCGATACACAAAGTAACCGCGGAGCGTATTTCAAAATTATAAATGGCCCCGGCAAAGCGAAATATTACATTCGTAGTATGTACATAAGAAATTGCATCAAATCCTGCGGTGCACGGAATTGAGTGATTAGATCGGCACTTTCAAATGCGTAATCGCCGCTGTACACAAACGGCGATGACTGTCAAAGGTTAGCTCCGACCTCAGTTTAAATGTTTTAAACGAAACATATTTTTTGAAAAAGTGCACTGAACTGACCCTAAAGTAGAAAGCAGCATTTGCCAAAACTTTTTAGATAAATGTTAATTGTAAAAGCATGATAAGTTTGAAATCGGAACTAACTTGCAACTTTAGTCCGCCATCATGTTGTGACATCAGACGTATAAACATCGGCACATGGGCAGCTGGAGCCTACATCTCCTGGTGTTAGAAGCCTTCAAAAAGCCGTCGCTATCGTCCGTGGGAATCGGTGAACTAAGGTTCATTGAGCTTGTCCGAGTCTAGCGGTGACCAGCAAATATTTCGCGGGTTTTGCCACGAGATTTTTGACGATTCACCGTCTGGCTACATTTGCGATCTGCTGCCTTGTGGACCCAGGTGCCGCCGCTTCAGAGCTAGAATAATTTGGAAGGTTTCGTTTGCTAGCACTGTGCAAGCTGTTTGCTAGCATAGCGCGAACGCCGGAAGGCCAGCATTTGCTTTTGACTGCTCGGACCCACTTTCGTCGCAGAGATCTCAGTCGGAAACCAGTGAGATGTCACGCTGCTGCCCTTGTTCGTAGTATTGTCGCACCATGTGACTCACCACCCCCACCCTTCATCGCATGCCGGAAATTGCCTATAAAAGTCACAATCCACAACACTACAGACGCTCGCTCCAACTCAACTCCGTGGAAAGGGGTGCGTCTGCTCTCTTTTTTAGGGGTGAAGCTCCTTAGGGGCTAGCCATGTCCGGCGTCGGGTGCTCGTGCTCACGAGCACATGAGCACGTGCTCCCATGCTTGTGTAGGGGAAGAAAAACAAAAAAAACGCATCTCTACGTGGTGAATGATGTTGATTGGGGCGAAGCTCTGGTGGTGCGTGTCTGCGTAGACGCTGAGCCGCAGCATGCCGAGCCTTTCGTTTGTTTTCATCTATGTCAGAAAGAGAATGTGTGGTATGGAACATGGTTATATACGCATTTGAGCATTTGACCGCAGTCTGACATGGATGAAAACAAACGAAAGGCTCGGCATGCTGCGGCTCTGCGTCTGCTCGGACAAGCACCACCAGAGCTTCGCCCCAATCAACATCACAGTGATGTGACTGCTGCGCCAATTGCGCCAAACTGCGCCAAGGGGTGAACCCTGCTACATCCTGCTACATTTTGCCAAAATATGGGTAAACTGCGCCAAGCCTGCGCCAAAAGATCAATTTTGGTCGTCTTTCAAAACCGAAACTAAACTGAGTACCGTAACTGAGCATGCATGAGCTAGGTAGCGCAAGCGGGCGCCCAACAAAAAGTACCCTGTATCAATCGTCCATCCGGTCTTGCATAGTTTTTCCCGCCACCTCTCGTTTCACGCTCTCGTCGTTCATGTGTCTCGTCTACACCGTGGTCTCGTCTCGCGTCTTTTTAAAAACAATTTCAACGATAGACGCGGGCGAGTGTTGACGCTTCAGTGCTTCAGTCGTTGTACAAAGCGCTCCAAGTACATTTTTGACCCTGACTCGCGATGTTTTGTTTTGACCTGACTCGCTCAGGTTCTTTTTCTCTGTGTGTTTAGCTTGTACCTCGCCTGCGGGCCTGGCAAGCACTTGTTGCTGGACTGTTTTTTGTTGTGTGCTGGACAATTACATTTTGCATACAATTTTGGGAACCAGTTGGCGACGGAGCGGATTGGCGTGGTGTCTGTTTCGATCGAACAGCCATCTCCGCTCGCGCGACGAAGCACGTGCAAATGCAAGCCGGCCGAAGTTGCCTTCATGTGCATGCGAACATGACTGCACGACAGAGGCACCAGCCGGGACACTTGCACATCATTGTTTTCTGTTTGCTTACTTTTCACGAAAATCTGGCACGTCGGGAACAAGTTAAACGGTGGCAAGCGGTTTTTCGGAATCGCTCGGCAACGGCCACAGCATTGTTCACTTGTGGGATGTCTCAATGTCTCTTTGGAGACATTGAAAGTTGGAATTCATTACTAGTCAAAGGCAAAGCGAGGCTTGCAGCATCCTTGTACTAGAAAGTTTCGAAAAGCAAAAAGAAAAGCACCTTTGTCTTGTGTACAATTTCGCATTGCTCTGCAGTAGTTACGTGTTTCACCAGTCGGAGACTGCTTCCATTTATTATATTATATAACTACGGTAGTCAACCTACTAGCTCATTTACTAATAGACCAGCTTATTTACTAATAAGCTGGTCATTTTCAAACAAATTTTAATATGTGCAGTTTGGTTCTTATTTATCAATAACGGTACATATATATGTATAATTTAACTGAAGCATTGCAAAATGTGACATGTCATTGGCATTTCAGTTACATGTTGAAAGACACCCAGGTGGTTGAACTTGACCATAATTTGTTTATTGCGGCGAGTGAAGTGCCTTTTGTTCGTCCAGCACTTAAAACAAATATTTTTATTTTTTTAAGAATATTTGCTTCAAAAACCACATTTGCTGCTCCGAAACACTGTTCTGGCTGCTCCAAAAGCAACTTTTGTTGCTCCAAAACACTGTTTTACCTGCTCCAAAGGCCACTTTTGCTGCTCCAAAACACCGTTTTGGCTGCTCCAAAAGTTGCTCCAAAACGGCTTAGGCCAATCGCATCACTGACATCATTCACCACGTGGAGATGCGGTTGTTTTTCCTCACTTGTGCCAAGATAAACAATACAGAAAATAGAAGCTGCAAATTACTTCAACATCAAAAATCGTTGCCCCGTTTCAGGGGGGAAAGCTGGCATCTAGCCTAAACTTTATTTTTAGAGCTATCTGTATGAAAGTTTCAGGGTACATTCATAGCACACATATACGAGTAACTGCTGTGTTTCATAAAGCTGTGCCCATGGCTTCTTAAGTTATACATTTTTTTCGGTATGGTACACGTGCTTTCTTTATCGCAAGTCTGGAGAAATAGCAAAACATAGTTGGAATGTAAAATTTGTTGAAAGGATTCCTGGATAGGCATCCCAGGGCATGACAGAGCCTATTATATTAATTTTGCCTCAGAACTTTTATGTTGCTGGTCACATCCTCATCCATCAAATTTAATTTGAGAATTATTAATTTTAGAGTGCAGCCTTTAGGCACCTGTTTCTGGGTGGAGCGGCGTCGCCGTTGGCATAACCGCGCATTGCATTAAGGGGACGTTTACCGTAACGTCACGTGTGTTGTTGCAAGGGTAAAATTTTCCTGCTAAATTTGGCGGGAAATCTTCTCAGCTAAATTTCCCGCCAAATTTAGTTAGAAAATTTTACCCTCGTGACGTCACACATGACGCCACTCAACTCGGGATAATTTTTGCGCTAAATTTCACGCTAAATGGGAAGGGAGCGGGAGAGGGTATGGAAGGGGAGTAGGGACATACCCTCCCCTCCATACCCTCCCCCCTTCCGCCTCCTCAAGAGCTACGCTCTACTTTGGCATTATAGAGAATTGTAAACGTCTTTCATTTTTAACAGAATTTTCTGAAAAAGAAAGTTTGTCATGCCGTCACAAAGTTATTTAGGAACAGAATAAAAAAAAAACAAAAAAACAGCATGCAAATTCATGAAACTGTTCTCGAGATATCGCTGGAGGTAAGTGCCAATGCCAGTGGAAAAATTCATTTTGGGGAAATGACAGTTGAAAGTTGCCCACACATTTTGAGATTTGAGCCTATTTCACGTGGCGCGATTCTGCTTGCGATTTTCATTCTCGTGCGGCAAAGAACTTGTGGACACGGTACGCATGGACGCAAGTCAACGTTTACGGCTTTTATTCGTCTGTCGAGCGAGCAGCATTGCAACATAAAATCACAAGCACGATTGCACCACGTGAAATGACTTTACCCGCGGCGTAGCTGGAAGTGTCCTTGCATACTTTCTTTTTGTTTCGCTGTTGTCTTTACTTAATTTCACCGAGCAATGGCATAGAATAGATAAAAGGATCACAATCTGAGGTTGCAATGCAATGAGCGTCAGTATCCTGCCGTGCAGAGGCGAGACGTTGATGCTAATCGGACGTGCCAATCCTCGATCGTCGCGCGGGTGCCACCATTTTGTCACCCGGTGCAGGGCGAGTGCAGTGAATGGTGCCCGGAAGCTCAGGGAATGTCGCTGTACTCCGTCGCAGGCTGTTTTTTGGAGGACGAGAAAGCGTTTCCTGCCGTCCTGAGCTAAAGGCTCGTTCACGCGCTTGCAACCGTTTACGGCCGAGTGGGTTAATTAAAACCGCTCGTGGATCTCTTACGACGAGGGGAGACACTAATGCCATCTGTCAGGTGACTGTGGAACACTTGCAATTTCCGTGCATTTCCTACTTTCTTTTTTTTTTTGTGCATTCTTTTTTGTAGCATTGGTTCTTTACCACCAATGTTTCGAGGAGTGATGGGGACACTGTCTGCCAGGGAAAGGGGGGATAAAAAACAATTACGACGGCAAAAACTTAAAAGAAAGCTAAATGCATGCCAGCTATTTTGAAGCTCTGAGACATGTACTACTCCAGCCTACTCGCTCAATGCACATGTCAAACAATCGTCGATTAAAAAAAAAAAAAATAATAATTTTTTTGGTTGAAGGTTTTGGGATTCTAAAAGGGCAAAGGGTCCGCAAACTCTCACTCGAGAACCACCACTTTGTAGGCTCGAAAGACTTAACTGTCTTAAAAAGGACAGTTTCTCGTAGATGGTACATACATTTGGTCTCGCAGATATTGCAAAACTTCTGCTCTACTGAAATGTAGCCGCTCTAGTGAAATGCAGTTCCAGGGACACCTCCCAGATGACTGCAGCGTGCGAGCCTGTTCGCTGATCGTAAGGAATCACGAGAGGTTGTATTGTAAGCTGTTGCGAACGTAGAAACCAGCCTTAACCCTTTAGGTGCCTTTTTCGAGCTGAGCTCGTCGGCCGCTTTCTGGTTAAAAATGCCATGGACGAGCTCGGCTCGTCCAGTTGTTTTTTTTCGGTAACCCTCAATTCCACGGATGAGCTAGGCTCGTTTGATTAGTTTGTGGCGGTGATCATAGATGGCAGCACTCGTTTTAGTTGACGCCTTTTTTGTTTTTTGCCGCCGTTGATTTTTGCGTGATACAATTTTGAAATTGTATCTGTGATGTTAGAGGAATAAAATTCCAGAATAAAAATAAAAATATCGCATTTTTAAGGTTACTTTAAAAAAAAAAGTGGCACTTAAAGGGTTAGAGTTTCGGATAACTTCCAACGACTGCTTTAGGCAGCGAGACGGCCAAAGCCTAGTTTCTCCGTAAGGTGGCCTTTCTGGTGTCCGAGGCCTGACGCGTGCGTGCCCCTCCTTCCAGGCGGTGGCCCAAGCATCCCTGCTGCAGAAGGAGCTGGAGGCCCTTGCGGGGGGCCGGGGTTTAGGCACGGGGCCCCTTAGGCCACAGGACCTGGACAAGTTGGGGCCCGGCCAGCTGCGCCTGCTCCAGGAGCGCCTGCGCTCAGACCTGGACACCGTCGAGAAGGTGGGTGGTGGCCTCTGGTTCTCGGCGGGCGTCCTGGGGGGTCACGACAGTTTAGTCTCAACCATCAATGTTTCGCGGACCCCTTGCGGAGCGGCGGATATGATGGAGGACCTTGTTTGCGGTGAAAGGATGGGAAAGGTATAGGTTAATTATTACAGTTGAACCTCGATCTAACAAACCCCGATCTAACGAAATTCGCGATTTAACAATGTTTTCGTCTCCCGATCTTGCTTCCATCGAAGAGAATGTATTTTTATCCCTCGACGTAGCGTAGTACTTTTGTGCCGTAGTTTCGATTTGACGACGTCTTTAAAAATCGCACATGCACATATCGGCGACCTCCGCGAAGAAGATACAAAGTTAACAGAAACAATCCTTATTGTCGAAGACTAAGTATAGAAATGTGCGGTCATAATGTTTTTCACGAAGCACGTCGGCGACGGCGTCCAACAAAAGCTCGCACTTTGCACATGACAGCATCAACCGCATCTTCCGCGATTGCTCGGTGATCGCGTTGCACGTAAAGGGTAGGGACCCATTGGGCACTTTTACAGCATACTTTGCATACCTGACCTCCAACTCCGGAAGGCATCCTCACCTATCCAGACTTTCGCCCGTGGAAGCCTCTTCGTTTGCCGTCACAGTTAAGATCTCGTTCCATTGCGAACTCTACTGGAACACAAACCGCTCCGATGGGTCGAACTTGCATCCAGCAGCACAGTTGTTAGTCGCTTCTGGATGGAGAGTGGCCATAAACGAACACCAAAAACCTAAACTGTTCAGATCACGCATGTTAATTTATAAAAAAAAAAAAACATAAAACGTAGTTGGCGCTTCAGTATGATCTCAACACTCAATCAAACAACTTGTGACTGCGAAAAGAAGCCGCGGGCAGTGAGGCATGAGGCTGCTCCAGCGGCCTCCGGATTGGCTCTTGCAAGAAGTGCCGCCACCCCCGGGAGTCGCGCGCGCCGTACGCTGTTCGCCACCGTATATTTGGGCTAATTTGTGAATCGCTATCAGTAATATTCGTTCGTGCAAATGCCCCCCCCCCCCCCTTTTCAGATTTTCAAAAATTTAAAAATGGGTGAACCTATATTCGTGTAAATACGATATGAAGTTTTGCAGAGTTCGCTTTTGACGATTTTGAAGATAAAAGACAGCATTATGGTTACCGTAAGTGCCAGTGGTTGCTTTCCCGACTCACTCACTTTCCCACCTGCAGTTGCTTTCCCAGGTGCAGCTACTTTCCCGACTGCACGCTTTCCTGCGGTGCTAGGCACAGTTCCCATAATCATACAAAGTGAGGGTCGATGAATTGCACTCTTCTATTAGTGCCACATTTTGTAGTGGAATCTTATTTGTAAACGCTCACTTGCAAGATGTGAGGAATTTGGAGGGTTTTGGGAGCCTGGAAGACTGCAATGGTGAAAAACAAAAACCTCGGTCCAACGAAATTCGCGATTTAACCAAATTTTCGGTCCAAAAGACGACTTTGTTAAATCGAGGTTCAACTGTATAACGATTTATTAACTTGATATAACTTGGGGCTAGTGTGAAGTAGACTTCCCTCATTGGCATAAGCACAAGTAAACTTACTCGAAAATAGGAAAAGTTCTTCTCAGTCTGAAAAAAAGACTACTTTTATTGCCGGGCTTGACTGATGAGGCAGGGCCTCGCGGACCCCTAGAATGCCTTCGTGGACCCCAAAGGGTTCGCGGACCCCCATTTGAGAACCACTTGTCTAAAGTAAAGGGTCTTGCACATTGCGGACACTTCACGACAACGGAGCACGGACTTGGGCGTCGGTGGTTCCGTGGGCCCCGATCGCTGGCGGCACTCTAATAGGCACAGAGAAACGGAAAAAGATCTTTTCAAAGGTACCTAGCATTTTTGTAGCTTTATTTTTTAGGAAAAACATAAAAATAATTAAGTTGACAACTGTGTAAGCAACTTCAAAAGGTGGGAAAACAAATGCACCTAACCTATCATCTGCTTTCTTTCCCACCTTTCTTTTTTCATCCTCTTTCTCGGTTCTTAAACTCGGGAACACCGATGTCTGCACTTACGATCTGCCGCGTTCTGCCCCCGTCTTTACCCCCCCGGGTGCGACAGCTGGGCCATTTGCGCCACGCTGCGCCCAAGTTCGCGGTGATGTTAGAATTAGCAGAAAGCAAAATGTCGGTTGACAGCCTTTCCTGCTCGATGACAGGTGGCGCAAGCCTTTCTCCGACTGTACGCAGAAACGTCTTTCTGCATAGAATTTACAATAATATCTTCCGGTACAATTGTGCGTTATTAATTTCCAAGACTTGAAGCAGAAACCTGTCTTGCTTGAATGTTGAACTTGCAATAGAACTGGCTAAGATGCTTTCCTAAAATGTTGTCACAGTCGCTCTTAAGGGGCTCGAAATTTCAGAATTTATTATTCTTAAGCTGCTCCAAAATGCAGATAGTTTTGCTCAAAAAATTGCTCGATTCAACGCCGGTTTGAGCTTTCCTACTCCTCGATTTATAGAGCCCCCCTTCACACACACCCCCAGGTTGGGTCCTACAAAGTCCAACACCTTACCTGAGCTTCCAACGCAGAGTAGACAAACCTATGGTAGACACTTACCAGAGCCCCTGCCAAAAACTCTTAACACTGATAAGAGAGTCTCATATAACACACTTCTCTCACCTGGCGTATGGTGCCTAGTGCGCATCTTTGATTGGCGCATTCCACGTGTCCTCAAACGTGTTGATTGGCGCGTTCCATGTTTCCTCGAACGTGGTCCCTCGGTCTCCGCCGGACGACGTCGCGGAAGGTTCGCGCCGTCGCCTACTGCAATTCTGAAGGAGCTGGGCGCAGCAGGCGTCCGCTCTGCCACATCCACTCTGTTCGGCAGTCCGGGGAAGCTTCGGCGGCCAGGGGTTGGGACGCTGCAACGGTGGCAACACTCGCCACTTTTGGACGCACGAGCAGAATGGTGTGCTGAATGCAGCACCGGTTGGAGGCGTCTTTCAGCCATTGTTTCACAGCACCAATGCCGGCTTTTAGCGTTGTGCCCCTTGGCTGACTACGTTGCAATGCAGCAGCCACAACGGCCCCTGTTCTCGTCTCGGTGCAACCAAGAATGGTAGCCTTTATGAAAGACGGTGTTTTGTTTATTGTCGTTAATTGTTTGGGGGAAAGATAAATATTTTAGAACAAAATTCTTTTTTTTTATTGCGTGTCTGAAGAGAAACATAATGAGGTGCCAATAAGTATCTTGAGTTATCTGTCCCGATGCTACTGTAACACAGTGGAATCTCGTTGATACGATTTCTACGGGAACCAAAAAACAAAACGTATTACCAGAAAATGTATTATCCAAAATGAGCACAAAAATTTAAAATATGCATACCCGTTGAGAAACTTTTTATTCTGCAGCCTGGAAACAGTTTGACACTTTGGTTTGGGTTTTCTTTTCAGTATCAATAAACAAGTTTTTTTTTAAAGTTAAAAAAAAAGGTTTGCAGTTTGGTCGGCCAGCTCGCGATCTCATCAGCCTTCTCGCGGAGAACTTTACCGTCGATGTTCACACCTGCTGCTTGTACTGTAAGCCAAGCCAGGAGGATCTCTTTTATCTGTGCATGCTGCACACCTCTCGTTTGCTTGACACCCGCGCTGAAGACTTGCACCTCGTTGCGGATTTCTTCCGGTTACGAGTATAACCGTCAAGCCTAGTTCGCGTGCCAGGTCTACGCGGTTCTTCTTCGACCTTGCAGATAATGTCCATTTTTTTTTATTTTAGAGACAGCAGCTTGCATTTTCTTGACATTGTCATGGTGGTTAATAATACCATGAGATCCGTGAATAGGTAACACTGGAGAACAAACAGACAAAGCAAGACTGCACACCTCCAACGCCCGGTGGTAGCGTTGGCGGCCCATTACCGCCAACGCTTCCTACCGGGCGCATCGTAAACCTGGCCACGTGAAACCAGGGTGCGCTACTTTCCGCTTGATGGCGAACGGCAACGCCCAACTGGGTGGCCGTGTTGGAACACCCCAGCGTTAACTGCGGCTCTCCTGCTGTGGCTGCACATTGGGCCGTTCGTGGCTCGTTAGAGTGTGATTCGAGCTCGTGATTCCAGTATTTATACTGGGATGTAAAGGCACAATCTTTTTAAATGCCCTTGAGAACCCGCTTTCACACTCATATTATCCGATTTCAAGCAAAAATATGATTGTATTGTCCGTATCAAAATACATTGCTCCTATGGAATGTTGGCCAAGAACGAGAAAAAAAACAAAACGTATTATGCCGAATTGTATCAACGAGATTCCACAGTATATATTGTGCATAAGCTTGAGATGGAGGCACTTTCCTCTTAGCTGTAAAGGTTTCCATCCGAGCTGGTCACGTGCAATTCAGTGTTAATTTTTTTTATTTATTGGTTTAAGAATTGTTCAAACATATCTGCATTCATACTACAGTATAGACCACTTACAACGTAACCGCTTATAGTGCAGGACCGGGTATAACGCGGTTTTTTTAAACCACCGGTTCACCTCCCATAGAACTCCATGTAATTACGTACCGCTTAAAATGCAGGCGCGCGAAGGGAAATGCCGGTTATAGTGCGGTTTTTGGCACAGCCCGCCGACCGCGCCGACGACCGGAGCAGCGAGCTCGCTTCCCTGTGCGACACTAGATAACGGCGCTGACGGCGCGAGCGACAAGCTGCACTCGCGGGGCAAGGAGGTTGCTCGAAAACGCGGGGAGAAGCGAAGAGAGAGGCTTCAGTTGCCATAGCGACGGAGGGACGCACGCACGAGTCGTTCACGTGCGTGCGTCCCTCCGCTGCGTCGGAAACAAAGAAACAAACAACCGCAACGACAGACCAATCGCAGGTCGAGGAGAAGTGTTCGCGCGCGTTGCATGCCGGTCGCGGGCCGGCTGCTTCTATTCTGCAAACATGGTGTCGGTTGTGATCGTTGTCGTAGACGGCGTGCATCTCATCGTTCTGCGCAAAAAGCGCTATCCTTGACTGTGAATTTTCTTTGTGTGTCGCTATGATAAGCCAGCACGTACTAGAAGGGAAGATCCACCTACTCGTGCGGCGATGTCGTGGCGGCGCTCTCAAGACGGCAGAAACGCCCTTGTCGTCGTGTTTGTTTACTTCGATTACAGTGGTGATTTCTAAGCATTTGTGTCCTCGAACATCGCCCAGATTTCTTATTTGGCGCATTTCATGCGTGTGCTCAAGTTCAAGGTATTACTGGCGCGTACCGTATGAAGGATACGAATTTTCACGCGTTTTCATCTCCGGAGAAAAGTGATGAGGGTCAGCAATCCTGAACGCTCGCAACGTCCGTCCGCAACCCGCGACGCCGTTAAAAGGCTGCTCCAGGCAAAAGCCGCTCATCTCTTTCAAAATGTGTGACACACTTGAGACAGAACTGTACTAGTCTGGTGAAATAAAGACTTTCCTCAAACTAAGCTTTATTTTTCATCTAACATAAAATAAATTCTTCTACAAAGTTGTCTCATGGCATGTATTTTGGCCTGAAAAATTGATGTTTTGGTTATAGTGCGGTACCGCTTATAGTGCGGATTTTCGCGACTCCCGAGACATACGTTATATGCGGTCTACACTGTATCTCCACGTGCTGCAGTTTACATAGCCTAGCAACGTTGAGAGTATGCCGGCGGCTGTATGTCGCTACATGCAGGTGCAGCTGCTTTGACATCTGCACACGTGTGTTGTGTTTGGGTGGGCAAAGAAACGCTTTACGCGGGTCATGCGTTAGGCTAGGTGCTTGCAAGTGCCTGATGAGTACTGCCCTCGATTGCAGCTGCTCTACCAGCAGTGCCACCCGGCGCCGAAGAGCAAGTGCCTGGTGTGCCAGCAGCAGAACCGCAGCGTGGCGGCCGCCCTTCCCTGCAACCACCTGGCCCTGTGCGGGGCCTGTGCGGCCGTCACCCCCAAGTGCCCCTATTGCAGCTGCGACATCGCTGCCCGCAGCTCCCTGCCCATGTCCCTGTAGGATGGGCAGCGGGGCTCTTAACATTGACAATTTCAATTGGGGGAGGGGGTCTTTACGTCGGCTGAATCGGGCTGCCTTTTGGCTAAATCCGGCTTCAATTGGCTGAATTCAACGACATCGGCTGAACCTGGCTGCACCTCAACTGAATTCAACTGAATCCGGCTGCGAGGCGACTGAATCCAGCTGCACAGCAACCAAATCTGTCTGTGCAGCAGCCGAGTACAGCTGGACGTTGGCTTACTGTGGCAGCACGACGGATGAGTCTAGCTGCACAGCGGTTGAAAACGGCTGGACATCGACGGAATCTGGCTCGACGTCGGTGGAATCCGGCTGCACGTAGGCACCCCGGAGAGCAATCAGGTGCAGGGACATCTTTTGCCCCGCAATTGGTCGTGGACAACGCGGCAACGGCGGCGTCTGAAAGGGGCTGTCTGCTCTGGTTCTCCACCCCATCTTGTTTGGTTTCACCTAGGCCTTTTTTAATTTTATACAGGTTGTTTCTCAAAACGCAGGCCAAACTACTCCTGTGAAATGCACACATCGCACAGAAAATGTAGATGCAGAGATCCGCTTCGATAGAAAACTGAAACACTCGTGTAGATTGAGTAATTTTTTTTTAGAAAGCCGCGCAACGTTGCGCATGCTTTCTTCTGCGAAATGCAATGACTTTGGAGGTTTTCGGTGCCACCCAGAAAGTTTCTAGTTAAAACCATGCCCTTAAATTTACTAATATAAAACTTAATATAAAACTTAAATGCTCAAATATAATTTAGAACTAATTAAATGGAACATTAATTTTTCTAAATAGTCTCTTTGGCAGAGGACAATGTGACATCAACCTTATTCTGGGCATTGCTTACTTTCCGCAGTAGAGATTGGGACCGCGTTTTATGAAACAGCCTGTATATGTTTTTGTCTTTTGTGTATGTTTTGTGTGTGCGTCACGGTTGGCCTATGAATTGGGGACGACCGTTTGTAGCTTGCAGCAACTCTGGTGCATGGAATGTCCTTCGATTTGCGTGCTTTTGGAAGAATCGTTTGCATTGGGTCGATAGTCTGGTGGCGGCACGGTAATCCGTCGCAGTACTGCAGCGACAAGTTTGCGTCGTTTGTGCCACCGTCGCGTTCTAATTTGACGACGGGTCTTCCGGAAGCCGGACTTGTCGAGCTACCGACGTAATTGCCGAGCTGCCCGGACGAGTGGCGGTTGTTCATCGCGTTGTAGTTGTTGCAGTTTCTTGTCTTTGGAACGTTTTGTTTCGTCTCCGATGGTTGGCTCGTGCCTCCCACGGCTCGCAGACGAGCGGTGTGCCCATCTGTGCCACACGAGTGTTACGTCGGACATTGGCGGTCCCTAGTAACACGTCGAGAAGCACTCTCTCCCCCTCGAAATATTTAACACCCCCCCCTCCCCTCCTACGGGGGTTCATCCCCCGTACATCGTTTAGCTTAGGTACCCCTTAGGAAAGAAAGGCTGCATTTCTCCAGCGTCTCCAGGTCAGAGTAGCGTAGCAGCGTAACTTATGTGTGTACCATATTCCACGTGCGTAAGTAAGGACACGACCAAACGGGTTGTTTCAAAGAAGAAAAAAAAAAATATGTCTGCCCAGTCGAAGGCACGAATATCTAGGTGTAAATGTCCAGTTAACAAATTGAGGATTGCACGGTCTTTTGGTTTGGCCCCCGACGACCGTTTCTCGTCTGCCCGGGCTCGACGCCCGTTGGGGTCCGCTATTTTTCTACCTCCGGGGCCGGACGAAAACGGGAGAAGGCGGCAACGCTTGGACCCGGCAGCATTTGCGGAGGAGGCAGACGTGGACAAACGCACAAGGATATCTATTTTTTCAACACCGACAGCCAGGAGAGGTCCAAGTGTTCGTCGGACGAGACACTTGCGCGACGGGCACTGGAAATTCCCTCTGGTTGTTTTGCACCTGCCCTGTACATAGTCGGAGGATCTTTCACATATATTTCACATATTATATAAATATATATATATATAAAATGTATAATCTCTGTACATGTAAACAACACACTAGGTCATTATTGTAAACATGTAGGATAGCAAAGATAAATTTTTTCAAATTTTTTCAAATTTTCTATCGAAGCGAGACAGATTTTCCGGGCGATGGAAGGAGGGCGTTCGAGGCGGGATCCGACGTGGCCGGGGACTCCTATGGGAGCTTTGTCAAAGTAAACCCCCCTCGTGTCCCACGTCGCCCTCCGCGTAGACCAAAGCTTTCCCGTCGTCCCTTGTGGTCCCCTTGCCCCCTTTGCAGTCTCTTCGGGTGAGCGTGCATAACTGTAGCGGGGTCAAACCCCCCTCCCCTTCCCCCCCCTCCGACCCCGATTGCCAGTCCTTCAGCTGTAGCGAGACCCTGGCCTTTCAGCCGTAGTAATCCCCTGGCCTTTCGGCCATTGTAAGACCGTGGTCCTTCGGTCGTAGTAAGACCTAGCCGATTTCCAGAGGCTTGACTGTGCCGGAAGCAGAAAATTCTGGGGGTCCTCCCGGCACTATGCTGGTACAGTTCCCTGGAAGTTCAGCCAGCCAGACTTGAAGCACCAAGTTCTGTTGGCTTCCCAACACTATGCTGGCCGTTCAGCCAGTTCCTGGTCTAGCACCAAATGACAAATTTTGCGGGTTCCTCGGCACTATGCCGGCAGTACAGCCAGTTCCCGGGCCGTGGCCATACTGGAAGCAACAAATTCGGCGGGTTACCTTGCAGTATGTCGACGGTACCTCGGGAAAGTGCGGGCATCCTCGGGGGTCCAGCAATTCGAAATCGTTGCAAGCGTTCAGTTTTGATCCCTGCGCATGAAATGTCCTCGGCCATTCCCCGGAAATGGCGGAAGAGGTTGCCGTAAAAACCCGCCTGCGGCGGAAAGAGTCTGGCGGCGGCCATCAAGAGGCCGTCGCCGAGACGCAAGCTTGTGGTGTTAGCTTTTACGACTGCTGTGATGATCAAGTACTGTGTGGCTGTCTTTGGAGCTGACAAAAAAAAACGTTCTGGCTTGTGTGTACCTAGGCGTCTATACTTAGAATGGGTGCGGCGGAGCATACCGACGTAGGGAAACAAGGTGGGAGGGCCGGATATTTCTACGAGGTGGACAATTTCTCGTTCCTTTTCTTTTTTAGATGGGTCTATGCAAAGATGACTGCGGTTGAAAACTAAAACTCTGGACGAAATTCGGAGGAGGAGGGGAAGCCCAAATTGTTTCCTGACCAATCTCGCGCTCGCAGATCTAGGGAGTTGTTTTAATTTTAGGACAAATTGGCGCCACAACGATGCCGTCTAGGTTGATTTCGTGCCCGAACTGTTTACTCGGAACACGTTTGTGTGGCCCGTTTCTCTGTTGACCATCACAGCGAGCGAGCTCGTTGGTCTCGGGACGGAGTTGCTTGTCGTCTTTGTCCCTCCTCGCTAGCCACTTCGAGGTTGTGCGGGCGGGGAGAGGTCTGTGTCCTTAGCAGATACGTTTCGTGTGCTATTTCAGTCTGCCGTAATTTTATTTTTTTGCCACGATAAATTTTGTGTAAGTCTACCTTAAAAAATCTAGGCATAATTCTGTAAATAAAATCAACTCTAGGATTTTAAGTTGGCATCGTTTCCTTGACTCCGGCGCGCTCTGGACGAGCTACCCTGGCACAAAGCTTGCACGCCGGTCGGTTTCCCGGTCTGGAAGGAGATGCAAGATGTGGGTAAGTAGCGTCCATGGAGACCGTATTCCTGTAGATCTACAAGCGCTCGCCATTTGCCAATGGAAAGGTCGAGTATCGACGCTCCGTTCCACGACCACCCTCTGTGTGTCGCCATTTTGTCTTACTACTGAACAGACATCAAAACCAGTGTTCTGAAGAATTTTGTATTTCCCTTCTTGCTTATAGACGTGCTCTAGGTTAACAAAAAAAGGAGGGGTGGGGGATGTAGTACATAGAAAGGTATAGAAATATTGGGGCTGGGCAGTATCACGATAGTATTTTGGAGATACTTTCAGAGTTTCTTGGAAATATATTTAAATAATGTATGTCACTGTATTTCACTACTGGGGGTACAATCGGTTAAAATTTCAGGGGAAGCTCGTCCCTTTTCACTTTAGCCCAGTGAATGCTGGAAGGAGGTCGCATCCTCTCCAGCCTTTGCCCTGCCAAAGTGGAAAGAGGTGGGAGGAGCTCTCCCTGAACTCTTCGCCGGTCGCCAACTATAGACCGACGCGCTGTTTACAAACAAGCCCGCGTTTGCCCACACCGGGTGTGGGCACTGCGCGTGCGCAGGAACGGAATTCGCGAAATGTGAAGCGTCTGCGCATGCGCAGTGCCGTCGACAGCGCCACCGCAGCTGCGTGACATCAGGGCCGTGCGTTGGTCTATAGGTCTCGTCACATTTGTGAGCCGTTTCGAAGAAAGTGAAAACCACCTTTTTGGAATCTAATGCCGAATTTTAAACATAAATGTGCTGCATACCGGTGGGGGGTTGGAGGGGGCCTGGTTGCTGGTATGTATATTGCAAACGGTTGTCAAAATTTAGAAAAGTACAAGGAACAAAGGTGGTTCAGGAAAAGGTCACTCGCAAGAACAGCAGCATAAACTCTCCCCGTTAACCCCTCCACACTTCACATTAGCAGACCGAATGCTCCAAAGGAGGCGAGTGAATAGTTACACCATTCGCAAACAGTAGATAGCTTGTGCGAGGGATTTCGGTTCCTCTCGCATTGCAACAGGCTCCGCGCAGTCAGGTTCGGCTGGGTTGTCCAATGGTATCTTTGGGCGCACCCTTGCAGCGAAATGGTTCAATTCGGGCACTTTTTTGCCGAATGTGGCCAGCAATCATTAGTCTCCAGCATCGACGAAATTCACCGAGGGGAATGCTTTTCTTAGCCTTTAGACAAAGGGTTAGGAAGGGGATGTGCATGAACTGACAGAGAGGAACTACCATTTGCAACCGCCACAAACTGCAACCACCTGTTCAGGGGAAAAAAAAAATAACTATACTGGCACACTTGTGTTTTTGTGGAAGGATCTAGGGGATATCTTGTTAAAGAAATGTATCTCGGTGTCTATATACTTGCCTTAAAATATGTGTATCTCGGTATTTGTGTCCCCAAACACTTCTCGGCTCTGCCGAGCCCCAAGTCACAAAGTTCAGTCACATCGACGTTTGAATACCACGTTACGCAAGTTGCATTTTGTTTCCCCGAATTTCTGTCAGTGTGTCCTGTACAACGGCACGGCTTACACATATTTTATTTGTACAACTTTGGACCTTAAGTGCGGAAGATGCAGGCTGCATCGACAGTTTGATTAATAATTGGCCAGAATATTGAAACTGGCTTCCGCTCTCACGTGTATCGCGGTCACAATACACATGCAAGTTCATAAACCTAGTTTCATTGTGCCAACCGCACAAAAGTGCTATACGCCAACTTTTTAATGAAACTGGCTTGGTCCCAATCTCCAGGAAAAAAAGAAAGGGGAGGAGACGACGAGGAGGAGTGTGCGTGGTTCAGGGTGTCTAGTGACCGGGAATTGTCGAGGAAATTTTTATTACCGACAAAAATCGGGGAATTGTCAGGGACATTGTCAGAAAGCAAGCCCAGTCAGAAAAAATGAGCCGGAAATGCCATTGAGTGCCCTGAGCAAAGAGTTGAGAAGTTGGGGATAGAAATATAGGCAATAAATTCTGCTTAAGGCGGAGCGCAAGCTCTGCTCGCCCGATGCAGTGTGTGCTACCCGATGCAAAGAAAACAGCTGACAAATCCAGTTCAAGCCTTAAATTGGATTGGACAGGTTAGATTCAGTTAGAGCTACTGATTTAGTAACGAATGGGAAAGCCGCAGACCCCAATGCAATCCAAGCCTGAAGCCGAAAGTATCCGAAAGTGTGCATCTGGCGGCCATGTTGCCATTCGGTTATTGACATGTGTGGTTGAGCGTCGTGTTTTCATTGCGTTTCTGAAAGTGGCCTCTTCACTGACGATGTCGGCGGCAAGAAAGTTCTCGTTTAATCCGGACTGGACGAACCCGAATATTTCGGAACGTGCAAGTTAGATTAAGCCCGTGCAAAATGATACTCACTGTGCTCAATGCCTTGTCTTGTAATGGTGTTATAGATTTAACCGCCTCTAGAGTGGTCGGGGGATTTCACCTGAAATTGTCAGAGAAAACTTGGAAAAGTTAGGGAATTTTAAAAGAATAATTTTCTAGACACCCTGGTGGTTGAAAACTGAAAACGGATGGGGCCGCACAGCAACTTCTATGGCACACGCCCACGTCGCGTCGCAGCACACCATCCCGTTTGGACAGCCCCGTGTCCCGTTTGGACAGCCAAAAATATGGAACAGATTTTCTTCGAAGGTTCGCATAACGAGAGTTAGACCGACGCCCAATAAGCGTCCCGAGGAGTGCCGTTTATTGACTGGTAAAGAGCAGAGTCGTCGGTCAAGGTCACTGGGCGGTCCCCCTCCTGCGGCCTCCCTTGTGCCGCAGGGCGCTGTGCACCAGCAGACGCCTGGTACGGGCCTTGCTCCGGTACCTGCGGGCAAGCGACGCACAACCGCCACATTGAGGTCGGTTCGAGGTGCAAAGTCGGCACTGGTCCCGGCACCGACACGGCGGTGAGTTGGGTACGGCTGGTATAGGGCTAGAAAGCAGAGGCAAGCAATCCCGCGGTACCTGCGCGTGTCTTCCTTGCGCTGCGCGGCCTGCTCCCGCAGCAGGTGTCCGAGGCTGGAGTCGTGCTGCAGCTCCTCCGGCTCCTCCTCCCCCTTCTGGCCCCGAAGCGACCTCCGGACCGCCTTGGTGGCCGGCCGCAGCGCCACCTCCCCCGACCGCTTGACGGCCACCCTCGCCCCCGGCACCGTGCTCAGGTCGCCCTCCAGGGTGCCCGGGTCCTCGGGCGCCTTCGGGAGGTGCACCTCGTTGCGGGACCCTGAAACGACCAGTCTTTAGCACTGGGCGCTTTGAGACCAGTCCCAGAACCCGTCCCAGACGGCACTCCGACGTATTTACAGATGTTCGCTGCTGCCTTCGGTTCCAATCTCACATCTGCCATGTTGCAGGAGCTGGCATATCTTCTACAGCGCTGTCAAAGCTACTTGCGTAACTGCTAGAGCACCCCATACCATCGGTTACTTAAAGCGTAATATAAAATATGCACATCCCTGCTCTGCAAATTATAGTATGAAACGTATGCCCGCCTGAAATTAGAATATGCGTCCGCTTTCTGGCCTCCTCATCGGACCTACCTAATTAACCAAATAGAATCTGTTCGAAATCGAGCTGCCCGTTTTATTTCGTCGGCGAATTGGTGTTTCAATGGCATATCATTAGCGAAAAAGTTATTTTATTTATTTGTTAGAAATTCAACTTAGAATTTCGTTGATACACTTAATTCACAGACTGTGAACATCCATCTCACTCCTTGAACCCATTAATAAAGAATCGCACAACTTTAACAGCAAGAGCTTCGAAGATATTCTTGGGAGAACAATAGCCTTCAATAACTCCTTGCCATGCACGTGCCATAGAACTCTAGAACTATCTTCCCAATGCCATTGTTTCTATTTCAGGTTCAGACCATTTCCACCCAGAATTAGCAACCATTATTATTATAGAATTGGTAACAACCACATGTTTTAATAAACAAAATGTTTCAGGTTGTGTTGTGAAATACCTGGAAGTTGAATTTATTTCAAGTGTATTTGCTTGCATTATATTTACTCGTGTTAAAAGCTTGAATTCCACTACTATAAGTATTTTTGATGTCAATAAGTTCTGCAGCGTGTGCTTTTCAACTTTTGCTTCATGCATACTAATTTTAATTCACTACAATGCATAGCCCCCCCCCCCCCCCCCCCCCCCCCCCCGCCCCCATGTAATGCCAAAAGGCTTTTGAGGTACTCTAAATAAGTGAATATGAGCACTGTTGCGTAATGTTGTGTGTAACGTGCGTAACATGCCGGAACATCCGAGTCGCAGGGGTGTAGCGTGTTCTTTTGGGTCGAGACGGACGCCTGGCTTTCGTTAGGAGTCCCGTCTGTAGTGGCTACCCAGGGGGGCTGCGAGGCCATGAGCGGCTGGGGGATGGGAGCTGTCTTGTTGAACCATCCCCAATGCCACGGTCAATTTGCATGCGGCGTGCATTATTCCGTCGATGGTACGTCCCATCCCGTGTCATCGACCCGTCAAGGCTGCACCGGGAATCGGCTATTGTGGACACAAGAGGTTCCACGTATTGTATCTTAACGTCTTTCACGTGCATTTGTGGGGGTTGATAATCGGAATTACCACAGAGTCGGCGGCCGAGGGCCGTTTGGTTTGGTGGCGCCAACTTAACTCGTTATTTGACTTCGCTTGTTGACACATGCATACGTGTCCTTCGGAGATGACAATGCTTGTTGGAGGGAGAGAGTGAGAAATGAGGAAAAACTATGCTGAGAGCGGGAGAGTTGAGAAGGAGGTGTCGGCCAAGAGATTTGAGGGGAGACGGATCGAGAGCAATGCAGGAGTTGGAGTTAAGAAAAATATGCGCACGAGTTGAGATCGAAGAGACATAGAGAGCGATGCGGAGGAATCGAACAGAGAAAGAGCCGTATAGAGTGAAACGGCAGAGGCCATAGAGTTTTGAAAACAAGTGAACTATATTGTAGTCTTTTATGTATATGCCTGCGTATTATACCAAGTTATCAATCTTGAAAGTCCACGACCCTGACATTGCTTAAACCCAAGGGAAGAGACCCTTGGGAGGCAATCGGCGACAACAACGTTGGCACAGACCCCGAAGTCACGTCGCCTGATGACGAGACGTAACTTTTTACAGGCACATTGCGTTGTTTCGAGTCCGAGACAAAGCGACGTGCTCTCGCAGCAGTGTGGGGCAGCAGCACCGTGGAGACTACCGCAGAACCCCATATTTCTCACCCGGGAGATGCGCCATCCTGTTTTTGCGGCTACATATACTCAAGCTAAAAATTCTTAAATGTCCCCCACCCCCGAATTTCGTCGGACATCGCGCGAACTAGAGGGACGTCCGACGACGCGATTCCTATCGGAATCGCATCAACCACGCGATCTGTGGTATAGGTACCTAGGACGAGCGAATCGGTAGTAGCAGGTTCCTGCAGGCTCATAGTGGGTGGGTCCTTGCGTGTTTATTACAACATGAAACGCGAAATTGCTGCGTCCAAGATCTATGGTTTCTGCCCCCCTCCCTCACTCGCTCCCTCTCTTCCCCTCCCCTCCCCTTGTGTTTATCGCTAATTTTTTTATAAAATTTTGCAGTCGCATGCTGAAAGATTGCTTACCCGATATCTTTCACCATTTATCTCTTCACCATGAGTGGGCATTTATTTGAGATCTCTTAGTATGCATGCTAGCCAAGGCTATGTAGCATAATACAGTTGATGCCGAATACAGAGGTGGGTGAGCTCGACCCCCGGGGGCTCACCGAAGGACATGTGCAGGGCCAGGGCTGGCGACCTTGCTGTCTTGAGGTGAACAGAGAGCAGGTTGGGCCAGCCACCGGGCAGAGAGCACTCTAGGGTCGCAAGGGCTGCGGCAACGTTCTCGATCGCCTCCTTGTTGCTCATGCCCAGGTGGCACACCTTCACGCTGCTGCAGGGAGGAAGGCAAACTTTGTCAACAACAAAAGATGCGCTGTCTGTGTTCCGTTTTTCTACGCCCAAATATTTTGGATTCTTCGACGAGACCGAACTCGGAAAAAGAAAGTGTTTCGCAATGACTGGTCGCTCTTCTGACAAGAAGAAAGGCCATGAACGATTGTAATTTTTGTGATTTCTGTGATGCTTGGGGCAAAGGGGCATGTCGCGACATCGAGTTGCGTTTTCTAGAAGAAATTGCCACGCAGGATTGCAATTTGGGGTTTTTGGGATGCATGGGTTGAGTTTGGACCATAAGAATCCACTTTAAGTACCCTTTAGGAAAGGCCGCCAAGAGGCACGTTGATAAAGGCGACACTAATCGCGGTGTTACTAGATCACTTCCATGGCGGAGCTTACCCACAGGGCCTGTACAACTGAGGGCATTGAAAGCCTCATTCTAACCTAGGTGGCGGCAGTGTCGCCGGCTCATTTGGCACATATTTGCTATATTTTATTTCACCATAACTTGTCAAAGAGCAAAAGCTACTCCTCTGAGCAAATCAGAGTGACGGAGGTGAAGGATGTGACAGCCCTTAACATGTAGCACGTTAAGGGTTCTCACAAAAAAAAAAAAAAAAGATACACAAAGGCGAGTGTTACGTTATTAGCCATACATGTATGATAGTAACATAATCACATGTCCCTTTCCAACATGCTGATTTGACCGCTGGGAGCATAGCCTTTGCAGTTTTACCGAGTTAAGGTGAAAAATATACAGAAACCATGTATCGTCGGCTCCCTGCCTTAAAATACGGTGGAATGCATAACGTTCCTCTCCAGACGAGTTGGTCAGTCACGGCGAACCTATCGTATGTATGCCGCGCTTGCAGAGACGCTCCTTTTTGCCATTTTAGGGAATGAGGATTTTAGGAAGCAAGAGAATGCAAGAGAATAGTTAGGAAACGTCGTAATCTAAAACCTCGAAATATGGAGAAACAAAGTAACAGACAACGCAACACAAAATCTCAAAATGCAGCTGGGTTAAAAAAAAAAAAAAAAAAAAAAAAAAAAAAAAAAAAAAAAAAAGAACAGCAAGCTACGGGGCGTTTATTAATTTTTATTTTTTTAGGCTTCACGGATTGTTTTTAAGAAAACTGCGAAAACAACACTAATGCGTTCCAAGCAGGAGAGTCATATAGCCAGGGCAACTTAGTATAGGGGGCTAACCGTCACAATAAGTTGAATTAGTCACTGAAAACATTTATTAACTGAAAACGTTTATTAACTTTTTCAATTCCTCCAGAAATGTGAAAACAGTCTAAGACAGAGCAAAGCGATGTAGCTTGAGCTTTTTGCAACGCTAAAGCCAAGGGAAGTCGCATACGGCACGACACTTCTACGACATCGTTAGGCGGAAACTGAGGGACTGTTTTTGAGGGCCCAGTAAATAAAAACCGATTGCAGAATAGCTCCCGGCACCGTACTTGGGAGGGGCCGGAGGACCTCACCTTGCCGTTCCCTCCCCGCGCAGCAGAAGCTCCTCGACGCAGAGCGCCCGTTCAACGTCGTGCTTCAGGCGCTTCGACTTGAGGTCCACCCTCCGGGGGAGCCTGCAACGACACGGTCACTGGTCAGGTGCCTGACATAAGAGGGGGACCATAGAAAGTGTTATTTAACGCAGAAATTGTCGTGGGGCTGCCTCTGGCTTCCAGGCCGTTAAAAAAGTTTTCTGCTGGGAAGAAAGATTGGTTCCCTTTTCTCCTTCTCTCCCCACAAAAATTGGTCCCTGAGACACCTCATAGATAAGAAAGCCTAAGTGCTGAACTTTCCTGCATCGCTACAGGAGGCCAACGCAGGCCATAGATCGGACACGACTACGGAGTCGGCGTTCAGCTAAAACTCGTGTCCAATCAGCGAGAACATGACTCCTAGTCGAACGCTGACGCCGTAGTCATTTCCAATCGCTGGCCTGCGGTGGCCTTCTTTAGTGATGCATGAAAATTCAACACTTAGGCTTTCTTATCTAGTGTTGCTCTCAGCTTCTCCTTGCAGAAAGGAGGGACTCCCTTTTTCTCGAATGGAAAGAGAGAATCAAAAGAGTTTCCTCCTTTCTGGTTGCTTGTTCGCCCTTAAAATGTAAAATTTGGTGGGCGAGGCCTTGTCCTCCAAATTTAGCGGACTGTGGTCACGTGACGTCGTTGGCGTGACACAGTAACGTAATTGTAATTCATTGTGTCCCACACATTTGAGCACGTTAACAAGCAGCTCCTCGGGACATGTGATATCACCTCGTAGTGAAGCCAACCACTTGGCCTTGTAACTCATTGCGGCACCAACCATTTGCCACCATATGTATTCTATGCTTCGCACTGTGCCTGTTACGACCAAAGTGCTGCATTTCATCCCACCCTTTCGAACCTACATTTCTAAAGCAGGGTGTGCTGCAGGGCCGATTTCGGCCTTTTGAGCGTTATGCCTCTCACGAAAAGACTTTGAAACAAACACAAACAGCTAAATTTAGCAGTATGTGCAAAGAACCTAAGACAAAATTAACAAATATGTTCATAAGCACATACGTAAGCTCGGTAAACTTTAGGGGGGCTATAATTCTCGGTGTAGTATATGGGAAGGGGGAAAATTTCTGCTACTATTCAGTTCAACGTAAAACTACAATTTTTTTACGGAGTTCTCGGTGAAGAACACAAGTCCCTTCCCTATTTTTAAACGATAGGGAATAAATGTTGCCAACCGAAGCATGGCAAATTCAGTAATAGAGAAATCGTCCCATTCACACGTCAATGCAAACAAAATGTACGGGCAAAGAGCTCTAAAGTGTACTATAAGGGAAGTGCCATTTTCGCAGCATGTCTATATTTCATAAATTATGTCATTGACGAGTAAACATTCTTTTTTTTTTTTTTTCACTTGCTCAGTACGGATTTTGCAACTATGCACGTTGCCACGGAAACGGAACATGAGGATTCATCGATGCAAAATCAAGGGTGTTCAGTGGCCGAGCCCGTTAGCCCACCACAGCTTGGAACATGTGGAGCAAAAGCTCGCTCCACAGAACCCGAGTATCCTGGGTTCAATCCCCACCTGCTATGCATGTTTTGATCTGCACAAACATCACACTGGTGTGCGGTCGTGTATCAGTACTGCGTGATGCACGTCAAAGACCCCAAGCTTGCAGTGGCAGTGCACTGGCTAAATTATTCTACAGCGCAAACCAGCGTTGCCGCGGCTCAAAGGCAGACCAACCTTATGTCGTATAAATACGAACATCATATTTGGTTTGGTTTAGGATGCACAATCACGGGAGAGTAGAAAGGGGCCTGCGAAACGGGACGTCTGGTTCCTCAAGCAAACCATGGATTCTGCATAATTCCAACTCATGCGTAAGATTAAGCTGTCTGAAATTTTGACTTCCGCTCGATAATGTGGAGTACAAAAAACCAGCGACTGGTATCCTTGACTGCCTTGACTGAAGCACTCGTTGCTTGAGCAGCCGCTGAGGCTTCATCCAAACCAACTATGGTAGCTCGTGCCTTTAGCATACGCGTCTAACAATAGTCCATGCTAAGGTGAGACGAAGTATAGTTCCCGTCTGAAAAATCATAAAAGATAGAGCGGTGCTCTCTGCTACGTGACGAATGTGAAATAACGCAATTCGCTAATCGAAAGATTGTACTATTAACGGAATACAAGTGAAGTGTTGTCGCTTGGCCGACACCCGTGCGGGAAACCTCCTTAACGACCGACGAAGTCTGTCGAGCGGTAGTCGTACGGGGGAGAAATCCGCGGAGGAATCTGCGTGATGAACTGCCTCCCGAGCTTTGTCGTTTACGCAGACAAGAAGGATGTTGGTGCTGGCAGTCGAATTTAATGAATTACGCTCTCGATGTCGCAGCAAACAAATTCGACAGTTCCTACACTTAACACCAAAGCGTTCGACGACAGAAAATTCCTAAAAGCAAATTGATTCATTGCCAAGGCGGGATTGATTGGATTGCGGGACGTGCCGCATGTACGGGTAAACGAGTCAAGTGTACAGGTAAACGAGTAAAAAAAAAAAAAAAAAATCTTAAGTACCAACAACAGCAACGCACGATGTGAAGGGCATTGAATTTAACGCACCCAGTGATATATAAATGGCTAGATGTAAAGGAAATGCCACAAACTGCAAACAATGTGGAATATAGTAAAAAAATAGACCTGCAGCATATGGAAAGATTCCTAATTCCGCAAATATTAACTTAATTACAGGAAAAAAAGAAGGCACGACATACTTTTATTTTTCAACGCTTTACAAGAGTTTAATTTACCATCAATTTGAGTGGTCAAAAAGAATGTATGTGAATGGTGTCATGCTTTCTTACAATAACCATTATGTTACTTCATAACAGTCATTCTGTTGCATATTATTACTTTTTTTGCTTACGGAATTGTATGATGATGTGTTTTTTTGTCGACTGCCTGGTCCCACATACAAGTATTTCTGCTTTCGTAAGGCCAGCTCTTTTTTCTATATATTTTTCTCAACAAATAAAACTGTTATTATTATTACGATTGATTTAAAACTCTATTAAAGCAAAGCACCGGCAACCAGTGATTTCCCTACACACCCCCTTGGTTTTTCTGAAGGCACCCCCTTAATTCACAGCAACTCCTCTATTCTCAATGCCCGCCCCCTCTTCTTCTTCTCCTCCTCCTCCTTCCCCCCTCCCCCCCCCCCCCTCCTCCCCTCCTAAATATTTAGACACCCCTTCTAATTTCAGTTTCTGGGGAAACCCCTGCCAGCAACAACCACCACAATGCACCACATACGTTTTAGAAGCGCAATGTTTTGGAGCGCAGCTCTTAGGGGCCCGTTTCCAGCCTGAGCGGCATCGGCGTCACCGGAAGGGGGGGGGTCACGTGACCCCCCCTCCCCCGAGATCTCGTGACCCCCCGGGGTCACGTGACTACCCGCAGGTGACGTGACCCCCCTCAGTACCCTTCCCTACTCCTCCTCAAGAGCTGCGCTCCAATTCGGCGTTACAGGGATTTGTAAACGCTTTGCTTTCATTTTCTTTCTCGCTGCACACACTTCGAGGGAGAAGTCCACGGGACTTCTTCCCTGTGCCAATACCGCTTTGTGAGTGTCAGGGGCAGGGCTCACTTGTTCTTGACGAAGAAGACCTTCCCCAGCAGGCGCGGAACCACGGGGTAGATGGTGCGGTCGGCCAGGAAGGCGTCGTAGCCCGCACACAGCTGCCGCTTGGCCTCGTAGGCCGTGTACTCCGTGCGCAGCTGACGCAGGGGCAGCACCTGTGCAGAGAGAAGGGGGGGCTCTCACCTCGGTCCCGACTTGTCGGTCGACCTCGTGATTGAAACAGACGTGTTTTTCTCGTTGTTTTGGATCGGCTCCTACTCTAGATCCCAATCAGAGTCCAAGAAAAAGTCCCTCCGCCGATTTCGGCGGATTCAACCGGAAGCCAGCCTGGCCAGCCCTCGGCGCACAGATGTGACTTCCTTTCTCGCCGGGCATCTCGCCTCAAAGAAATTCGTAATGGCTGCTCGTTAAGTGTCGCCGGCTTTACTGCTGCTGCTGCTTGATGACAGCTGGTCATCAAGTTGCTCGAGCAGATCCTCCAGCAGCGGCAACTCGACTAGCGGCGACGACGAGGATTGCTCGTATGCCCCGCACAAATTTGACTGCCTTTTCGGACCTCCGCAAAGGAGGCCGAAAATCGAGACATACTTGTACATTAATCACGAGTATTCCGACGAAGAGGCAAGTGGCTTACGCTTATGCATATCCCTTATCGACACATATCTTTCACATCATGATTAACTTTGCCCGTGCACTAAACATTAATTGTTAGCGACGCAGTTGCAGAAACGTGTGCTTCGAGATCCGGGACCGCAGGAAGGAAATTCCCGAACATGTGAATGATCGGAAGACATCTGCCGATCCCGGATGGTTGGTCACGTTTGACCTGGAGGCTCCGTTTGGATTGCGTGCTTTATCTTGGATCTCGTCTACTGATCCCGGCGCGCTCCAAAACGACCAGTGGAATAAAACAATGCCTGCAGACCGTTTTTGCATGAACGATGTGACAGGAATGTTGTATAAGGAAGAAACATGCCTACGACAGTATGTGCAGGCCGTTTCTTATACGATGTATTTCGCAGTCTGACCGCGACATTACAGTTCGACACGAGAAGTACAGACTGCCACGAAGCAATGCGACAGAATCGAGGTTTTCCCACGATGCCCCTCATGCAACAGACAGGCCTTTTCCGCAAATGTTTGGCGCCATCCCTCAGCAAATTGGGAAGCGTTTCTGATGAAAAGAACAGTAACCAGCTTTAAGCCTGTATTGTTGTTGCAAGCGGAAGTGGAACAAGGCTGTGGTGTGCTGCAATTAAAACTGCCGGGCTGCGCCCTACTCCACACTGTTAGTGGCTACTGAAACCGCCCCATAAGTGCTACCAGAAATGCCAAACAACCGCAACTGCTAGCTACCACTACGTGTGAATGTGGGTAACCCTGGGAAAGGCCCATTACTGTTTACCCACCCCCTCTACTCTAAAATGACAAGGCGGGTCGTAGCAAGGAGCAAGGTCTAAGAAGGGCAGCCGCCATAAACCTAGCGACGCGAGCTTTTGGACGCAAGCAAGCACTGTGGTTTTCTATGGCATCCCGGTGTTCTGTTCCACGCATTTAGAGAGGATGTGGCACTTGGACATCCATGTTTGTCCGCACGTGAGCGAGAGCAGGCAATACGCCCGAGTGCCCCTCTCCCTGCTGCTCAGAACGCCCCGCGCCCGTTGGGCAAAACATGCCACCCTGCGGTGAAAGTTTGTCATCGCCAGTTAAAGCTACGAAGGCATTGGGAAAGGAGTATCCTGCGCCAACAGATTTTTATTTCATCATCGATACTGCCAGCCCGGTAAGGCCAATGCAGGAGTGCTTGACTGACTGAATTGCATTAATTCCATCAGCAATAACACGCAGCAATAACTTTTTTTTTTTGTGAAGACTCGGAGAAAACCGGCCAATTTATACAATTCTGGGCAGAAAGAAATTAAAATTTGCAGTCTGCCACAGTTTCATTTGGGCCATTTGGTCAGTGGTGCCAAGTGAACTAAAGCGAGTCTCATTTAAACCTCTTCAACCGACCTCTTGCTTCTTTCTTCAGCACTTGCCACTCTCTATACTAAAACTAATTTTCGGGATCGAGCATTTGTTCAAAGATTGGCTACTCTTTCTACCGGCACCGTCTAACTTATACCCATTTTCACCTTAAGAAAAAAGCAAGCTTTGCGCATTCTTCATACGCGGCACGAAGTAGTTCTTGCAAGATTTGGTTGACAGAAAAAAACGCGATGCTTTTGGCATTTGGAACATGAACATCTTCGTAAGATAAGATACATTTAATTAAAATTCACCTACAGATAGCTTAATTATTCACAAAAAAAGGGTAAACTAGTAATGCTCCACGAGAAGCCAGACTTTTTTTTTACTTTGGTTCTTGAGGTGAAAACAGGTAGCTTAAATATTTTTTTCGACGGTCTTACAGAATCGTCAGAGGCGGAGACACGGTTTCTAGCTGGCAGAATTCTCCACGAACGTGTGGCGATCGCCCCATCCTCGACTCAAGTACCGCTGCCTGAAAAGCACCTTCGACCAATGCTCGGCGTCTTTTATACCGCCCAGACATCGAAATGTTCTCTCAGAGTGTCAACAAATTATACAACAGGAGCCGGCGGGTCATGCCGTCGTATCTCGAAACCCCGGCAGTTGGTCAAAGACGTCCCGGCAAAAAGGACGAATAAATGTGAGCGTAGTTGTCGTCGTGGCATCCCAACTCGTAACTTCCGAAGCCTCTGCAAACTGTAGAGAGGAGGGCAACCCACAACGGAACAAGCGTCTGCTGCATCCACCTCTGCCGCTGTGCCGCCGCCAGGCTACTGGCAGACGACAGCACGATGCTTTGTATGACAACGTCGGGGGAAAATCGAGGGGACCGGTAACGCAGTAAACGCACCAGTCAGAGATGGTTGCAGGCATTCTCGTCGCAACGGAACGTGCCAATCGCTTTTGCCTCAACTGAGGCACCTTTGGTGTCGCCAGGCCCACCTCAATGTTCCTGGAGACACCCGCAGCGGTCAGCAGTTCTCGGAAGTGGTCCACAGTGGGTTCGCTTTCTGCCCGCTTGTTCTTGGGCTCCAGGTCGCCCGTGATCAGGCACACCTCCGACGTGTCGCTCAGCAGGGAGTGCGGCAGCTCCCTGGACCACGTGGATCGACGGACAGATGCGTAAGACTGAACCTTTTAAATCGGGGGGCAGCTTGCGCCACCTAGCCAGCGTTTACACTCTCGGCCCGTGCATGCATTTAGATCCAGGCAGCAAAATGGTAGTGTCTATGTGCCACTGTCACGTAAACAAATGTCATGTGACCCAAATGGATGTATGGACCTTGTGGCAGAGTCTGACAATAGGGGGAAAGGGTGCTGACAAATGCATAGCATTCAAGTGACTCTACACCAGACAAAGCTCGGTGAAAACTACGCCAACTGTATGGGACCTGAACAAAATGCTCGAGAGGTTTTTGTTATTCCTGCCAGGTAAAGTAGGCATGCTACATACGACAAAAAATTACAGGAAGATCCATTGGTGGATTCTTAGGGAATGCCTTAGCATGACCCTTGGGGAAACAACACGCATGCCATTGGTGGATTCTTAGGAAATGCCTTAGCATAACCTTTTGGGAAAGGCTGATGCTAACCCCTTCACTTTTCTATTCTGGCTTCCTTTTGCTTCCTCTATTTTTTGCTGCCTTTTTTTGGCATCATTACGGGTTCAGTGTCAGCGTTTCCTAAAAGGGGACGAATGTGTGTGGCGTTTCCCAAGAACATGCTACCACATTCTCTAAAAATCCACCAATGACTCTTCTTGTAATTTCTTTTTCATCCCTTTTCTGTACCCTGCTTGTCCAAGAATGTCGATGCACTCACCAATATCACTCGTGGAAAGAGCCACATTCATACCACTTGTGGAAGAAACCCTACCTTATAACTTGTGGAGGGAACCACATCTATCACAGCCCACGCACAACTTCTGTGGACACCCAGAGCACAGAACATCCGGCAACGGCAAAGAGGCAACTGAGCACGCCCGCATTCCATCACGCTGTGGCGCAGTGGAATGATGTCATCAAAATGAAAACGCTTGCTTTGACGAAAACTCGGCGGTATCTGTTAGTTTGTCAGCGCTGGGAGAGAGAGGGAGAGAGTGGTGCGTGCTGACGTCAGCGCATCGGACCAATGGGAGCGTCGCACGCATCACCCTCTCCTCTCTCCGGCACTGACAAACTGACAGACGGAGCCGGGTTTTCGTCAAAACAAGCATTCCAATGCTAACGGAAATGAAAGCTTCCATTGAAATGAAATCTCTTGATACCAGACATAGAAAAAGCAGACTGAAACTTTTTACGCTATTTATGAAAAAGCAGACAAACTTATTTACGCTATTTATGACTATCTAACCGCAGTAAACAAATCTGTATTGGAGACTCCAGCGAAATTGACGCTGCGTAGCGGCAACGCCAAGAAGCTCAGGAGAGGAGGTCGTTTCGACTCTGTCGTCCGCTATCACTGCTTGGTTCTTGTAGGCAGCATAGAAACAAACATTGTTTCCAATAATTATTTTTATTCTTCTGCCATGTCATTCCTACGCAGTGACTAGAAGGTTTCTACCGTTGAAAAATTGCTTTGCTTTCATATGTAACACAGATTTTACGCTGCAGTGTAAGACATTTTCGCGGTTCGTGAGCTGAACGATGAAAACGACTTCCTTTCCTACGCCTTTTTGCCTGACCAGTGTGCCCCCTATAGGTTGTTTGCACATGACGTCAAACCGCCATTTTGTTGTTAGTTTGTTTTTTCAAACAAATTTACTAAATTGAAGGATTACATCGTAACCGGTTGAGATGTCAGCGGTGCTCTACGCATTTGAGGGGGCATGTAAATCCTTGGAATGCTCGAGTTTGGCACACGCCAGACAGCTCACAACAACAAAATGGTGGACGAAATTACGTCAGTGAAAACACCCTATAGTTGGCTGGAGTCCCGAATATCTAAGAACGTCCCATTACATCTCTGATAGGAGGGATCACCACGAAAAAGTATGTGGAAAGAAATGCTGGACAAACTACATTAAGTTTTCTTTTTTCCCGAAAACCATATCTGAATGGAACAATATTCCTGCAGATATGAAATCAGTTGATAGTGAATCATATTTTTGATATCATAGATGAAATGTGAATATTTGATCTTTGAAGTGCGTTGTGCCGACGTGTTTCAACTTCTGACGGCGCATGCTGACTTGTGGATGATTTTCATTTAGGCTAGTGAAGCATACTGCGCTGAAGTGTATTTACCTGTGCTGATGTACTTACGGTATTGATCAATTGTAAAATACACTCCCTGCTCCAACGCTTTGGCACTGCAGGGCATTTTGTAAATAAATAAATAACGCAGATAAGAAAAACTGTACACAAATATATTAAATTTAAATGCTGTCGTCCTGGGGCACAAAAATCAACTAGAGTCCACATCGTTTCCTGGACAACTTCTTATAACCACACGTTTCGTCCACACTAAACCATTCAGTGGAAATTCCTCTCGTGAACCGACAATATCGCTTTTGGCTACGTATCTCACTCGCTGGAAGTGTACCAGGAGGCTCCGACACCTCACAAATCCGCGAGGCCTAAAGTATGAAACGAACGCGGGTGCGTTTTAACGGGACGAACTGTCGATGAAACACCGCATGCCGATGAAATGATCCGACGACAAAACGCTGTTCGACAAACCGACTTCCACAGCAATCGGCAAGTTGTAGCCAAATTTGCCCGGCGCGCTCCCAAGTTGCAAGCTTACAGTCGGATCCGCTTGGTCTCTTTGTTGTACGGGATCTTCTTGAGTGTGAACTGGAGGTAGACGACCTCGTTGCTTGTATCGTCGTCGACAAGTAGCTTTTTGGTTGCAGTCTTGCGGTGTTTGCGCTCCACGTTCCGAAGAGTTTTGAGCGCGGAATCCACCTGAGGGAAAGACACGTCGTTGACACTGCTGGACGCGACACGACACGCGGACTTTTTCGTAACAAACGCCGACGATAACGTACAAATATTGCCTGGAAGGGAGTAAATACGAGGCAAACAGGAACGTACCAGCTTCGCATCCACGTGGGCCGCCATGTTGTTGTCAGAGAGGGCGAAAACTTCTGTCGGACTCGAACTTGGAAGTTCGACTTGATTCGGCTTGTTTAGCGAACCTTGGCGACTGCCGTCTGTTTCGGTCAGTAGCCGACCCCTGCGAAAATGCAAGATTCGTATTTGTAACACCTGAAGAATTATTCTTATATTAAAGTTGAAAAAGTAATTACCCATAACCTATTTAAGTAATCATTTAACTTGTTAAAATAATATTAATGTGTTCAAAACACATCCCCGCTTCGGCCGATTGCTGGTGCGGCCTCCACGGTACTGAACAGCCATCTTGCATGTCCACAAATCATATTTCTGGAGCGTTGCGGAGGTTGGCGGCAGCGTGCTGGAGACACGTTTTCTACTCGTTCGTCGTCATTCGCCGAAGAAGTTCTTTATAACTCAGTGTAAGCCGTAAAACTTGCCGTTGGAAACACGTGGAATGTTTTACGAAAGCTCACTGCAGCGGGAAAAAGGTACAATCCGTCAAAAGCAAGTTCTCACGGCGTGATCAAATTTCAACTATTGTTTCTCTCGAGGGAGAGGGGGACGAAGAAAAAAAGCAGACTGTTGTCGCTTGACAGAGTTTCTCCTCCCCACCTTGGCACGCCGAAGAGCTGTGTCTCTGCGCCTTCGCACTCTTGGATACCGATCACGAATCGATTCTGTGGCAATGTCTTGAAGGTGTGTCTCGCGTTTATGTCTTTGCATAATATATCGGCCACGGAGTTCTGGATCGTCCAGTTGTTCCGGCGAGTTGCTATCAATAAAGGCGAGTTCCGGCGAAATGCTATCAATTAGTAAAAAAAAAATCATATGGTTTCAATTAGAAGCATGCTAAGCATAGTCGAAAACCACTATATCAGTCAATTCTAGAACGACTTGAAGCTCGTGGGAAACTCGTGGGCGCACCAAAGTTACCACTCGTGCAGCTGGCGCAAAGAGTGGCGAAACGCGCATGATTAGATTATCATCGCGTTCCGCGATGATAATCTAATTTTCGCCCGTGTTTTTTTTTTTTTTGTGCGCTTTTTAATCTTTTTGATTACAATGAACCAACTAGCCCAATGCAAAGTTTTAATAACCTTATCGTCCGCGTTTCGCCACTGCTAGCTTTGCGCCTGCTTCAAGTCGTTCTAAAAAGCGTTGATGTAGTGGTTTTCGATGTCGCTCATGTCTATTTTCACCAATTAAAAAGTTAATGAACGAATTCTAATTAATTAGCCGACTAATCGCAAAGATTAGCCTCCCACATAATACCTGCATAAACCGGATACGTGTAACTTTCGCGGCTTTTTTTAAACAAATCTGTAAAGCTTAAAAAAAATCTATTTAATCGACAATATAGAGATGATACTTGATCGAATGAATCGAAGTTTACGAAGCCGCCGAAAGGCAAAATCTTTGGCGGAGCCAGGATTTGAACCCCGGGCCTTCCAGTATCCGGTCGGGTCACGGGTGTGCCCACTCCAGCACTCTGCCTGGTCTTTTTGGCGTTTCCTACCTGTATTATTAATAAAAAAAAAAAAAAAAAAAAAAAAAAAAAACGAGGAAGCACACGTTGTTGCGTGGAACGCGGTAAGACGCTTGCTGGCGCTTGGTACGTGCTCGTTATGCTCCACCATTTCTTTGACAGTTTGTCCCGTCACGCACATGTATTATTTTATGTCTATGAGCGTTAGACACAGGCTATCAGTATCTGCGAGAATCAAGAGCCACATTTGAATATATCACGGGCAGTCTTCATCATCGTACGTGGTCAGCAAAAGAGGATATAGCACTCATAAACACAAATAATACATGTACAAGTGATATATTCGTATATAAACTTATATCGGGAGCTCCGGTCCGGAGTTTCTCATTCGGGCGAAATGGTGAGATACCTGACTTCCTTCTCTTCATGGTGGCTATTCAAGCTCCCCTCTTCACGGACCGAAATGTAAAATACTAGACGCTCTCTTTCCCGTAAATTTAATGTTTGCAGCCTTTGGCGATAAACTTTGCTGGCATTATGAGAAACAAGGCGACTCAGGACGCAAATCCTGTTTCCGCAGCAGCCTAGTACAATGCCAACTTGCAGTCATGGTGGTACCGTGGTGTGAGAATCGTTCTCCCTAGCTCGTGCAGTAAAGTAGTGCTTTGAGCCAGTCGGTACTTCGACATGTTGCGCTGTTTTGTCATGTCCCTAGCTCCTGAGTGATCGACTTCCGAACGAAGGTGCTTGCTTGCCCTTAGTTTATAGCTTGCCTTCCTGGCGTGGAGGTACCAGTTACGTCTCTCGCATTCTACAAGATTACCCGTCGCAAACCCAAACTCGTACTGCTGTTCTACGACGATCGTTGAGATGACAACCATTTGATGATGATCATGATAATGATTTGCGGCTGTTCCCTTTGAAAAGAGCGGTCCTATATTGTTCGAGGCCTAGCCTAGCTGTGCTGTTTACAAGACCCCTATTCTTCACCCACGTCCGCCAAACTTCTAATCTCCTCTCGATAGCTTCTACCACTCCTTTTCTCCACTCTTTTTCATAAAAACTAGATAAGAACATTTTGATAAGAACTCCACATTTCGATAAGCGCGGTGATGGAAGTGCCGCACCATTTGAGCCACACTGCGCCATTAACAAAAGTCTGCTACGTTTCGCGCCAAAGCGCTATTTTTGCAAAGAATCGCGCCCCACATACGCCGAGGCGGCCTTAGAGAAAGCATAAAAAAATATTTTATTATTAGTAAATTTTATTATTCAGAGAAAAAGAAGAAAACAAAAAATAGCGCAAATATGTATTTCACAGCGTCTATTCGCGACTCCAGCGACCTATAGGGGGCGCCACCACCAAGCAAACATGGCGGCTGAGTCCAGGTCGCGTCGGCTCGGCCGGGCCGCCTGAAGGGGTGGCGCATTCAGTTTAACAGATTTTCTTTTGCCTAATGCCCAATTTTATAGGTATTTCAACTGAGACGGTTAAGTGTAGTTGGTGCACATCAGCTTGCAAAGCATAGTTTTGTTTTCCCGGTGTTTTCTGTTCTTTTCATGTCAAACTTTCGTTTCAAAGATTTCATTCAAAACCGAAACTATGGGTTCCGGAGAGACGGTAATAGACTCTAATTTGTTTCTATCATTTAAGGAAAGCGTTGATTACTTTAGAACTGTTCAACCAGAGTAATTTTGAGATAACTCGCACGACTCGACCATGCGACTTATCAGTCCGCGAAATCGAGCTTTTGTGCGTATCCGCGTTTACGAAACAGCTCCAGTGGTCTGCTCGGTCAGCAACACAGGCTGCAGGAAAATTACGAAACTTAAGCAAGCGCTTCTTGTGCCCAGGAGCATGTTAACCCGCTGGCGCCCCACTAAGCAGCTGATACTAGTATTTCAATTCAGGTTTTGACAGCGATCGAGAAGTCATTTTGACGTACTATGTCCCACTAAAGCGATATTAGTATATTCTTCGGGTTGAAATATGAGCTTGGTTGACTAGCTATTAGGCGAACTGCTCAATAAAAGTATATTTGACAGACAGAGATACTGCTTAAACTTAGCCAAATGGTTCTAGCCGGTAGCACGTAGACGAAGGCGGAGAAACCGAAGAGTGTCTTCATCGGAGACTCACGCAGAACCTTTCTGCACTGAACTTGACTTCGAATCCTGAACGGATAAATTGAGTATTTTTCTGTGGCCAGACAGCCTGAGCAATGTAGACGTATATTGCTGCTGGCTTCGACGAGGGTATAATATAAATATTGAAGGCGCGATAGATCAAAATGCCGTGACAGCTTCTAACTTTGCGAGACGCGTCCCCCACTTTTTGAAAGCAGATAATTTCCCTCGTTACTCATATGCAACGAGCAGGTTTTCCTGAATCGAGTAATTGCGCAATCAGCCAAAATCCTTCAGTGTGGTCGAGATGCTCTTTCACAAAAAGCAGCCAAGATGAATAGCCAACGCACCGACCGGCGTGGGTGGCTCAAACTGGAAGCTAATCGAACACAACCAAACTCAAGAAAAGCAGCTATCGAACCTTCCCATTCACTTGACTGCAATATTGGTGTTCCCTCCAGTGAAACACCTCCGTCTGTCGTTCTCAGTCCACTGTTTTACATCCTTATAAAGAAACCACTTATCAGTTACCAAGTAGTCGTCGCTTTGAATGTGATTCGAGACAGACAAGAAATCACAAAGTTTTTCCGTGATTCCTCCCCATCCAAGAAATCGAAAGCACGCGACCGTGTGTTGTGAAGTAAAGGGGCTTTCAAACACGTGATGGAAGGAAACAATCTACTGAGGTTTCACCACACTAATGAACACTCAAGCAAACTTAAGAAATTTTCAGACCTTCGTCAAATTACATTCTTCGCCACCCCACCGACAACACGTGTCCGCGAAAGCCACCAGAGAGGCGGAGGGGCGCGGAGCGACCTGGACCGACTGGTTCCCGGTTTTCCCACTTGGTGGCGTCCGTTTTGCTGGACTCGCGAATATACTCTGCCCGCCAGGTAGTTTGTTTCATCTTAGGTCAGAGCGCAGTCGAGGGTTCAAACACACAAAGACGTACTAAAAGTGGAAACCTAAGTGCATTCGTTTCGCTTGGTTGGTTTAGCCGACGGAAGAGCAGGCGCGGATAGATGACGAATGCCGCGATGTCGCGCTTTTGACGCTCTTTGATCGTTCCAGTTGGCTCGTAGCGTTGCCTGTGCTTTGACTTAAGATCAGACAAAGTGCAGAGGCTGCTCGTCTCAACCACGCTGGCCGCGTCAGCGTTTGAATTTCCAGACGATGCACTCAATGTCAAAAACTTAAAATAGCGTAAAAAAGAAAAAAAAAAAAAGAGCCAAATAGTGGGATAGCGGTTAGTACAGCAAGACAGAACCAAGGTATTTTACTCCCGATGATGTCTCTTGATTATTGTGTCCGCCGCATGCCCCAATGCCGTGGCTTCGTGTACCGTGCGGCACTTGCGCAGCCCCCGCCAAGCTTCGCGGTCTCACACCAGCGTGCACGCGTCGAGCTTCTCCACTGTGCACCGGAGTGCTAGGAGCAGCGGCTGACGTGGGGGAGCGCAACGGTAACCCCCCATTTAAAGCCCCTTGATAAAGGCGTTTTTTACAAGTACCGCCAACCATTGTTGTGGAACCGCGCGAGACACGTGCCACGAGCGGGTGCTCCGCCGCCATTCGCTTCCTAGGGCCGCTCATTTCAGTGCTGCGCCGCCATTCGCTTCCAAGGGTCGCTCGAGACCCGGG